AAGTTTTCCTAAAACACTAAGGAGGAGTCTTCTCTGTTGCAGTGTCCTATATTACATGTGTTCATCATTCCACTGGACAGACATGAATATAATTGCACTTCATCTAAAACCTTTAACATATAACCATTTGTATAAGTTTGAAGTAGATGTGTGATGGCAATTTTTCTATGTATAGAATACAGTTCTACTAAACACACGATGTAGCACAGTATAAGGTACAACATATACTACAAAACTTGGCCATTAGAAATTCTTAGCTAGTTTTCTACCATTTTCTGTCCTCTGATCTAAAATCAATTGGTATCTTTTCCTCACCAAACAAAGCTCTTCTATGCCCTATGGTTTGGAGAGAAGCTTATCTGTGTGGTCCAGCCTCTACCCCTTACAGAGACATGTCTAGATCCTGCCTCACTTCCTATTCCCTCTGTGTCTCTTGGATACCTGCCAGATGCGCGTGCACACACACACACACACACACACACACACACTTGGTATATAGCCATTCTCATTAAGATTTAACAGACAGAGGTCTTGGTCTAGGAAAGTCCCTGTCAGAATTGAGCAGCAACGAAGTGGGTAGGCAGCAGAAAAAGGAAAACCAGTGATGAGAAAGACAGCTGAGGGGGTAAGGGGCTTTGGGATATATAAAATGAGAGAGACTGAGAGTAAGTATGTGCTTTGATGTAAAAGAGGGAGACTAATTTTGTGTCTGTGCCTAATTTATTTTAGTGATTACCGTGTGAAGACTGATGGCAGAAATTACGAACCAGCCAAACTGGCAGATTGTTTTTCACCCACTCCATTTATTGCCACATCTTCAGTATAAATCAGCTGAACTGTCTTTTACCCTTTACTTCACTCTGAGTGGTTAGAAATTAAATGAACATCAGTCTGCTTTGGTGTTAAATAGCAGGCCAGAAGTCAGTACCTGATTTTTACTGGCTTCCATACTCACAGGTTACAGGTTAGATCTGACCTGTAACCTAATCAAATCACCATTCTAAGCTAAAAGCCTGATCCGCAGTAACTGTTGTTCTCTCTACGTTATTAGTTTTATTGACTGTTTTTAGTGCCATTATAAAAGAAAAGGATTCATGAAGACCACAGATTTCTTATTCATATAATTGTCCCAGGAGAGGGTCACCATATGCTAAGGGTCCCTGGACTACTATTACCGTTTATTAAAGCATGATGTAGCAGGCATGCATAACTCAGTCCGAACCTTTTAAATCATTTTTGGTATACTTCCAGCGATTTAGTTGGCAGCCCTGGATTTCACCACATTAATTCAGAAAAGTATTTGTAAACCAATGATGTTCCAGAGTGAGGTAATAGTAAATGCAATTAGCTATTCACTTCTATTTTGGGTTTTAGCTGTTACATCTTTACCTTGTGAATAAATGTTAGTTTTCTGACCTTAATTTGGTGAACCAGTGTTTACTAGTATGCATCCTCTTTTGTCTTCTAGCAGGATTGAAATTTTTAGGTATTTCTCCCCTAGCCCTTTAAGGGCATCAAAATACACATGGTGTCAGGCTCAGAATGATTGGATCCAGTATTCGAGGCAGACAGACAATAAGATTTCTCAAAACGTTTACTAGAAAAAAAACTACAGTGAACAGCATCGGCGTCTAAGGCAGGTTAGTGACCACTTCTGATGAACGTGTGAGCCACTAACCTTGTCTTAAATGTCTTAAAGTTCAGTCCGTTCCCAGAGGAACCAGCCAGTTGGCTGCTAACAAGATGTGGCGGGTGCTGCCCAGAGAGTTTCAGACGCTGGGGTCAGAAAACAGGCAGGAGATTAGAACCAAGCAGATGAAGGAAGGCAGGATAATCCAGAAGATGAAGCCAAAGCTGGTGACGAAGATGTGCTTACAGTCAGAGCCAGGAGATCAGAGGTCTAAATAGGTACTGAAGGGAAATCCAGAATGAAGTCGGGAAACAGTTCCAGGTTTGGTTCACAGACAGGCAGAAATCTGGCAGGAGTCTGAATACAGGTCAGGCAAACAGATGAGAATGGGGACAGGCAGGCTCAGAGATCCAGAGGCAAAACGGGTCAGAATCAGGCATTCAAAAACAGACCAGGCTTGAATAATCTGGCACTGATGACTGGTTAGAGGTCTGGTTAAATAGAGACTGCAGCAGGTCTCTGTTCAGATGAACAGCAATGAGAACTGGGCGCAGATAAGCATGAGTGAAATGAGTAATCAGACCAGACATCAGTGCCAAGACCATGACAGATGGTGAGCTGAATTTAGAATATGCTAATAAGGTTAGCTCATAAAATGGCTCATATTATCCTCTGATAATGGATTTATACAAATGTGTATGTTGGTGGCAACAATCTTAAAGCTACAGTGTGTAATTTTCAGCGACATCTAACGTCCAGACTGCAGACTGCAGCAACATGAACATCTCCCCCCCACCGCTTCTCCCCCCCAACAATACGGCGAGCGTTATGGGACAAAATGTCTTCCACGACGTCGGAATCACCTACCTTCTCAATTAATGAGGTTTGTTTACATAGATAATTTTACAGATAGTATTTCATTAGTCTGTGTAGGGTATAGATTTGATAATAATAAATATATCCGTTATTTTTATTCTACATCGTTGTGACGTTTTGGTGAGCTGCTTTGCATGGTGATATAAACAGACGAAGTAATTGTAGTCATTAGTTTAACAGCGAGATTGTGTTCGCTGGAAGAATACCGGTATATATTCCCCGTTTACAGAGTCCAAGTCTTGTTTGTGGCACGGGGGTTACAACGCGAGGAAGAGGGAAAAGAAGAGGGCAGAGAGGGCGGGGTGGGCGTGCAGCCAGGGCCAGGCGAGAGAGAGGTGCCAGCGGGGGTTGACTATAGCGGAGGAGGAAAGAATTGAAGATCTCCAAAGGAGCCGGAGAGAAGTAACCGAGGTATATATCCGTAGCTCGCTAATATGCAGCTTCATATATCTGTCTCTCTCACACTCACACACGCCACTATCAGCTGTGGTAATTTTATGAAGCTGTGGCCTTACCTGTCCAAGAGAAAACTGGCAACTTGAGCGTCACTTTGAAAACCTTTTTCCTCCGTCAGTGCCTTCCATCGTGTAAATGCCGTGCCAATGTTGATCCGTGTTTTTTGTCGTTTCTTGTCACGCTTGCGTTTATTCTCGTCGTGTTTCCGCTTCTTAGATGACGGGGGTTCGGTGTCCGCCGCTTTTCGTTGTGATACAGAGTAGGCATGATCCTCCATTCGTCTGATGTTTGGCAACACAGTGCCAAACAGTTTGCAAAGTCACTCACGCCTGCCGCCTTGATCACCTTTCTTGTTACTGAAGCGCAGTATACCTGCTTCTTCTTCTTCTTTGGTTTCAGGCAGACTAAACGCTTCTCAGGCATAATACTGCCATCTATTGTTCAGTACCGTCTCAGTTAATCTCTCAACTTGCCGTAGTTACTTTCGAGCGTAATGGGCGATCTCGCAATCGCTAGTTTGTTGCTTCTGCGCTGCCGTAGCGCAAAGATGTCAGCCTCCATGGCTGCGAGACCCGCTCCTATGTAATTATAAATAACGAATTCTAAGGCAACGTAAATATTATGGTTAAAAGGCTGAGCTCATAGGTGATGATAAATAACATAGTTATGTATAATATATTCAATTTCTGACTTTATATCCCTGTAATTATTACACACTGTAGCTTTAAATGGTAGTTCAAGAACAACTTCATTTGCAGATTTCAATCATTCCATGACAGAGGCACCATTATACATAGAATGTTATGTCTGCTGGTAGTTAATTTAAGTTTTTACAAGCAGTGCTTGGAAATCGGAAAATCCTTTTTAGAATACTGTGGTAATGGTAACAATAACGCTGATCTAAAATAGTAATACAAAAAGTCTTTTTGATATAGAGTCATATACAGTGATGTCACTTCACTTTTTTTTTGTCCGCTACTGCGTTCTCTTAATATATTGACATTTATAATCAATTAGTGTCATATCACTTGCAACTGAAAGTCACCATTAGTTGTTTCTGATTGACATTGTTTAATATTTTGCTGGATATATTTCAATATTTGTTTCCACTGCACCAGATGTAGAAAGGAAATGATTTAAGTAATTGTCAGTTTTATTATTATTTTTTCTTCATATTCTGTTCCACAATCCAGCTGTCTGGCCTACATAATTGGTGGCTATAGTGGAATGTTTCAGTTTTTTTAAGTCAAAATATTGCTTGTGTTTAACCATAGACACAGTACATCAAAGATGTGTCCGCCTGCTAACATGGAAAGCAGTTTGCATCTGATTTAGAGTCCGATTTTAAAGGAGGTATTGTCGATATCAAGATGAATAATAAGAAATTGCATTGTATCTATCATGAAGAAATAGTATTAAACAGTATAACACTGTCTAATAATATTTCTCTCTTAAAGGATGAACATTCACCTATATTTGAGAATGCCCTTTTTTTATTTTATAAAGAAAATTCTTGTTATGTTACAGCCTGATTCACATTTAGCTGCTTTATCAACCTCTCTTCTTGGCATTCTTTTTTTGCTGAACTCTCTGCATGTCACTAACCCCCACTCTGCTTTGCTGCCTAACAAATAAGCAGTGAAAGGTTAAGTAATGGCAGGCTGTATCCTGTGAGAACACCGGCCTCTGTCTGTTAATGCAGGGCAGCAGATAAACAATTTTAACCCTTCGGTTGAAAGTGGAAACTCAGCCAGTATTACATTGCAGGTGTTAAATTTGTGATATAGAGGCAGACTAACCCTTAATGTCTTCTGCACTTTGCCAGTACTGCTTACAATTATAAAGTAGTTATAATTTAGGTATCAACACTAATTAAATAATTGATGCTTAATATGCTGTATATATCCTGTCCTTATTTTGTTTATATTTCTATGACATTTTCACAAATTTTCTACTTTAACATCTCTCATTTTCTCCCTTCCATTTAATTTCCACTTTTTTCAGGAGATGTATTTTAAGCAAGTCTTTCTCTCTGCAGGTGTCCTTCTTCCTGTTCATTGTGTTTGTGGTTTACACCATGCTACCGTTCTCTATGCGGGAAGCCATCATTGCCAGTATCCTTACCTCTGCCTCTCACACCATTGTGCTGAGTGTGTGCTTGTCCACAGCGGCAGATCACAGGGAGGCAGTAGTGTGGCAGGTAAGCTAATCATCCTCAGGGGTGGATTTACCAAAGACATAATGTGCTGTTTAGCAACCTAATACAGTTAACTTAGAATTAGAAATATTAATAAAGTTTTTATTTTGAATTTGTGAATGAAAGAGCTGGTTTTAAATAAACATGACTGCTGAGATTTCATCAGTAGTAGAAGCAAGCAATCATTTCCTGTCAGTGCCAAGTAGCAACCTGCAACTATGTAACTTCACATGGCAATTACAAATTTTAATTGTACATTTCAGTTAGCAGTCCCTCATTACACTCACTAACAAGGACAATTTACTTCATAGTTTTAATCAGTTTGTTAAATGTTAAAGACTTAGATTTGACATACGATCTTAGCCAAGAATTTTGGTTTTAGAAATGTTTATTTTTCTCTGCTTTACTGTCTTGCTCTAAAGCTGGAAACAAGTTAAATTTTGGCAGATTCTCTTTTTCAATGCTGAACTTATTCTTTTATTTAATGTGATCCAAAACTTCCTTAAGACACAGGCTTTATTTCAGTGTAAAACATTTTTAAATAAATTTGGAGTTATGACATATTTAAACAACTTGGTGCACTAGCTTTACCCAAGTGCAGTGTTTCCTTCAACTTCAAAATCAATAGCAATTGGGACATTAGGTACATTTTTCACTAGTATCCCTAACTAGCGCTTGTTAATTTTCCACATGAACATGTGGAAAATTAACAAACTTTAAAAGATCTGAAAGGCTTGAGATTTAATAGTTTTGACCAAGGCTTGTGTAATATAATACAAATCAATTTAGAGCAGTTCACTTTAGGTGGATAAAGCAATTATTTGCTTGGTTTAAAACCAAGACAATGTACTGTGTAATACAATCTAGAAATATAACTTTATTCAAACTGATAATAACTAGATGATGTAATTTAAACCTCTTAACCTTATTAGTTATGTTGCTAAAAGTATTACATTTGCCTTGCAATGACCCTCATTAGGCAAAAAGATTTTTAATTTTCATATTGTGTTAATCACTGATAGAAATCATCAATAATTCATCACAGCTCTTACTGTATAAAATCTTTAACTTAACAAAGCTATTGAATATTTCTTCGCCCTCTGTATCTGAGCATGTAAATCATGCAAATTATGCTTTAACTTCCAACTTTGTAAAGGAATACCCAAAAAATTGTCAGATCTTCATTAAAAGAAAGTGTTAATAAGTATCGTTTCCACAATGCTTTGTATGAATACCTAAAAATATCAAGCCATGATTTTATGAATTTACTGGACTGTCTACTGGATTTAGGTAACTGGGACATGCAGACACAACACTGTTAATTCTTTTACTCTCATGGAAACTACATACATGATAATGCCTGGTCTGATAAGGAAAAAATATGCATCAGGAGAAGCCTTGGACCTACTACACTAGCAACTGGTCTAGCAGTGGTTCTGATGAGGACATTTCGATGTCTAATGGTAGTTGTAGTCAGTGTGTATCCCTCCATGGACATGCCTCCCCAGACCAACACTAACTGATCATGCTTAACAATATTGCAGTAAGCATTGCATCCTTCACAGCATCCCCACCCTTTCAAGTCTGTCACCTGAGCTCAGGATGAACCTGCTCTCAGCTGTGAAAAGAACAGGGGGGCCAGTACAAAACCTACAAATTCCTGCATTCTCTTGGAAATGCAAGATAATCCATGGCTCCCCTTAAAGGACCTACTGGAATGTCTCACTCTTTCTAATATTTTGGTCAGAGACATTCCTGTAGTGCACCACAGGAGGTAAATTTGTAGAGCTCTGGTTATATTCCCGTTTCCTCCTTGCACATAGAAGCAGTTCCTGCTCATGGGTTAAGGACCTCTGATGAGCCCGGCCAGCTCTCATATGTCTTGAGGGAGAAGCAGAGAATCTTCTAGCACTACTATATGTAGATTTACCCCCTATGTGGAGAGAAACTGCCTGAGCAACCTTTGGAGTGTGCAGGTATTGTTTCATGCTAGCAGTAGTGACACTGACCCTGGGTCAGTTTGCCCATTCAATAAAGGAGGGGGGAAATATCTCTGGCCCCAATTACAAAACCCTTTAGTTTTTTGTTGTCTAATTGCTCCTTTAGTGTACTTGTTGTTGTTTTATTAATCACCAAACAGCTGACTCTATTCACCAGCCATCTCTACTCCCTGATCATTGTTCCTAAAGGTAACTGACTTGATAAACAATTATTAAAAATAGTTTCTTTAATTTTTTGGCGGTATCACTGGTGGAATTAGACATACTAGAGGTACATTCACACAGAACTTGAATTTCTCAGCTGGAGAGTAGGATTCCCATGTTGTCTCTATGTAAAAGGGCGGATGTGGTGCAAAGCACTTGAGAGAGTGAAAGAGAAGATAACATTAAAACAATTGACCAAGTCAGTTTTGCTGTGACAATGCTTTCGATCAGGGGAATGTTTTTTCTTATGGGCTGGTTATACTCCCCACAGCAGTGTGTCGCAGTGAGCTTGATGCAGACATTTTTGATTTATGCTCAATTTTGAAGCATGGTCTGCGCTATACGCTGTGGGTATAGATACAGCCGAGGTGGTGAGGAAGTGGGGGCGAGTTTGTCCGACAATGGAGGGATATGAGGGCGAAAAAGAACTGGGATCCAAGTGGAAAACGGTTTCAGCTTTCTCGCGCACCTTGCTCTTCTAGCTGGTAAAACTTCACAAGTTGTTTTCAGTAATTTCGGTCATAAAAACAAAACAAGCCGGCCTCCTGTCTGCTGTACTGTCTGCGGTCACCTACAATTTGGGAGAGGTGCAGCAGAGTGTCTACGGAGGGACGGGGACGTCTTTTTGTTCACTGCGACACCTACGCAGACGACCTAGTTTCGAAGTATAAATCAGCCTTAACTTTCCTTAAACAAAGAGAAAGAAAGATAATTTTGAACTCTTCCAAATCTCTCTGTACCAAACATTGCTAGAGCCAAAGCTGTGCTCTACTCTGCTGCACCATCTCCGAAGAGCTGCACCATCCCACTTCAAAACACTCCCAGAAACTCATCTCAGGGACATTGGATGCTGCCCCCAACTGTAATGGGGATAAAAGTCTCTGCGCTCAAATGCTGTATCCTCTTTAAGCCCTAAACTTGCCCAAACACGATTGAGCGTCCGATCAAACAAAAAATCATATTGTAAGAGGTCATGCTATCAGTGCTCATTGCGAGTGAATGGGGATAAACATCCAACAAGATTTTCTGCAGGATCACTAGCGTAGCTCCGACTGTGGTGGACCTCATGTTTATTTTTGTTGCATTATGAAGAAATTCAGTGGCAATTCCATCGGCCTGACAGGAAGAGAGACAGGGTTACAAAGTGAAACGTCCACTTTTGTGGGAAAATACAATGTAAAATTTCTCAATCTGGAGGGAAAACAGTAAGGTTTGGAATACCACAATACATTTATAGCAGGCAGAAAAGACTGATATAAACAGTCAACATTTTGATAAACACAAGAGGTAGAGAGGGAAACTACATTTCAGAGGACACAGGTACCATTGCTTAAAGGGGAACACCGTTTTTTTTTTACATTGGGCCCTTGATTTTATGTTATTGCATCATGTTCTACTCACCAATATGAGTTTTATGTCATTTGGAGCCGTTCTGATGATTCGGTTAGGTTATATCCAAGTAACGTCTTCCTATGGGCAATGACTGATAATTTATCATTTATGGTACGCCAGCATTCATAACATGTAGGCGAATCACTGTCCCCCAGACATTATGGGTTTACAGCATTAAAATCTTTCTTCTTTTTGCACATATTATCTTAGTTTAGCTGAATTTCACTATTAAAGTCCTTGACTGAAATATCCTTAGCTTGGAATTAAATTATTCCAAGTTATATTGTCAATAAATTTTAATTTGAATGGACGTCATTATAGATTTAATCCCAAATGCTCCAACTAACACATAGCCAATTGAACTTGTGTTCACAGACAACATATGAAAATCTGCATTAGGTAAAAAAAATCCTTCTCTCACATTGAATGGAAAGTTTTTGCATAACACAGTTATAATCCAACTGCAACATACTATTCTCCTTTGGAAAGAGTTATGTATCTTCATGCATAAGAAATGTCATTATTTTCCTGATTGAAAACCTTTTTTTTTCATCAGCTTATCCCCACTGCTTTATCTTTGGCAGGTAACTACTCGAGCGAATGATGAAAACGGGTTTAAGGCTTTGATGGACCATTGATATTTCTTTAAAATTATGTAACAGTTTGATAGAACATCCTTGCAGGCTACCAAAAATCCTCCTTTATAACTTAGTCTTCAGATTCCTTTCATGCTTGGGTTTCTTCTTTGTCATCCCTCAAAAGCCTTAGTAATGGGAATGAGCAATCATCGTACTATTTTTTTGCAGTGTGACAATTATTGTTATGATAGCAGTAAACAGTAAGCAGTAATACTGTATTTGTAAACTCCAAAAACAACAAGCGTGGTTGAGATTAGTAATGTTCCATTTTGTGAGCATTAGTTAATATAGATCCATGACAATATGTTTAAGTGCTTAATGTAACTCTTTATAGCTTTAAATGATATTTCTATTTTAATGATCTGTTTGGTCTTTATGTCTCTATTTACATAGATTTTGGCCAATGTTATTATTTTTGTTTGTGGCAACATGGCTGGGGCGTACCACAAGCATCTGATGGAGTTGGCACTGAAACAAACCTACCAAGACACCTGTAACTGCATCAAGTCCCCAATTAAACTGGAGTTTGAGAAGAGACAGCAGGTATTGAAGACTTCTTAATAAGTAGGGTAATGTTAAGGGATAGAGTAATGGTCTGAGTTAGGCCATTGAAATGAGTGCACTATGAATGGAAGTAAATGTAAAGGTCCTACAATAATAGTGTGAGCAAACATGGATGTGTTAGCATGTGTGTGCGTGTGTGTTTTTGTTTTTTTAATACACTGTGGGGCAGGTTTTCAGGGAAAATGGCATGATGTGGGGACTGACTGGTCCTTGTGCCTGGATCCCATGTGGAGAATTACTGTTTTTGGGACAGGGGTCACATTTAGTACTAAGGTGGGAAATGTGTTTAGGTTGGAGCGTGTCATTAACCTGGTTTGCTAAATTAGTCTAGTCTTCAAAGATTCTAAACAACTGGCACTAAATTTAATCTGGGCATGTTGCAGGTAATCAAATTAAGCTGTTTACTCAATTTAGTAATGTACTATGAACTACACCAGCTTTAAATATCAGCTTTGTTTGTGAGAACAACTTCTCCATCTTCTTTATTGTTGTATCTAATGTTTTGCTGACTTTACTGTTTTATCTTATCGGAGGCCAAACATATGAACAAAAATGAAAAAAACACTAAAACCTAGAGATAGTATCCATTTTTATTTGGACACTGATTTCTCAATGCTTGTTTTGACTGAAATAGTCAAATACGTCTTAAGTGTTATCAATATATCTATTTACCGTATAAAGGAAGGTTAATAAATTGTAGATTACTACAGACTTTGAGCTAAGCTAATCTGGCAAAATTTCTAATGCTACTACTTTTATCATTCCTTTGTACATGTTTAAGGGTGTATCCAGTTGTTGTTTTGGAAGTCCACAGTTTGAGTGGACCAGTTTTCCCTCCTGAACAATGAGTTTGTGTTTTTTAACTGTTTGTGTGTGAGGCATAAAATGCCTCAGGTGAAGTATTTTGCAGAGACCCTGGAGTATTGGCTGCTCCTCTGTGTGTGACAGATGGTAGTACTGTATTTGTGTCGAGGCAGTTCTTGAAAGCACCTGGCACAATCATGAAATATTCCATTTGCAGCAGGCTTTAAGAAAATGCTTTACAGTTTAATCTAGCAGCTACTACTTAAGGACCCATCTGAGCTTTACAAAATTAGGTTTTGGGATTTTTATTTTTATTTTTTTGCTTACTTTTAGAAAACTATGACTTTAATAGTTTGTTAATTTGTTTAATGTTAAAATATTATTCTGTTTGTGTTTCTTTTCTGCTACTGTCTTCAGGAGCGTCTTCTTTTGTCTCTACTGCCAGCTCACATTGCTCGAGTAATGAAGGCTGAGATCATCCAGAGACTGAAGGGCCCTAACTTTGGCCAGATTGAGAACACAAACAACTTTCACAACCTCTATGTCCAGAGGCACACTAATGTCAGGCAAGTAGAGGTTTATTCTGATTATTTAAATACCACTGTCAGAAAAGATTTGGCCTTTGCAGATTTATTGTGCTTTCAGATAATTATTTATTTTTTTAGGAAAGAAACTAATCTGACTTTGTAAAAATTTAATTGTCGGCAAAACCTAAACCCTTTTCACACTCTTTATGACAAAAAATGCATTTAAACATTTGTGGTTACTGGCTGGAGTGTTTTGGTCTTCTGATATTAACAAAGTTAAAGTTAGGTTTTGTTAGCATAGTATAACATTTTAAATAATACTCATAGCAGCAGTCAAGACTTTGACTAGGCTGCAAAATGTTGCTGATTTGCTTTAGAATGTTGTTCTAATTCATATAAGTGTGGTTGAGTTTAAGGTAATAAAATGATAAATGGAGATTGTTTTAAAGATTTTCTGTCTAAGTAAAGCATTAATGGTTTCATCATTTGCAGCCAGTCATCCAAGACCTGAGGTAGCCGAGTAGTTTGAGAACATCAAACTACCATTACTGTGATTAACTCTCAAGAATGCTTTCAGCTTTATTCCACATCCATCAGGATACTGATCATTAGAAACCCTTTTCTTGCACCTGGGGTTTGCACTTTTAAAGGAGTCATAACTCAGAAATTGGACTTTGTATTAACTTTGACTTGTATTAGTGTTGAGCTTCAGTTAAATCCTGCAGGGAAATCAGTTATGTGAAAGTGGGTTGTTATTTACCACGTCAGCCCTTTGTTCAAACCTAAAAGGTCCATAAGATCAAGATCTCCAAGAAAGGACTATTTGGTCATTCTCCTAGATTGATATCTCACGGAAGAGTGCTGACTTTGGTCAGACTGCCTGTCTCTATTTCACCAGAAGGAGCAATTCCTTTTTTGTTTGTCCTGTTTTGCCAATATAGCACTGGGAATAGATTTCCCAGAGTTAGATAATAGTCCAAAAGATTTGCTTTATGATTTTTTCCAACTTTGCCATGTGACATCCATTCGTGGATGCTGGCTTTTAATGAGGTTCACTGTCATTGGATTCCCAAATACTTACAAATTACTTGGACCTTTTCTAGACCAATAGATATAAATCACTTTCTCGTTTCTTCTTGAATGTTTTTAAATTAGAACTGGCGTTTGTGGTATTTGATCTTTTCTTAATGTTATCTGAATGATAATGTTTAAGTAAATTCTTCATTATAAATGTCTTCCAGTAATCAAGGCTGGATATGATTAAAGAATAGCTGATTTTAACATATTCATTGAGGTTATATAACACATAATTTGCCTGATAAGAAGCACTTAAATCTGACGACAAAAGGCAAAAACTGCAAAAAAAATAAAAATTTGTTAGAGATTGAAAAGTTTTCTTCTGATGATGTTTGACCAAACCCGAATTCTAATTTGGCTTATGAGTTGTCTGCTTGGGTATGTGAACAAAATCAAAGTAACTATTTCCTTTCCTTATTAGCATTCTTTACGCAGATATAGTTGGATTTACGCGCCTTGCCAGTGACTGCTCACCAGGAGAACTAGTGCATATGCTGAATGAACTGTTTGGCAAATTTGATCAAATTGCTAAGGTAAAAAGCCTTTGTTTAGTTCAAGTCTTTATTTATTTATTTTACATTAAAAAAAATTCTTAGACCCAATATTTCATACCTTTACTGTGCAATTTTATACTCAGGAAAATGAATGCATGCGGATCAAAATTCTTGGCGATTGTTATTACTGTGTGTCCGGCCTCCCAGAGTCATTGCCCAACCATGCAAAGAACTGTGTGAAAATGGGTCTGGACATGTGTGAAGCTATCAAGTAAGTGGCACATATATGAAGATAATATTTTACACACCTTGTAAAACCGTGATTACCTGTCTAAATGTTGTCCAACACACATTCCAGTTTTTCCCAACTTGAATGTTGTTGTTAGTTAGTGATGAGTGGATTAGTTATGACTAAACTAATGACGGAGAGAATCAAAGTCTAAGCCTGGGCAGTATGAAGAAGGTTTCATTCCCTTAAGGAAAAACTAATATATAAAACACCATTCAACTCATTATAAAAATGTGATTGTCACTTTAAATTACAACAAGACAGACAACCAATAGTTGTAGGATTCATTGTTTTACGGAAGCACATGGGACATGTCCTCTGCACTTTTTCTAAAGTCCATTTTGGTCCCTTGCACTTTTTACTGTCCAAAAACAATGTTATGCTACAGTAAACAGACTTTCGTCGAGCACTAGGACCAAGCCGAAAAACCGTGGCTCAAGCTAAAGCCCTCCGTCTTTTCTTGTGTGATTGGCTGTCACCGCTGCCACTCCTGAGATGCGAACTCTATGCACCACTGAATCAGGTCTGTGATTGGATGGTCATAGAGCTGCTGAAGACCTACCCGCTCCAGTAATTAGAAGAATTGTATGGTCGCAAGTCTTTTGAGATAACTTAAACGGTCCAGGAGGTATGGTCTTGTAGAAAAACATGGGTCTGCAAAAGACGACAGTTGGTGAGGGAGCCTGCTACTGGAACTTAGGCATTCTTTTATTCCCTTGGTTCACATAATCTGAAAGGGTTTTAATATCAGGTGTACTAATTTACACACATTTTTGAATTAATGTCATGTGCTTGTGTGTGTTAAGTTATTAATCGTTTGATTAAAAGTGCTGATAAATCAAATGCATTAATATTAAATATTATTATCATCAAAATAGGAACAAATACAATCTGTTAATGTGATTTTATACATCCAAGCTGATAATAATTGTAAAACTGTGTCTTTAAACTACACGGATTGTTGCATCATAAATTGTACAGTTGTTAATTTCCTGCATCCATATATTTTGTCAGGAGAGGGATAGCAGTGATACAAGAGAAAGTGGGGGGAAAAAACACAGAAGAATTATTAAAAAACGTGCTGAACTTATACCGGTATATAATAGTTATATAGAAAAATACTAGCATCCCCTCCACTTCTGAAATCATAATTTCGTCCATGGGTTTACATTTTCACTGGATTTAAAGAACATTTTTGTTTTTGTGGTTTTATTTTTTTGGACACCGTAAATATGAATGTGGCCCATACAAGATATATATTTTCCAGTATGGACTAGTTTCTGTGAAAATGTATTTACAAAAGCACAGTTGAATTTTTGTTTGTATTATATTTCCATAATGTTTTGTTTATTCATCAACGTAAGTCAGCGGGCATGCTCCATTACAAGTAAATAACTACTGTAACTTTGTGGGTTTGATTTACTAGTTTACAACTTTGTATCTGACTGAAACATCTGCTGATGAAAATTTAACAGGTTAGTTCATACAGGCAGTGAATCATAGAGCAGACCCTACATACTTTCCAAAGTGCATACTCTACATTGAAAAGAAGTCATATTAATGGGGGAACTTGGATCAAATTAGCAGCTTAATTGGGCTCAGCTGCTACTTTTTTAACAGATGACATTGCACAATCCGGCAGGGACATCGTAAAATGACTTTTTTAAGATTGAGAGAAGGTTTAGAAGGCCATCATCTTCATAGCTTTTCAAAGCTGTTTCAAACGTTACAGGCTTTTTGAAAATTCATTTATTATTTTTAGTACATTTACAGATGACTCCTGGTCCAGTTTCATTTTTGCTACACTTTACACATCAAAATAAAACTCACAGGTTTAATGAGTAAAAGAAAATATTAGGTAGTGCTTGGCAAAAATAGTTAAATAATAAATAAATAATTTAAAGTGTTTGCAGTTCACCAGACTTAAGGGAAGACAATTGTAAAGAACTGTTGCAATTTCCTAGTCCAACTCCAGTTCCAATCTGAAAGGCTATTGGTGGATTTTAAGAAATTGCACAAAGAAGAATATGTCCAACACTCAATGATGTAAAGAATATGCTGAGAGTTGTTCTTGCCAAATCTGCTTATTCAAGGCATAGAAACATTGGCTGAACTTTGGTTTTCAAACAAAGATTTTCTACATTACCTCTTTGTTGTACAGAGGGGAATCTGCTGTGTTTTTTGTACACTTATTATTAGACCAGGATGTTCAGATTCGGTCCTTGAGAGCCGCTGTCCTGCTGGTTTTACAGGTTTTCCTGCTTCAGCACAGATTATTTCTATTGATATCTGATTAATAGGCTTTTGCTGAACTGTAATTATCAAAATCACCTGTGCTGAAGCCAAGAAACTTTGAAACCTGTCAGACAGCAGCCCTCGAGGACCCACTTCGGACATGCCCATTAGAATGAACTGTTTAACCTGGCGAAGACCAGATTACTATGAAGTCTTGCTATGTAAAAGTTCTGAAACACGCACTAATTTCTATAAATGTGTGACTCCAATTTATGAACAAAATTGAGGTTTATGCTTATACACTCATACAAGGCTGCTGTGATATTAGGCAGCATTGAGCTGATTTTAAATCGCTTTGCTAGAGCCAGTAGATGCAGAAAGTTAAACCGGCTGAAGTAATTTCTGCCTTATTGTCCAGATTCTAAAGTACAGTTTAGAACAGAGTAATTCGGGGAAAAAAGTCACACAGGTCCTAGACCTCAATCATTTAGCCTTCCTTGTTATCATTTGCTATGTCAGCCTACAAGTTTTGATTTTCAACCTGTTTACTGAATCATATTTCAGTTATAGTTATGTAATGGACATAATGTGCCGACTCGTCTTCCATTAAAGTTATCAAAATTAAAATTAGATGAAGGCTTTTGGAGTTAGCATCCTAATTTGTGCCAACTCTTTTTAATGTGATTGGACGATTGATTCAAAGACTATTCTAAGGGCTGTGTTGGGCAATTCCTTCTTCATTATCAATTAGTGAAAATTGTAGCTCCTACCTTTTTTTCCCGTCACCTTTTGCAACAACAGTAAGAACACTGTAATGCCAAATGGCATTATATTAATTTTGGACATTGACGACCAATGTCAGTGACCTGATCTTTATCCAACTGAGTATCCATGTTTGAATGTTAACCCCACTGAAGACATGCAAGCCCACAAACCAGCAGGAACTGAGTCCCTAAGGTAAAAGCCTGGTGGAGCATTTGGAAAAGAGGAAAACCAGCATCAACTAATAATGCTAAATTCAAAGCCTCATGCTGTCAAATTCATTTGAGCTAGGGAAACCAAGATATTATGTTTAATAAAGGCTACTTTTCTTTAAAATTAATGCAAACTTTTTATACAGCCAACTGAATTAAGGCTGAGAATCTTTTTTATAGAGTTTTTTATTTCATTATCTTCATGGTAATGTACAGCACCCAAATAGCAAAAAGATAATCTAGACAAATCATGTCATCAGACTCTTAAGTTCAGTAGTAGGTTATGTAAAAGGCTGTGATACTTTTATTCATAAAGGGATAAGTTAAGGATTAATTTTTGTTTTAATCAAAATATCAATTATTTAGGCAAACCTAATTTGATTATTGTTGGGCAGATATTTCAGTCTTTTCTTTAAACAATCAAATATAAATCTAATAAATGTAAAGAAATATTAGACTTTTATTACATGCAGTCCCCAAGAAAATATATAAGACCACTCTTTTTTGTTGTCATGTTCATTGTATGCATCAGTAATATAACATTTAAAACAAATGATTGGAAGTCAAGAGTAATATGACAACTTTTTCAGCAACTGTATAAATTAAGCTCTCTGGAGTGTGTGTATGTTGGAGATTTGGGCCCAATCCCAAACCGGGCCCCTAAGCACTAACCCTTCACTATCAAGTGTCACTCCCAATTAAGTCTCACTTTCAGCTGTGGAAGGCGCCTTGCTTGAAGGTGTGGGGGTATAAACCAGAATTGGAAGGCTTCTTCCCACTAACGGAAAAGGAAAGCAGTCGTTTCTAAGGCAACGCAGTGACACCCCATGTGCATGGATGCAGCTCTGGGGCGCAGGTTGACATTACATTAAACATTTGGCCCTTTCTTAAAACAAATTAAGACAGTCAGATAAAAATATTTCAAAGAGGACCTTTCATTTTGGAATTAATAAATTTTTATATACTAACTTGTGATTTTCTGTCAGTGTAACAAAAATGCAGCAAACTAACAGAATTTACATTTGGTGGAACGTGTTTCCTCCGCCACCAGGCCGCTGTTACACCTGCTGCCGAATTCCAGCAAGCCTGCATCTGATGCAGACTCACTATATAAGGGCTGAACGGTCCAATGGCCCTACCCAATATGGGGTTTGGAATGGCACTTAATATGGCGGACTGTTCGGGGGAAAGCACAAATGCAGGGTTAGTGCTCAGGGTTAGTGCTTGTGGGCCAGCTTGGGATTGGGCCTTGGTGTTGTATTTGTACACTTTTGCTACAGAGAAATGGAAACTTTAATATTTTTAACTAAAAAATTGTATAGGTTCTCTTATGCTTTATTGAATACTATTTTTCAATGCATTCCAGGAAAGTACGAGATGCTACAGGGGTTGATATTAACATGCGTGTTGGTGTACATTCTGGGAATGTCCTTTGTGGTGTTATTGGACTTCAAAAGTGGCAGTATGATGTTTGGTCACATGACGTCACATTGGCCAATCATATGGAGGCAGGAGGTGTACCAGGGTAAGTAAAAAATAAGTTAAATAAAAACACATTGGTTTAATGTCTGTTTTATGAAGTCTTACATTTTCTAACTCTTTATCTGTTGAGAATTTTTTTAAAATAATATCAATAAATATATCCCCACATGACCAATCACTTCATTTTCAGACGAGTTCACATAACATCAGTGACTCTGGAACACCTAAATGGTGCTTATAAGGTTGAGGATGGTGATGGACAAGAGAGAGATCCTTACCTAAAGGAACATGGTGTTATCACTTATCTTGTTATCAACCCAAAGGTACAGGTCTTCCCTTGAATAAAAGAAATACCAGTCATGAAAGAAACTGATTTAAAATCGCATTACTTCCATGTGTGTTCAGGTGGAGCGTCAGAGTCCAGAACCTTATTATCGACCCAGATACACTCTTGATGGAGCAAAAATGAGAGCGTCAGTCAGGATGACCCGATATCTGAAGTCATGGGGAGCAGCCAAGCCCTTTGCCAACCTCCACCACAGAGACAGCATGACAAATGAAAATGGCAAGATTAGCACTTCTGTGTGTATTTCATGTTATTCTAGACCAATTGTATTATTCATGTGATGAATAGCACATTTGTTGGTGCCAGCCTATGCTGTATCCGCTCTTGATCTGTTTTAAGGATGTGCCGATGGGACGGTATCATTTCCAGAGGAGATCAGAAAGGTAAGGTGCCATTTTATCTTTGATATTAAATTATGCAATGAGACTGTATTTTAATCAGAGGCCTTAATGTCTAAAACATAGCTTCAATTGTATTTTCTTCTTTGCACTCTTTTTTAATAAAGGACAAAGTCTCAGAAGAAAAGGTTTGAAGAGGAATTTAATGAAAGGATGATCAGGACGTTTGACGGAATAAACTCACAAAAGTAATCTTTTCTTTTTTACCTTTCTGTGTTTAGTACATTATAAACAAACAGAGTTTAGAGCTAAAACCATGTCTTAAAGTTGCTATTTATATCTGGGGTTCTTCCTCTTTCTTAAAAACTGTCTTGCAGAACAGTTTAGTATTTGTTGTTGTTTATTTCAGAAAGGGAAACTTGTATATTATGTTTACACTTGGTCCCTGACATGTAAAGATCTCAGATAAATTGCTTGTGCAAAGAAAAAGTTGGTATGTTGCAGGTTCTACTCAAATTACGAATTTTTTATAGCTGCAAATTGCTGTGGTATGCCCTATTCAAATGAGAATTTGTCTTTACTGAGAGTAGAGGGAATCACTTTACCCATGCTAAGGACAGTTCAAATTTGTTGTTACTATAGAATTCCCTTTAGTACCTAGACAGCTTGCACATCATATGGGAATTGTCAAGGCAAATGCTTTGAATTCAAAATCGAAGAATGTTATCAAAATTTGCCCCAAATTTTTTTATTTTATTTAGTGTGGACAAATAAGAAATTTTGAGAGTGAAACTGTGAAAGGACACTGAATATACCAAATTATGAATAATGTTATTTTTTGTTTACATTCCATCCAGGTTTTATGAAAGCTTGACTGCTTTTTGTCTGCTTTTTTTTTAGACAGTGGCTCAAGTCTGAGGACATTCAAAGAATATCATTGTTTTTTCATAACAGATCATTGGAAAAAGAGGTAAAATATGTTTTAAGTAACTATGCCTGTATCGCTTCTTGGGTGAATTAAAAGTACATAAACCATTATTGTTTAAAAATTTTCCCTTTTTCTTGCGCTGTCTACATTGAGCTTAAAATGTAACTTTGTGTATCATGTGTTAAAGTGTATCTTGATTGCACAGTCCAAAAGATTCTGAAGAAAATAACTCATAGAAATGTATTGTTGACGCAATGCCTTTCAAATGTTTTCTTTTGTGTTTTTTCTGTTTAGTACCGAGCAACAACCTTGCCTGCATTTAAATACTATGTCACCTGTGCCTGCTTGATCTTTTTCTGCATCTTTGTTGTGCAGATCCTGGTTCTACCAAGGTGAGTTAGATTCCTTTCTCTCTGTATATATGTATATATATATATTAAGGCTGGGACATTAACGCGTTAATTTCGATTAATTAATCACACAAATATTAACGCGTTAAAAAAACGCATTTTAATCGCACACCACAGTCTCCTGGAAGTCGTTTGGGATTTCACCCAAGTAATTATTTCACCTGTGGGGGCAGCATTAGAACTATGGCCAGAATACCGTCAGACGGAAACTGAAGAAGAAGAACAGAGAAGAAAGTAGCTTTTAACTAGAAGGAGAGACAACCATGGAAGAATTAGACGAAGCAGATGAAAACATTTTAGTTGGTCCTTTTGCAGGGGAAATTTTGTTTTAAAATACAGGAGGGAAGAGTCGATAAGAGCGCGGTCATATGTAAATTATGCAACAAGGAATTCGCCTATCACCGCAGCGTATCAAGCCTCAAATATCACCTGAACGCAAAGCATGTAGCAGCTAGTTTGGCAGATACTAGCGTGGAAGCTAGCCCAACTGGGAGGAAGACGAAACAACCCACACTACACCAGCTGACTGGCTTCAAGGGCAGGGTAAACAAGACCTAGGCCGAGAAAATGACCAACGCGCTGGCTTACTGGGCGGCTCTCGACTGTAGACCCATTGCTGTGGTAGAAGATAAGGGGCTGGAAAAGATTCTTTAAAAAAAATAAACAAACAATATTTTGTTTATTAAGCTTATGTGTTGTCATTCAAAATCCATGTGGAAAAAGTTACTTCCTGCTGTTTCCAAGTATGCGATTAAAATGCGATTAAAAATTTTAATCGCGTCCCACCCCTAATATATATATATATATATATATATATATATATATATATATATATATATATATTTATTTATATATATATATGTGTGTGTGTGTGTGTGTGTGTGTGTGTGTGTGTGTGTGTGTGTGTGTGTGTGTGTGTGTGTGTGTGAGTAATTTTTTTCTTTATACACTGCTCAAAAAATAAAGGGAACAGTACAAAACCAATATAACTTCAATCAATTCAAACTGCTGTGAAATTAAACTGTACCATTTGGAAGCAACAAATTTCACATGAAATAGACAGTAGATGCAAATTAATAGCAATTAGCAAGACACACTCAATAAAGGAGTGGTTCTGCAGGAGTTGACCACAGACCTCTTCTCAGAACCTATGATTTCTGCCTGATGGTTTTGTCACTTTTGAATGTTGCTGGTAGAAGGAGACGGTTTCTACAATCCACACAAGTGGCTCAGGTCCTGCAGCTCATCCACGATGGCACATCAATGTCAGATGTGGCACAAAGATTGGCTGTATCTGTCAGTGTAGTATACTGTGGCTGAAGGCACTACAAGTGACAGGGCAGTACACCAGGAGAAAATGGAAGAAGCTGTAGTAGGGCAACAACTGAGCAGCAGGACCGCTATCTCCACTTATGTGCAAGGAGGATCAGGAGGAGCACTGCCAGAGCCCTGCAAAATAGCCTCCAGTGGGCCACATATGTGCATGTGTCTGCACAAATGGTTAGAAACAGACTCCATGAGGATGGGATGAGTTGTCAACGTCCACAGATGGTGGTTATGCTTACAGACCGACACCGTGCAAGAAGCCTGGCATTTTCCAGAGAACTGCAAGTTTGGCAAATTTGCCACAGGTTCCCTGTGCTAATCACAGATGAAAGCTGGTTCACTTTTGTCTCCAGACATGACTGTCTGGACACCTAAGGAGAGCAATCTGCTGACTGCAACAAAAGATTACTGTACAGTGCATGACTGATTTGGCAGTGGGTCAATAATGGTGTTGGGTAGCCTTTCTGCACAGAGGTAGCATGACTGCCAATAGGTACCGAGATGAGAACCTCAGACCCCTTGTGAGACCATAATGCCAGACAATGCTAGACCTCATGAATGCATTGAAGCTATAGACTGGCCTGGCCTTTTCCCAGACCAGAATCCGATTGAGCAAATCTGGGACATCATGTCTCGATCATCCACCAATGTCACGTTGCACCACTGACTGTCCAGGAGTTGCCGTATGCTTTAGTCCACGTCTATTGTAATGAAATTACATCAAAGTTTGATCAACCTGTAGTGTGTTTTTCCACTTTAATTTGGCTCTAATTTGTGACTACAAATCCAGGCCTCCATTAGTTAATACATTTTATTTTCATTGATTTCTGTATGAATTTGTTGTCAGCACACATTCAACTTTGTACAGAAAAAAGAATTCATGGAGAATATTTAATTTATTCAGATATAGGATGTGTTATTTGAGTGTTCCCCTTATTTTTTTTTAAGCAGTGTATATGCTTCTTACTCTCTATGTATATTTAATATATATGTATATGCACTTTTTTTCTTATTCTTAGAACGGTTGTCTTAGGAGTGTCATTTGGCATGGCCTTTCTCACCCTCTCGTTGATAATTCTTATATGTTTCATTGGACACTTCTTGGTAAGTGTAATTTATTTATTTGTTTATTTTATTGTAAAGCTAAATGTGTCCTCATTTAATAGAAGTATGTTTTGCTCATTTTCAATTTTACAAAGACAGAGAGCAGTTCAAGGATTATTTCCTTAATTAATATCTAATAAATTAACCTTCTGCAGTTCAGGAATTTGCACTGTGTGGGTGAGGGTTTTCCTGATAATAATGTTAGGTGTTAATCGAGTGGCACATGGCTGTGGGGTTATGGTATGGGCAGGTGCATGTTTTTGATAACAAACACAGCTGGATTTTCTTTTCTAAGACATTTTCAATACATGGAAAAGCACCCATTGGTCGGCTATTCATCCAAGACCATCCCGTTCAGATGCAGTATGATGAAGCACAGCCCCAAGTTGCAAGGATCTTTGCACCAAGCTGGGCAAATAGTGATCACACTAGATATGAACTGTTTTGATCAAGACAGTAAAACTCGACATTGTACACTGCCTTCTTTCTTGCCAGTTCTAGGCACACCTGTGAAACAGTGACGTCTAATCAGGATGCTAATCTGCCACACCTGTGAGATTAAGGGGTTATGCTATTGAAGAATTGCTCATTAATTTATTTAGACATATTTGTAAGAAGTTGTTTCAAAAAGGGTCTTTTGTATAGAAAGATCAATCCTTTTGGATCAGTTCATTAAAAATTGGAGCACATATATGGTTTTTGTGTGTATTTAGAATATTGTCTTCTCCATATTGATACAGCACCACACCACCACACAGAAAAATCAAACCACTTAATGTTTTTGCTATTTACTCAGAAAATCATACATCCAATAACAAAACAAAAGTTGTAGAAAAGCATCAATAAAAATTAAAATCTAAATGCACATATTCTGCTTTCATTGATTTTATCAAGTGTTAATATTGGTTGCCTTCCTTTTACAACTAGTTTACAGTCTGTTTCATCAAGCTGTGCAACTTAAAATTCCTCCTTTATGAAATGGATGCTGCAGACCTTTGTTCATTCAGTTGTTTTATTCTTTTCAATGGTTTAAAATTTTGGAGTAGTCCTGTACAGTATTTAGACAGCACATCTGAAGCTTACCAATAACCATAGTTTCGAATAAACCCTTTCTAGATAAGTGTGATGAAGGAAATAAGGGAAATAATTCCTGCAGCTAAGGAGAGGCAAGCACACATACCAAGTGCTGAAAGAAAAAAAAGAATAGCCATATTAACTATTGAAATTGATGCTTGTTAATCAATGGCGTAATGACTCAACATTAGGTCCCCATATGAAGTACAACCCCCCATCCTCCCCCGGAATCCGCTTAAGTACCTCTTTTTGGTGTCCATCGTCACTAATACATAGTACGTAACGGTTATGTTTTTAATCAATGCTCTGGATTACCCACAATTCCAAGTCGTATTGTAAAAAATAAAATACTCAAATACATCATTCTTTTAAGATCTTTATTTTGGTTTTAAACATATTATACGAGTGTATTCTTTCCTACCGTCTAATGAACTATACACAGTTATTAAAGGAATAGTACACCCAAAACATGATTAGCCTTCATTTTCTACTCACCCCCATGCTGAACAACACTCTGGACTACTTTTTTGATATCTCAAATGCATCTGGAGATCTGGGAGGCTTCTTGCTGTCTGCTGACATTCAAATAATGGAGGTCTATGGTGCCCGAGACAGAAAGGTCCATAAAAGTCCACAAAAAACGTGTCAATATTCCTCCATACTGCTCGTCCAATGTATTCCAAGTGTCCTGAGTGGGTAGCGTCCAGAATTTACTCGAAACGAAGTCATTTAGAATGTTTTTAGAGCATAAACAGTAGTGTATAGGATTTCCTGAAAGCGCGCACCTGCGCGTTCACAACGCTACGGAAGCCGGCAGACCAAACCAGATGAAAGTGCGCATTCAGCGTCTGCTCTGCCAATAATGCAAGCGTAGAAGAAGAAATGTGCTGTTTACCTGTGCAAAGAAAAAAACAACGAAAGAAAAATGTCTGAGGACTTCAGTGTTGAGGAAGAGCATGAGTTCTTTGCCGAGCTGAATGCGCACTTTCATCTGGTTTGGTCTGCCGCGGTTTCCGTAGCGTCGTGAATGCGCTTTCAGGAAATCCTATACACTACTGTTTATGCTCTAAAAACATTCTAAATGACTTCGTTTCGAGTAAATTCTGGATGCTACCCACTCAGGACACTTGGAATACATTGGACGAGCAGTATGGAGGAATATTGAAACGTTTTTTGTGGACTTTCATGGACCTTTCTGCCTCGGGCACTGGGCACCTCCATTATTTGAATGTCAGCAGACAGCAAGAAGCCTCCCAGATCTCCAGATGCATTTGAGATATCAAAAAAGTAGTCCAGAGTGTTGTTCAGCATGGGGGTGAGTAGAAAATGAAGGCTAATCATGTTTTGGGTGTACTATTCCTTTAAGATAGTAATTAAAAGTACCACTGTCTGCTTCGCTATTGGTGTCGTGTTTAAACGGCTCACCATCATGATGAAATCTGCCATGTGTTGGGGTGTAAATAAGGTCTGGTCAGCTGATTTAGTATCAGGTAAGTTTAATACGAATTTTTCGCACCATTAAATTTTCAAAGAGACATCCTAGTCCACATTTGTGTAGGGGGCCTACCAGGTGTCAGTGACAGGGCCCCGAAGAGGTCAGGGGCCCCTAAGCAACTGCATACTCTGCTTACCGATAGTTACGCCATTGTTGTTAATGACTGTTAAATTGTTGGAGGGTTTATGCCAAACCCTTATCTAGCTTTTGCTAGGAGGTCAATATTATTTTATGATTTTGAGACAAATTCTGAGCACTTATCTTTATCTTTTTTAATCTAGCTCATGTTCAATCACATATTTTTTACTTATAAACTTACAAAATACTTACAAAACATAATGATTTAAGATACAAGTTATTATAGGCATTCAGCTAAATATATTTCAGTTTGGAGAGTTGGGCAACAGTTCTCATGTGATAGAGAAGGTAAACAGATATTTAACTTTTCTCAGTATGTTAAAGCATCTTAAAAGAAGTAATATTAGGCACTAATTTCCACTCAGTCAAAAGTCAGAGAATTTAAATAAATCAATAAATACAATAACAAGCTCACTTAAAATTTAAACAGGTTAGAGTTTAACTGTATATTTTATTGGGGAAATGTATACCTACATTGAGTCTGTTCTTAAACTGTTTCTTAATTTACTAGAATTCTTAAATGACAATTGCTCAGACTGTTGTGTACTGCCTGTTATATCAGCATGTAAGAGTATGATCCTGGGATCCTATGTTTCTTTTTCCTGTTGTTGTGGGGAATTCTCTCTGCATCTTTACACAGAAGAAAGATCATAAAAAATTCTGAGGGTGGTGTTGGTGTGGGTCTTTGGTTTTGAGGGGATTGTATTAAGTTGTGTATTGCATTATACAGAACATAAAGGTTGCACCTCCACATGCTTTTGAGGTGATGTAGTAGAATGAAAGGCATCTTTGGGCACCTCTGTCCTCACTGAACAAGTTTGCCACAGTCTCTCACACTCTCACTTGACAAGAGAAAATCCAAGAGGAGAAGAGAGTGCAGAACACAAGGAGATGCTTAGAGATAATAAAAACACCTCTATTTTCTTTTTGTGATGCAACAAAACTACTATAAAACCAGCATGGGGATGATGAAGATAAACTGGTTTTAAAATATTAAAGTACTGTAATTTTCAAACTTGTCCAGGCTCATACAAGTTGTTCTTCCTGAGTACTGATCATTTTACCATTGAGTGCTTTTAGTTCTAAACTCGGCTCCCCATTATCTTGCTTGGGATTCTACGACAGCTCTTGGTTACATAAAAAATATGAAAACCTTCAGCTTTTGTGTTGCCATTTTTCTTGTATGTTTTTTTTTTTTTTTTGTCTTTGCATTGCAGTTTCTATATCTGTCTGGGAGGTGTCTTCATTTTGTGGAACATTTTTACTTAGGAAAGTTTTTTCAGTGTTAGGTTTAGATCAGGTCGTTACAGGACAGAGAAAAATGCTTGGAGCTTGCACAGCTGTGAGCTAAAAAATCACGTCCGCAAGCGTCCGGCAAAGTTTGAGCCCCGAACAAGGTCCTCTCCTGCTTCTTATACCTCATGAGTCTATGTGTTGCATCATGTGGATGTTTAGCTGTCCGTATCAGAAACTGACACGCCATCCCATGCACTGACCTGTATGCATCTTGCCTCTATGCCCAAGAATTACAGATAGCTCCCCTTTATCAGACCGGCTCCAAGATGTGCCCATATCTTGTGTATCTTTAAAAGACAAGAAGGCTGTCCTATTTAGATGACCTCCTTACACACAGTGACATCTACAATGTGAAGGAAGGCCCTCTACTCTGTCTAATCTGGTTAACAGAATAACAATGCACATGATGTATAAACTATAAACCTAACAGCAGGATCTCCTGTGCAGCAGCACACTTTTCCCAAGATGCCCCGAGTTTTCTTGGAAGGACTTTGTGGGACCGTCTGTTTATGTTTCCTGGAGAAATTTGGCCCTCTCTGTATGCTTTTGGCAATTATGCCCTAAGAATACATCTTTCCCTCTGAAACTACTCATTTTTTGATGATTGTACTTTTTATCAGATCTGAAAATGTTTTGTATATATGCTCTTTTAAGTGCAGCATTCTTATATTCACAATTATCTGGTTTTCTTAACTTTTCAACCAAAGTTAATTTACATTAACATACAGGATGCTTGTCTGTCCATGTTTGGCAAAGAGATGCACATTGCTTATCTGGGGAACACATACTGTAGCACCATGCAGTACATGCAGGTCAGTTGGCAGAGCTGTTGTGATGCAATGTTATGACGCATAAACATAAATTCTGCACGTGGATGTTACCTTGGCACATACTATTGGCTATGAACACCCTTTTTTGGAAACTATTCCCTAAGGACTGCACCCTGACACAAAGCAAAGACTGCTTAGGAATGGCTTGAGGAGCATTTAGCGGGCTAAAGATATTGACTTGGACAAAATGCTCAAATGAATATTATAGTGTCATAAATCTGGTTTGTTGGACTATTTTTAGCTGGTTGGCTGATTGCCTCTCCCTGCTCTGCTCCACTTTGCTGGTTGGAGTAAGCAGATGCACCTATCAGCTCCTAATCACCCTCATTCCTGCCAGCTATCATTTTAACTATTTATACCTGTCTCGTTCAGTTATCTTCTGACTAAATGTCTCCCCCCTTACCCATAGTGTATAAGGATCGGCCCAGCGTCCGTATGCACTGCCAGCCTTCCTTGGTTCCTGTGTTCAGCCATCCATCAGTGGATTTTCATTGTCTCCTTGATCTTGTCATGTTCTACTCAAAGTCTCTATTCTGTTCATTCATCACTTGCATTCTCAGGTCTGCGGTTAGCCAGTTCAGTCAGACACCAGAGTTATGCCTTCATCTGCCTCCTCAAGCCTGCTACCTGTCTGTTCTGCTTGTCACCAACTGCTTTAGTCATCCCCTGGCTGCTCCAGCTAGCCCCCGGTCTATCTGACTGCATTCACAAACATGAAATAATTAAATTAAACTTAAACTTGTTGTTTGGTTGAATCCAAAGTTTATTTCTTTACAGTATATTTTACAAATATACAGTACATCTTCTTTAAAACATTTTTTTAGATGTTTTATTAGGCTCTACTGGCCTTTATTTTTGTATTTTTAGAAAGTAGGAAGACAGGAAATGGGATTAGAGAGAAGGCAAAGACATGCAGCGAAGGTCACCAGGCCATAACTCAAACCTGTGACGGCCATGCTGAGGACTAATGCCTCTGTATATGGGTCGCACTCCTAATCCCTGCACCACCACCGCACCCACATCTAATTTTATGGACACTTTGGCTCTATTCTTGACTGACTCCCCAGGTGTTGTCAGAGGAGTTACACTGGAGGAAATTCTCCTCCAGGTGCTGGTCCTAGGTAGTGCTATTTCTGTCTTAAATCTCAACTTGCTTCTTATTTTTTTGGTCTCAAATCTAAGTTTCCTTCATGTTACCCTATGCTATAAGTTGTCTCCATCTGAGAGGAGCTGTAGATTTCTGCTAGTGTACCTGACATCTGTTCCAAATCATTATTTAATTGACTGCCAGCTTGTCAGTCTCTCACCAAAGCATCTGTTCCTACCTCTGTGACTGTGGAGACTGCCAGAGCTTCTCCTACTTTCACCATAGGTCAGCTGGATGCCTGGCTTTCTGTCACTGGACATCAACTCGACCCGTAAATTCAAGCCAATTCATGTTAGCCGGAAACCTTGCATCCTGTGCCTTGGGGTCCACTGGATGCTTGGCCTCCTGTAATGGGGAGTCTACTTGATGCATTGGCCCAAGTCACCAGTGATCTGAAATCTAACAAGAGCTGAACTCCAACCAGAGCTTCATCTGTCCAAGCATCAGTGTTTGAGTTGTGTTTTGGTTCACTGGAATCCACTCTTGAGGGAAGGACTTGTCAGGAGTCTGGTCTGCCGTCCTTTGCTTTGGCTATCTCTTTGGTCAGTGTCAGGGTTCTGCCCTCAGTTTAGTTTTTTCTTTTTAGTTTCTTTGTAATTGTGTGTCTTTGTAGTTGTTTTCTAGCAGTGTTGTGTTCTTGAGTTGCTCTGTTGCCCCCTTGTGCTTGTTTCCTTTCCCCTTGGCTCCCTTCAAGTTAGTTCTATTCACACCCGCTCCGTATCAGCTCATTAGCCCATCCTTTGTTCTGTTCCCCAAATATACACCACCTCTGTAGTTCATCATTGCTGGTTTCTTGTTGTTTTGTTGTTACTAGGTTTCCTGTGTGTGATTTTCCCTGGCATCTCCTGGTTTTTTGCTTTTCTGTATTTTGGATTTTTTGATTTTTCGCCTATGTTGCCTCGGACTTACCATTAAATCTGCAAACTCATATCTGCCTACTCATCTCTGCATTTGGATCCTCTAAAAACCTCCACCAAACCTTGACAGTTATATAACATAAAATCACATTGATCAGAAGTTCCCAGTTTTGTAAAACAAAACAAGAAATACATTTATTTCTAAAATTTCCAAATTTAAAAGCTCAGCAACATGTACAGTTTCATGAATATGGTCTATTGAATTGTTTTTTGGGGCTTTTTGGTTGATTGCCTCTTCCTACTTTGTTCCACTGTAACTAGAGTAAGTTGATGCATGTGCAACTCTCCCAGTTACTCTAATCTCTCCCACCTAATAGCATGCCTATTTATACATTCCTCTCAGTTATTTCCTACCAGAAGGTCTTCTCCTGCTTCTGTGAGGATTATTTCTTTCTCAGTGTGCAGTCATTCTGGGTTCCTGTGCTCACCCTGTCCTCACTGGTTCTTCACTCCAGTGTCGATGTGCTCTGCCTCTACCTCCCTGGGTTCCTGTGCTCAGCCTTTCCTTACCTGATTCTCATTAACTATCAGAGTCCACAACTGTGTCTGACACTAGTTTGTTCTATTTGAATCCAATCAGCTCAGAACCAGCTATTATCAAGTCGGCTCAAAACCTGTCTCCGCCCTGCTCAGTCATTGTCTGCCTACTCGGGTCTGCAATCAGCCAGTTCAGCCTGTTAGCCTGGGTTCTGCCTTCATCTGCCTCAAGCTTGCTACTTTCTGTTCTTGTTGTCATCAACTGGTTCAGTCCTCCCCTGCCTGCTTAAACTTGCTACCAGCCTACCTTCCTGCATTCAAGAATAATCTTTACAAACTGTTTCATTGAACCCTTTAAACTCACACTTTGTGCCTTGCAGAATCCTCTACCCTCATACTTCTTCTGCCTATCTATAGACAGCATTCAATAATTATGGCTGCCCAGTGAAAACTATAAAATGACTTCAGTCGTAAGAAGTATTGTATTAATTTCCCAAGAAACATGTTAAGAAGTAATGATATTTTAAGAATATATTGATAGGTAGCATTTATGGGTTGGTTTTACTGCTAAGGATTTATGTCGGTTTTAACAAACTTATTTAAAATTCTATATATTTTGTGCCAATTGTTAAGATGTAAATATTAATATACATTCTTCTCATGTACATTTCTAACCTACCCTTGCCTAACAAGGCTGTGCTCTTTAGTAATAGTGTGCCTTCACAAATAAACAAGAATTAATTTTGTCCCGGTTCCACTACAACCATTTGAGAGGAAACCATTCGGCCAATCATATTGCAGTATTGTGGTTTTGGTTATAACTACTGAGCCCACAGCTGAATCAAAATAAACATAGCAGTACAGGGTATACACATAGTTGCTTCCATCACATCTGTGTTTTCAGAATAAATGATTTATTTGAAAGAGGAATATCATAAAAGCCTAAGCCAGGCATTCCTAAAGTCAGTCCTTGAGGGTCTGCTGTCCTGCAGTTTTCAGAGGTTTCTCTGTTCTTCACAGCGGACTAGTGGTTACATATTGTCAGTGTGGCTTTCCAAGTTATGTATAAGTTGAATTCTTCAACCTTTTAAAACTGTACAGTAAGATTTTTTATTTGAGTATTTAGGTTTGTGGCTTTGGGCTTTGCTTTTTGTTTTTTGTTTTTTTTTGGGGGGGAAGTGTCCAAAATCCTATAGTATACAAAGTTTTATCTCTTCTTGTCCTTGTGTTTGTCTTTGTGTGCATACAGCACTGCAATAAAAGTGCATCTACTTCTTGGATGTGGCTGCTGAAATCATCAATTATTATTGCCAACAAGCCTTGGCCTCGCATCACTCTCACCATGACAACCACCACTTTGATACTTATAATGGCAATCATCAACATGGTAAGTTTATATGGGCAGGTACAGCACTAAGAAATGGCTAACACCTTGTAGAATTAGAATCTTATAAAGTATTTGTTTTAACAACAATTCTCTTTTTTTAAATAACCAAATTATATGAAAAGGTTAAATGATCTTTAATTATCTATAAAATTACCAGATTGCTTAATTGTTTGTGTTTTTCATTGACATTCATCAATATATTTTCTATGAATTCTCCATGTCGGTGTTGTTTTATATAAACTGATAATATAATATTTAACATTTTAGTTTTCATTTATTTATTTTTGCCCCTTTATTTTTCAGATTTATCCGATTATGGTTTACTTTGATGCAGAGGAAAGATGAATACATAAAGGCTCAGATAAAGAGGGAACAGTAGCCTTAGGCTTGAGACAAGGCTGGCTTTGTGATAAAACATAGTGTCAGGACCCTGGTCTAAAACTTCCCAAAAATCAATTCCGGAGATTATAATCGTGTTTTGTGTGTTCAGGGCAGGGAACCAAATTATCCTGCCTTTGCTCAGTGGGACAGCAATCCTTGTTTTATCCTGCAGGTTTTCTTTAATGGTCATTATTGAATGTTTGTCACAATTGGCCTCTAACAAGATTGTATTTTCCTCCAGCAAGTCTAATGCTGACTAGTTCATCTATACACACAATAACAAGCAAAGCAAACTGATTAAATGTTTATGTTTTTCTTTCCTATTTTTTTTTTTGTTTTTCCTTGAATAGTAAAGCAGTAATTTTTTTATTCTTTGATTTTTTTGTTCCAGTTCTTTTTGGAAGATGTATCCCCACCAGTTCAACTTCACAACTCATCTAATGAAACAGTGTTTTACTCTAATGGGCAACCTTTAAACTTCTCAGGCCAAAACAATTATTACCTACCTGTAAGTATGGACAGAAACAGTTAATGAGAAAATGGTTATTATTGCTCCTTTTTCATTATTTGTCCTACAATTAATCAGCCTTTCTGTCTGTCAATCTTTATGCTCTGTTCAGTATTTAATTTACAGTTGCATCCTGGGCCTGATCTCTTGCTCCGTGTTTCTGAGAATAAACTACGAGCTGAAGATGATTATAATGTTGACTGCGGTGGTGATCTACAACATTATTATTCTACAAACACACGCACCTCTGCTGGATGAATATAGCAGATTTCTGTATAAGACTGAAAGCCTTGACAGGTAGGTAACCGGAATGTCTTTTAGGTTTTCATTAGCAGCCAAAACAACAGACTTCCATTTAAAAATGTGGCTATTACACACCTCATTACGTGAGTGTCATTATAGAAAGAAAACAGCTCTGTTGCAAAGTTCCATTAATTACTATATTGCACTGGAAACCCTGCAACAGATTAAAAGTAAAATTGATGTAAAATACAAATACAAGCTAACATTATTCCAAATTCAAATTGCCAAGCAGTGTCTGTCTGAATATTTTAGGTGTGTATTCCATGCTGGTTAAAGACTGGAGGGTTTAAACAAATCTTCTAAATGTAAAGCTCTGGAAGAATCCCTGTGAGGCCCAGTGGCAAATTCAATTTAGGTACACCAGCTGGATATCAAGTACAAGATAGCATCCCTAACTGTGATTTAAGTGGAATTAGACCAAAGTAACATACTGCAGTCTTTTATAATGGGTAAATGTATCACACTCTTGTTTTCCTCGCTTCATGCATTTTACAGCATTGAAAAGCAGCAAAGGCATTCGGAAATGACCTTCTTTAAAAGATTGGTCGAACAATTTGTTCCTAAGTAAGCCTATTAATTGAGGGTATGATGATCAGAGTCTATTTACTTAAGTAGAAGTAACACTACAACGTTTTTATACTCAAGTAAAAGTAAAAAGAAGTGATCTCAGACATAACTTGAGAAAAGTTAAAAAGTAATTGGTAAAAAGGCTACTCAAGTATTAAGTAAATGTTCAATACACTGTAAATACATTGTAAACATGAGTAAAAAAATTCTTAACTCTTATTACTCTTATCATCGAGAGTATTTACCCTTAATTTGAGCAGGAAAATAAGATGATCTGCCAATGGAATCAATATTTATACCCTTAAAATAAGGTCGTTAGATATTATGCACTCGAAATAGGAGCCTTTTTTCATATTTTTTATTTAAAATTGTTTTATTCCATGGGCAAAGTGTCCCCTTAGCTGCTCAATTAAAGAAAATATGCACTTATTTGAAGAAAAAATACTTTTTACAGTTTACATTGAATTTATTATTTAGAAATGATTCAGACTGACAGACTTTATGTGCTGGTTTGGGTATTTTAAAGGCTCAATAGCATAAAGAATAAAAGAAATTTCACAAATACAAAAGAGCAAAATCATGCTGAATAAATACTTTTAATAAAACATTTTTTTACATAACACTTAGAAAATCAAAACTTACAGTGATATCTGTATATATATGTTAAGACAGAGTAAAAGATGTCCACTGACAATATCTACTGGCACTGCATGTTCACCTAATCTTGAAATAGTTCAAATTACTCAGATGTTAAGAAACTTAACTCAAATAGGAGTGGCAATAATTAACTTATTATTCATGTAAAAGTAGGAATTACAGGAATTACAGTAAAACTACTCCTATTTTTTCAAAATATTACTCAAGTAAATGTAACTGAGTAAATGTGATAATGATAATGGTGTAATATGGTGTTTGTTTTGGATACAAAATGTGAAAGATTAGAGGTTCTTTATTTAAATATGATGTGACTATTTATTTAAAGTATAAGTTCAATACTCCATACTGTAAAATTAATCTTAGATGAATGATCAGAAAAGTAGGTTGGACTGCAGTCAGTTGGGGCTGCTTCTAGCATTCTGTATGTGGAGGTGAGTAAATCTCTCCTCTGTGTGGTCTTGATATATGCTGCAGCATTTGAGTGCTACTTTCAATAATTAAGTTTCATTGGAGCACAGAATTTAGGATTTAGATTTTTATTTTATTTTTTACGTCAGGCTGCTGCATGTCAGATTTTTTTCTGACATGCAGCAGCCTGACGTAGCAGCTGATGACTTTGCTCATGTTTGAAAGCAAATTCATTAAGAGGAAATTGTTCAGTGATGTCTATTTAAGGTATATTACCTTCTCCTAATGAGACAGACACTAACAAAATACACAGAAGATCGACAACAGAGTGCTTTTAGGTTCTATGGGAAAAAAAGATGGAGCTGGTAAAATTTTAATGTGAAGGGGAGTTAAATTATCTATCATGAGTCATCACAATATTTCTGATATTGCCCAATTTTTTTTCTCTCCATAGAATTAGCAAATTCTCAGAATGTGGGTATTTGTACATTAAAGCTGTGATATAATTTGAGGTTTTGTATTCACAAAATTTTTTAGGAATAGTTCTCAGACATTATGGGGCTTATAATGGATATCAAATTGACTCTACATATTTTTCAGGCATTGGGGATCAAACAATTAGGAAATTATTTTCACTGCATCAAAACGTGGGTGTGACCAAGCATTGTATACTTATAACTTATAACTTCCACACACTGGGTCTGAGGTTAATTATAGTTGCTGTGTGTCAACTCCAACCAGCAATAAAAAGCAATCTAGGCTGACATGTGATGGGCGTGGCTTGATTTCTTCACAGTGCCCCCTAAAATCACTAAAACAATCAGCCCAAGGCCACAGTATTATGAAGATTGGAATACATGCATATTCCACCAACAAATACAGAAATAACAATTGAAGCCAAACCCAAAGGAACTTGAACATTTTGGATCATGTGGGTGTGACCAAGAATTGAAATATAACTTCTTACCATAAAAAATAATGTGCTATAACTTCCACCAGCAGGGTATGAGTTGAATATGGGCCAAATTGACATAGGAGTCAGGGTGCAGTTCCTGGGGTCCCAATAGGCCAAGTGCCGTTTGCTGCTTTAGCCATCTTTGTTATTGCCCCGCTATTATGAGATTCAGCCTTATTTTAGCCTTATTTCAAAAGGAGCTAACTCAGTGTGCTATGCTCCTTTCTAACATTTCTGATGGGCTCCATCTTATTTTCTAAAAGGAAATTCTGAATTCTACAAAATATGTTTACATCATTACTTACATCCATAATGGTGGGTTGGGGCTTCATCAAAAAGGGCGATGCTTCCACTGAGTTTGCTCATTGCAATACTCTCTGAAACAGGTCCACACAAAAGTTGGAGTTATTCGGGAGATAAGCTGTCATTGTTTGTGTTAAAGTTCTAATTGCTTTTAATGAATAGCTGTAGTCAATGCAGCATGACAGTGCCACGCTGCAGTAAGAATGCCAATGCCTCTTGTCACAGCAAAGCAGAAGTGACAGTCTAGGCTGAGTGACAGCTTAGAATAAAACGGTCTGCTAACCATTCATGTGGCATGTGTCTGTGTTGATTGTGATCTCTATGTGTAATTAAATAGTCTAAATCTAATTATTTTCTCTTTAAAATGTTCAGTTGCTTTCTGTGAATCTCTTTTCATTAATTAGATTTGCCATTATCATTACTATCTAACAAAAAAGTATTTATTTTTTATTTCTTGGCTACTTAAGACCTGGAGTCCTCAAGGATCTGAAGACCATGGGCTCCGTCTCTCTTTTTATCTTCTTCATCACATTGCTGGTTCTTGCCAGACAGGTAGGCCTTCATGTGATTAATTTTTTTATTTATATACTTTTTTTATGCATGCTAGATTATACAACTTCTGAAGATGTACCAAAAGGTATCTCTGCAACCTTTTCTCTGTCTATTTGTGTCTTTATGCACCTAAATTTGGAGCTGTCAAATAATTTTTTACTTTTCTTTTCTCTCATTTCCTCTCATGCCATTCTTGATGCTCTGTGCACATGGTCTGCCGATTCCAAATATAGCTTCATCTCTATAACTCGTTTTTTCTTCACTCCAGTGTTTTTCTTCAGTCAGACTGTTTTTATTTTAATACTCTGAATTCCCCAACCTAAAGTTAATGATGCCCCAAGTTTAGTTTTTCTTTTTCTTAAGACGCAAATTAGGTTTTCTGGCTGGTTGCAATCTCTAAAACAGCTTGTCGTGATTGATTAGCTTCTTCCAGAAAAAAAGCAGTTTGAATAAAACCTGACTGAAGCTAGATATCTGCCTCTAAACTTAATTATCACCGATGGCTCTGGGCAGTTTTTCACAGTGAACAAAATCTTCCTTAATGGATTTAGAGTTCTTAAATATCAAACCAAACACAGGATCAAGGGTGCTTTCTGTATAACCTTTACAAGTTTGATTTGTTTTTTTTTCTCACCAACATGCCACAGGACCATATTTGATTCACATGGTGGAGGTCTCATAGTGTCATGCTAAAATATTACTGCTTTGCTTTTCATTCATTTATTTTTCACAGTCCGGTTGTTTAAATTTGAAAGCAATTTACTGAGATTTAACATGAGGGATTACCAGAAAATACAAAGCTACATAACTGTGAGGGGTAAGAAACTTCATAGACCATTTTATTTCGCTTTCCCATTTTCCATTTGTAGTTATCATTTCAGGATTGATCCACATACTGTAGAATATCAAACTTTGATTACAGCTGCAAGTCATTTTAGTTGCGTCTCTACCCGCTTCGAACATCGAAAGAATGAAATTTGTGATTATTCTGTTTTATGAAACAACTCTAACCCAGTCAGATTAGATAAAGACCATCTGGGAGAACTCATTTCAAGTTTTGTTTTAAAATGAGTCAGATTTAGGAATTTCTCTTGTCTCTTTCTGTGTAGCACCTAGTAAAAAGGTAGGCTGTTTCCTCAGATCCTTTGTGGTTTGAAATTGACTCCATCTAACCTCCCATAAACATGGCCAGCTTTCCTGTCCATTTCTATTATATGTTGTGAAATAGAGAGATTTTAAAGTATACTGTTGAAAAAAATAAAGGAACCATCTCAACAACACAATGTAATTGCAAGTCAATCACTGTTCTTGAAAATCAACCTTTCCAGTAAGAAAGTAGCGCTGATGGCGAATCAGTTTCATCTGCTGGTTTGAATTGAATATAATATAATTGAACTTTATTGTATCTCACACTGGAGAAATTAACTCACTGCATTTAGCCCATGTCCTTGGGGAGCTGTGAGCTGCCACTGTGCAGGGCCCAGGGAGAGTGTGGGGTTTAGGATCTTGCTCAGGGACGCTGAGTGGCAGTCTCTCTAACCGCTAGTCCACCACAAACAGAGAGTAGGTGGAAATGAGAGGCCATTAGCAAGCCAACTGGTAAAGAAGTGGTTTAGCAGGTGGTGACCATAGACAATTTCTCATTTTTTTCCTTTCTGAATGATGTTTTGGCCGCTTTATCAATGCTCTCGCCCATGAAGGTAGCAAGAGGTGGTGTCTGCAACCTGAAGAGGGGGCTCATTAAGTGCAGCTTGGAAAAAAAGCTTGGCACATCAATCTGAGCTGTGGGAAGAATGTTTGCTGTGACCTGTGCTTTTCACAGATGAGAGCGAGTTCACACTGAGCCCATGTAACAGATTTCGATGTGTTATCCAGAGCTTTCATATTTTCCTTGTGCATGATGGTGTTAAGCTTCTTGTGGCTTCAGTCTCAGTAGTTCCTGTATGTTTTGTTCCACCCACCAATCTCAGGAGGAGAGGTGAAGAAGCAGAGGGGACTGTTTCTTTGGACAACCCCTCTAGTTCACCTCCATATGTGCCACCTATGGTGCATACCCACTTTTGCACCGCTGCACCAATGCCAAATTACATCACAGGCTGTCCAGGAGTTGAATGATGGCCTGCCAAAAAACAGATTGAAACCATGTAGAATTAAAATTGAACTACGCCTGTAGGAGCTATTTCTCTATTTTTGTTTTAGAACTTAGATTATTTAGTTAGTTTGTATTTATTTGGTTATTTGTTGCATTTTTGTTTGAAAGTAGTTGCTTAGAATACAATTATTTCTTAGTAAATTGTTTAATTAGTTAATTGATTTTGTTTGGGTGTCTGGTGTATAAATACATGGACTCCAGGTAGCTCAGGTGAAAAGTGGGTGGGCTTATGGTTTTTTACCAGTCTTCCAGTCTTCTAGCTGCAGTCTATCAGGCCTTTCAGAAGGCAAGTCACTCAGCCTTAATCAGGTGAAATGAGCACAAAGGCAGAAACCAGGCCAGGAGATGTGGCAAGTAGTCTTTTTGAGTTTGTATCATGTTTATTTTTCCTGAAGAAACCTGGAATAAACTCACCGAACTGCATTTTTCACGTATTTTGAGAATTTTTTGTACTGCGTAAAACCAGAAACCCACTATTCCTCAAGTGACTATTTGATTTACATTTATTTTTTGCTTTTTAATTTTTAATTTTTTTCATAGATAACTAGTCACTACAACGCCGATCGATCTGTAAGGAAGTGTAGTAACAGTTCGCAAAAGGGAGGGACTCAATTCTTCGAATTGATTGGGTACCTGCTTCCCATGTTGAGTTTTTAGCCAATCCCAGCAGCATTAGTAGTTTGATTTCTTTCAGAACTAGTGGAGTTAACGATTAATACAAACTCCTACCTAATCCGGTATCGGGGAACATGCAACCGTCCTACCACCCAGAAAGGCTTTTATTTGCTTTGTAAAGAGAAAAAGAGGGTATTCCAGCTAAAACCAGTGCAGCCATGTTTGTTTTGTTTCAGCCTTCTGCCTCTGGTTCATGCGTTGACGTCATACACCGAAACATTTCTGTATCGAGGCCAAACGTATCTGCTGGCTCCTTGTAACATTTATTTTTTTGAGCAGTGTATATTAAAAATGCAAAAGCAGAAAGGACCACTGAAATATGTGCAACCTCAAGGGTTATTAGTAGCTGCAGTTAACACCTTGTGTTTTCTGAAGGGTTGTATTTTATAAGATTTTTCACCTTTATCATTGGAGCATTACAAAAATATAAATAAGTGATATAATTTTATTTTAACAAAGCTGCAGTTGTTACTGTTTAACAGGTTATCTTTAATACAAATGAATGTCTTGAGATTTTTCTTTCCCTTCCAGTGCCAATGTTCAGATTTATGTCATTTATGTGTGTTTTTCTGTGCTTAATGGAAGCAAGCTTTACTGATATCTCTTCAGTCTCTTCACCTCTGTGTCCTCTTGTAACAGAATGAATATTACTGTAGGTTGGACTTTCTTTGGAAGAACAAGTTTAAAAAAGAATGTGAGGAAATTGAAACAATGGAGAATCTCAACCGGGTTTTACTGGAGAATGTCCTTCCTGCACATGTTGCAGAACACTTCTTGGCTCGTAACTGGAAAAATGAGGTTGGTGATTTTTCTTTTCCTACTGGCACATACTGTATTTGTGTATGATAATATAAGCTTTGTTGGAAACGTATACAGATTTAATGCAAATGTGCTATAATTACCAGCGTTATAGTTTTGTTATGGTGTTTTTTCTTAACTATTATGCCATGCAGCAATTAAAATATCTTCCAACAAAGCTTATTTTCTTCACACTTAAAGGACTAGTGGAGGATGTTCTTTTTCCGGTGGATCATCAAAATAAGTTGTCCTCCTAATTGTCAGTCATTCTGGTGATATATTTATGGAAGGCCGTCCTACGTGCTCATCCCCATTTTTACTTACCGGTGGTGAGTTTGACATAGTGGAAAAATAGCAAATCTTCTTTTGGAAAGTAAGCTTGTATGAGTGATTCAAACAGCAACTTTTACACAGAGCGTGCACGAGGAGAAATGGGCTTGTACATGCTCTTACACCCTTTTAATAGAAGTTTCTTTTTGAGAGCGGGTACAGGGTTGTGCATGTGCTTTTTTTTTTCTAGGTGGAGAAGGGGGGGGGGTCTTTTCAAAATTTCTACACTATACATTTAAATCTTTAACTTATTGTGCTCAGATAAAGCACTTTTAAGAGCTTGCTTCTTTAAAATCTGTTTTGTGGGTTGCACTCATTGTGAGGGCTGTGAATGACTACAGGACTGGATTGTTGAGACTTCCCCACAGTAGTTAAGCACATAATATCTCATTATGAAAACTCATTTCTTTAATTTATTTTATCTAATGCTTAGATTTCATGACCTGGTGCCGAGGGTGTCTGTATCTTGGTAGTTACAGTAGTTGAATGCTCCTTCTGTTACGTCTGTTACATGTCTCTGGTCATAGAGCTTGGCTCCCAAAGAAACACCTTATGTATATTACTATGTGTAGCCACATGAGTTGATTGAAATTAATATTCCTAAGGTATTAAGGTGCACCTTAATTGTGGCAAGATGTGAAACACTCAGCACTTGTATACACTCACCGGCCACTTTATTAGGTACCCCATGCTAGTAACGGGTTGGACCCCCTTTTGCCTTCAGAACCGCCTCAATTCTTCGTGGCATAGATTCAACAAGGTGCTGGAAGCATTCCTCAGGGAGTTTGGTCCATATTGACATGATGGCATCACATAGTTGCCGCAGATTTTTCGGCTGCACATCCATGATGCGAATCTCCCGTTCCACCACATCCCAAAGATGCTCTATTGGATTGAGATCTGGTGACTGTGGAGGCCATTTGAGTACAGTGAACTCATTGTCATCTTCAAGAAACCAGTCTCAGATGATTCCAGCTTTATGACATGTTGCATTACTCTGCTGAAAGTAGCCATCAGAAGTTGGGTACATTGTGGTCATAAAGGGATGAACATGGTCAGCAACAATACTCAGGTAGGCTGTGGCATTGCAACGATGCTCAATTGGTACCAAGGGGCCCAAAGAGTGCCAAGAAAATATTCCCCACACCGTGACACCACCACCACCAGCCTGAACCATTGATACAAGGCAGGATGGATCCATGCTTTCATGTTGTAGACGCCAAATTCTGACCTTACCATCCGAATGTCGCAGCAGAAATCGAGACTCATCAGACCAGGCAACGTTTTTCCAATCTTCTATTGTCCAATTTCGATGAACTTGTGCAAATTGTAGCCTCAGTTTCCTGTTCTTAGCTGAAAGGAGTGGCACCCAGTGTGGTCTTCTGCTGCTGTAGCCCATCTGCCTCAAAGTTCGACGTACTGTGCGTTCAGAGATGCTCTTCTGCCCACCTTGGTTGTAACGGGTGGTTATTTGAGTCACTGTTGCCCTTCTATCAGCTCGAACCAGTCTGGCCATTCTCCTCTGACCTCTGGCATCAACAAGGCATTTCCGCCCACAAAACTGCCGCTCACTGGATGTTTTTTCTTTTTTGGACCATTCTCTGTAAACCCTAGAGATGGTTGTGTGTGAAAATCCCAGTAGATCAGCAGTTTTTGAAATACTCAGACCAGCCCTTCTGGCATCAACAATCATGCCACGTTCAAAGTCACTCAAATCACCTTTCTTCCCCATACTGATGCTCGGTTTGAACTGCAGGAGATTGTCTTGACCATGTCTACATGCCTAAATGCACTGAGTTGCCGCCATGTGATTGGCTGCTTAGAAATTAAGTGTTAACGAGCAGTTGGACAGGTGTACCTAATAAAGTGGCCAGTGAGTGTATAGTCCACCCTAAGATTAACGCAGCCATTTCTCTCAATTGGAATTTTTCATGGAAGTGAAAAATCTTTCCTTGACACTTGGCAGCTGAGGATAAATTTAAAACTCCTCCATGTCATTAGTGTCAGTCTTGTTTTATACCATGTTCACTTTTTACACTGTAAGATGTGAAAAGTCAGATTGGATCCATATTTTAATTTAGGTAATGAGATGACTTTAGAATGACGAGTCTGCTGCTAAGTAGGATCAAAGTTGATGGCCTCATGGATTTTAGACAGAAGTGATATTTGGTGATATGTCTGACCTTAGCTGTCTGTCGGCACTTTTAACTAAGGGATGTTAAATGTTGAGATCTTTCCAAGCTGATTTTAGCTGATTTCTTGCAGGATCTTTACCACCAGTCCTACGATGTGGTGTGTGTCATGTTTGCCTCTATCCCAGACTTTAAAGAGTTCTACACTGAATCTGACGTCAACAAGGAAGGATTGGAGTGTCTCAGGCTTCTTAATGAAATCATTGCCGACTTTGATGAGGTAAATTGCCATCAGTCTTAAAGCTTTCATAACATTGCCTCTTGAATGCAGAATTGTAATCAGCATAACCGGCAGACTTGCTGACAATTATGTTCATAATATCATTATTCAGGGTTTGTTTTTTATATATATTTTGTGGTCAAGTATTTTTCAATTTCTCCACAGCTGCTTTCCAAACCTAAATTTAGTGGTGTGGAGAAGATAAAGACCATTGGCAGTACTTATATGGCAGCTACTGGACTTAACACATCAACTGCTCCTGAGTACATTACCCTGGTAGGCTTATTGTACTGGCCTTTTTCTCTTACTATAATGGTAAATGCCTGAAATGCTGTATTATAAATAGCTGTTGCTCTCTTTCAGGAGCATGACAGACAGTATATGCACTTAGGAACCATGGTGGAGTTTGCATTTGCTTTGGTGGGAAAGTTAGATGTCATCAACAAACATTCATTCAACGACTTTAAACTCAGAGTTGGTGAGTCTCATAAAAAACAAAAACAAAAAAAAAACTCAAACCCTATCACAGTATTATGGTAGAAAACGTGACAAAATAAACAACTTTTCAGAACAAAGATATTTCAGCACATTGTAATTATGCAGTCTGTGCATAAGTCTAGCTGTTCCCTGTGACTGTAGGTGGCTCAGTACGTCACATTGGTCAGTCTGATATCTTCCATATTATGGTTACATAACAATGGCTCCTCCCACTATAAAAGGTAAATACAGTAACAGTTGGAGATCACTAAGTTGGCTAAAATGTAAAAAAAAATGGGTTCAGCAGAGAAGAATACAGAATAGTGTAAAGTGATTTCTGTTCTCACCAACCATCTACTCCCTACATTACGCTGTTAGAAAATCGGGGTGAGACCCTGATGGTAAAGCTACGTGCACACAGCAGGCAGATGAGACTCATATTACACTTTTTCATGGCAATCTGACTGCCTCAATTCCAATCTTTTCACCTAAAAATATTAAAACCAGCCGCTTGCATATGTGGTCCTAAATCAGATCTGATCTGATTTTAAAGATTATTCGCAGGCTGAACAGTCATGTCGCATTTTATCCAACTTGTATGTCATTACCGTGGCTTCCACATAGAATTCTCTACAGCAGCAATAGTAACGGCTGATGTTGCTTGTTCTGTGCTTTCTTACCTTCCTTAATCTGGTGAACGTAGCCCAATTGACACTGCAATAAGGCAAGAGAGATAATTGTTATACTGTACAGGCAGATTATTCTGCTTAATATACAGCACCGCATGTATCAATGAACTATGCATGCTCCTCTTAGCAAGTATTCAGCTATCTGACTTGAGAGGGTCGGATCTGTTACTAAATTGATCGTGTGACCTGAGGCGCCTCTTTACTTCATTCTGAACCCCCCTTAAACAGGGAAACTAACTAATCTAACACAGATATGACACTGACCTGATCAGATATACTACATTTTTGGTTCTCTGAAATAGGATTAGCGCTATAGTGGCTAAAGTTGTTATACATTGTTCACAATTTTGATTTTGAAGCAATACCCCAATAATTTTTTTAGGGAGATTCACAAAGTGTTGACTGCAGCTGTATTCATTGCTTCAAGAACCACCAGAGCATCAAAAATAAGGGGCAACACTGTCCCATTCCCTATGCTAAGCCTCTTATGAACAAGAAGTGTTTTACAAGGCCTAAGGAGGGAATGGATTAGACTCCTTTGCAATTAAAGAAAAACACCCACACTTTAGGAATACCAATATACCAAAGTTTGGAGGACTTTTGGATGATATTTAGATTAACAAAAAAAATAATAGCTAAATATATATTACTGTGGTTATTGAATGTAAAGTATATTAGCAATGAAAGTTTCCCTTTTAGAAGTAAGTTGCTTAAATAACCTTTAGAATAGATTCTTAGTTTCAATTTCTAAAAGAGATGGTAACTTCAAAGCAACTTAGTCATAATTTGTTATAGAAAACAATAAATCGGATTAATCCTGATTAATCAATTATTGAAATAATCCTCAACTAACTTAGTAATCAATTAATCATTAGCTGAAGTCTAGAGACATGAAAACATTGCTTTAGCTGACAGCCATCCCTTTAGAGCAGCAAAAAAAACACTTATTAATTTGGCAATACGCTCTATCCTTATGTGGACATTTATAGTAGTTTCATCTGGTTTAATTCTGTAAAAAATCTTCTTTAAGCAACCTGTTGCTATCCAATTATTATTGAATTCATTGAAAAAATAATCAACAGATTAAACGATTAGCAAAATAATCGTTAGTTGCAGCCATAACTTTTCTAGTCGTAATAGATTAGAGGTCACATCATCAATCAAAAGCACTGAGTCTTAAATCCCAACATGTGTTTAAAGAAGTCAGTTTCATTTTGAAATTTGCTATTGTTCTTGCTTTATTGCACATAGTGGTAAATGTCAGTAAAATGTCTTTTCACTTGCTTTGAACTGCTGTCCTGTCAAGATAATTAATGTTCCCCACAATCATACACCAATATCTGAAACACCACTGGTCTGAAAAAGTCATGGTCTTGGTGGGGAATCAGAGAGGCATGTCCTAGCTCCCTGTAAGCTGTAAGAGTTAGTTTGCAACCTCTAACATGGCTGTGCAGGTCTCAGCATGAGATGCTCCATTAACTCAGCAGTGTGCTTGCGTGTGACTGGATGACTCTACATCCCTGTGGCTTCAAGACTCGACCTAATAACCCCCATCAGAAAGGAATACTTTTCTTTTTTCATGAGTTTTCAAGACCACTGGTTATGTGTCTGACAATGTAGCTTTTACACATATGTGTGTTTTCTGTTTCACACAAGTCAGGGGACTGTCTTCAGATTGCATTAAAATCTCAAGCTGGGGGTCTAATTGTGCTGGGGATTAAGGGCTCTGCTGCACTTAGCTGCAAATGTTAGGAGCACTTGTGAAACGGCTTGTGTGCTGGGATTTAGAATAAAAAGGACCAAATGTGTGTTTCTTGACAATACACCCTACGTTAACAAATAATTACAAAGAAATACAACATATACAAACAATAATACAACAAATAAACTATATTTAATAAGTATTTGATATTATATTTATTTAACTTTATTTATATGTAGTATAATGTAAAGCATCACTTTTGTTTATTTATGTCTCTCAACATGATTCTTCATCAATATGCTGAATTAAGATGAATGTGAAGCTTCGTTGTTGACCTGTTTTACTTGATCAGGTATTAATCATGGTCCAGTGATCGCTGGAGTCATCGGAGCTCAGAAACCACAGTATGATATTTGGGGGAATACGGTAAACGTAGCCAGCAGAATGGAAAGCACTGGAGTCCTGGGGAAAATACAGGTTAGTGACATGAAATGGCTTTTCTTTTGTTTTTATCAAAACTCACATGATGTGATTCTAACATTTTATGGTCAAAATTAATCACAAGTTAATATACATGTAGTTCCTTGGTTTTGAACATGTTCAACAAATAGTATTTAAAAATTCAGTATTTCATCCGAGCCATTTTTGAGGAGTGCTGTTTTTTTCTGCAGTAATGATAAGGTGGCACAGGCCATCTTGACCAAAGTTATTTAACAAGAACTGAAATATTATATATGGTGCATATTTGCACCATATATAATAATGCTCTGAACTTGTATATCAATGTGTTATTGTTCACCATGTGTTTTTCCCACACTGTTTACATTTGATCACTGCTGAACGTTATGGAATAGAAATGTTTCTTTTAGTGTCTGAAAAGCTGCACTAAACAATATTTTGTTTTGTATACACTCTGTGTATACAAAATGACAATAGAAGTTGTCTAAGTCAATAATCAATGATTAGTAACTATTTGACAAGTTCAAAAATAACTTTTATACTAGACGTCACATTGTAAGTTTTGATTGACTTTCTCTTACTAGGTAAGTTTAACTATTTGTTAAAAACATTTAAGGCACTCTTAAAAGTAATAGAAATACTTTTTGCTTCAGCATGATCATTTATGAAATAAGGGACATTTTAGCATCCCCTGACATCTAACAATCTTATATTAGCATCTGTTCTGAGCACTGATAAGGTGTAATGTGTTTCCATCACATGGCATCTTGCTGATGCCACCATTTAGTCCACAGAGAGCTATATTGTACCTCACAGCTTGTACACATTCAATCAACCATCTGCTGAGCAGCGACGCACAATTCCTGGTTTTCTTCCAACAAATGGCTGCTGCTATTTACAGATATGAAATTTGTAAAATGAATGTAATTTTCCAGGTAAGCTGACACTTATTAGTTCTCCTTTATTTAAAGGAGGGTTAACTAGTTTAAAAACCCCTTGACATAATTTTCTTATTGTTGATCAGAAAAACTGCTTGATCTTGACACTTTTTCCATCATAGTCTAATTTTTGTCTGAGAATTGCCGTTGCTCTTCAGATATTTTGTTTTTTAAGTACATTTTTAAAGATATTCTCTTCTCTTTATAAGATAATTTATTTGGAAACAACAGTAATTTAAAAAGAAAGAAATGTGCCTTTGTTTATGCAGTTTGTTTAGATTAAAGCATATTTATATGTTAGATTGGCCCAGTCAAAGATCAGACCTACAATTAACTGAGAATCTGAGGCTTTAAAAACATCATTGTTCAAAAATAGGAAAACATTCCCTAAAAAATTGTTCTAAAAGCTGTTAAATCAAATTGCCTGAGCATAAATGTACACTACACTTTTCATTTTTTTTTAGATTGTAAGATCTCTTTTGCTCTAACTACAGAGTCGGACTCTGATGGTCTACCAAATGAAATCTTATTAAGACAAAAATCATTATTTGTGGTTGTAACATGGCATGTTATGAAACGGATTACGGGTATTAATACTTTTGCAAGGTACTGTTTGATTTAATGTACAACTTTCTTGTCTGAATGGTTGAAGGAAACTGGACTTTTCTGTTAATGAAGTATTTTTATCCACAGGGATATAATCCATTCTTAAAGAAATGAGTAAAACAGGCTTGACTCGTTGTTCTCCCTTTAGGTGACGGAAGAGACAAGTCGCATCCTTCATAATCTGGGTTACATGTGCTCTTGTAGAGGGATCATCAACGTCAAAGGCAAAGGAGAGCTCAAGACATTCTTTGTGCACACAGAGATGACACGTTCACTGTCCCAAGGAAATATAATGCCGTAAGACGGGTTCAGAGTATCTGCACATCTACACAGATCCAACCAAACGTTTTTGATTGGGGACTAAGGGACTATCATCTATTTAGAGCTTCTGTAGTTAAAACAAATGTGACTCAGGAAGACATCTGAACAATAACGACGGAAAACAGATTCTTACCATTACCTTGCAGAGTAACTATGCCACAGATCTAGCATTCATTTAGTTATTGGGTAGTACACACAACAATTACGTTACAGTTTGAATGTTAATGGTGAAAAGACAAAGATGTTGTTATTTTTCAGGATTAAAGAGAAAACTAGGAGCTCTGTGATGCTTGTTGCAGGGACTGGACAACAGAAACACTTGCTTTGATGCCAGTTGCACCACAGCAGGTCTCACCTTTCACAGTATTTTTTGGTTTTAGAATATTGGGTGTGAAAAAGGCCTGATTTCACGAAACATTTGAGGAGTATTTCTAAAAGACTGAAACACCAGCTTGCCCCTGGTCTTATGAATGTAAGTTTACGTTCTGCTGCAAGTGTTTAAAGTACTTTAAAAGCACATCCAGTATTATTAGACACAGAATAAACATGAGAAGCCTATTTCTGCAAAGGTGGAGGCTGCCCGGAAACAAAAGAAGGCTACATGGATTACAACGGTTTATTCTTATTCTGCTTAAACCACAAGACTTGGATGTACTGTATACTGCAGACAGTCCAGAACACCTAAAAGAGCATATTTTGAACCCTCTTTTTCTAAACTCCAGCAAGAGAAAATGGGAATTTGGGGCCAGGTGCATAACAGATTGTGAAAAATAAAGAACATAATTTTTTTTTTCTTGTTACTTTTCAGTTTTTGAGAATGTGCTACCATTAGGTTGTAGAATTTTCCCAAACCCGCCTAAGTGTAGATCATATTCACATATAAAGAGAAATTTAGATGAGCTGAGAACTTAAATTGGCATGAACCTTTTTCTTAAATAACGATCAAACCCGAATGTACTTTTAGAACAAAAACTGGAAATTACTGGTGCTGTTCTGTTTTAATACAGAGACTTTTATGCACCTGGCCTCTTTTGAACAGATCTGAGCCAAACAAACTCGAAGAACATAAGGATCATTTTTTAGTTTAGTTTTTTTTTTCATTAAAGTTTTGATCAGTTTAAGCCTAATTGATGTACATGTAGATTTAGTATATATGGCTGTTTTGTAAGAAAAAAAAAGGAATAAAAAAAATTTTTTGTGTGTGTTTTTGTAAAAATCTTAAATAAAATTTCTATGTATTTCATCTCATCTATGCTGTTATTTACCAATCAAATAGTCTTGACTGGACAGGATTGTTCTGAATTTAGATGTAACACATGATAATGAAAGTAATCACAGCATCCTTCATTGATCTATTATATTTCATTAATCAGACCTGGAATTGAAACAGCTGTTGAAGTCAATGAAACCTCCCTGCACTGCTTCTTGACTGTGGGAAACACTTGACAGTGGACACTTCATCGAGGTCACAACTAAATCATTCTGTAAACTGGAAATAAACTGGTGATGTACTATTTTTAATTCAGTTAGAAATATCAATATAATCTCAAATGAAGAAAGTAAGAGTAAGCAAATTATAGATGTTTATTTTTACCCTCTCTACTACCATAAAAATGGGTAATGTAATGTGTTTTGTGTATAGAGGACATACTACCAGCAAAAGATGAAAAGCATTTTAAAATCAGATGAGTCCTCACTTTACATTAAAATCAAATGCTCTATCACTATAGTAGCAGCTTTTGCTGCCTATTTTTGCTTTATGGAACAAAGAAGATGGTTTTGTTTAATTTACTGGATGCATTTTTGATATCTTTTGTTCAATGAAATGACACATTTATTTAAAAGTAAAATCTAAGCTTTACACATTTACTTCCCATTGAAAAAAAGCTATTTTTTAATTAGAATTATTAGAATTGTGATAACATTTTATTTTACTTAATCTGCTCTGGATGTGGTCTGTCCTTCTGTATATCCACCTCCTGACCCCCCTACGAGATTCCCTGGAAAAATTAAGTTATTTTTTTCCTTAATACCTAAAAGCATTTCATCATAAATTAATTACACAGGTTAATCCAATTGAGACGGAGTCTTATTTTCAAATGCAACAATTTTATTGTGTTATATTTATAATAAAGATAAAGAAATTATTTAACATCACAGAGCAGAGCCACACCCCTGGGGATCCAGTTCTTTGGAGGAAACACGGTTTTAAGATCCACAGCTGCAATATGGTTCAAGTCTGTTCTTACTGGCTTCTTGTAAATTGGAGCTGAATAGTTCTGTTGATCCCTCACTCCTGCAACATAAAGCAAAAAAAGTGTTCTCAAAAGGAGCAGCAGCTGGTAAAACTGCCTGTTCATCACACATCTTAAGTGGTACTACTTCAAGTTTCTGAAATACTAGCATCGGCATGGTGCCACAGAGACATCCAGCTGTGTTTAACAACATCTGTTTTCATGCAGAGTAATTGCTGAAATAACTCGAATTAGGACAATATTGTTATAGTTCCTCTTTTAACATAGTTGTTTTATCAGAGATTTGGCACCCCTTTGTCTGCGAGTCATTATGAAAAAATAACTGGATGTTTTCTGTTAATCAAATCTTCAGTGAGTCTTTATAGGTGATGGTCGAGAGATCAAGAAGGCAGGACTTTTGTAATCTGCACATATTCAGCCTCTTATAACATGGATCTCTGTCGGGAACCAGCCTCCTTGTAAGAAATGGAAACTAGTGTAAACAAACTCTTCCATGTGCCCCTGCAGCTTCATTTACCTCAAAGGCAGGTTTCCATGGAAAAAAAAAAGTACGACTAGCTCCATATACAGTGATTGGATACATTAAAACCTCTAACATAATTGTCAGATCATAGTTTAGGCAAGCATTAAAAGAAAATCCTGGTGTAGAAAAGGGGAAAACTGGGAAATACTTAAAATGTGTCCAGATGGTGACATAGACTTAAACAAAACTCAACATTTTAGGTTACTGTTTTCTGATGTTTCTTGGCACAGAAAGTGTTAACCTTGATTAAAAAAAGGATAAACAGCCCTCTCACAACAGCCATTTTTATGTCATCATAATCAAATTTATATCTTGAAATGTTTCCTATATTTTCAGACGTTTCATGTTGGGGACAATTTCTATAACTTAAAATTACCCTGTTAAATTGTTCTTCTGAGATCTAGAATGTTAGTGTCTCTATTGAGACATAAATGTGAACAGAATTGACTTTAATGTTTTGCTGTGTCGTATGATGGCCTTGGCTATAGAATCTAAGAGAACATGCAACATCATAGAGACAGAGGAACACACAAGACAGGTCAAGGATAAGAACGAGAAGACATGGGCATCCACTAAACTGACAGGCTGTTTAAGGAGAGCATTAATCAGAGAGACAGCCAAGGGCCCCATGGTAATTCAGACATCAACATCACAGGTGGGATATTCTGTTACCATGACAACTATAAAACCTGTGTTCGTCAAAAAGCCTTTCTAAAAGGCTGCAAAAGAGAAACTATTGTAAAGAGAGAAAACCATGAGAAACCCTCTGCAGTTTTCCACAGGGAGTGTAGAAAAGAAGAAAGGTGTTGTGGCCAGGAACTTTCACCACTGCGGAGAAAATTTTAATTTAAACTGTTAACATGCACAACATTTTATGATTTAATTCAAATAAATTTGAACTAGATGTTTGTGTGGATGCAAAATGATCTGATCATGGCACATGTTTACATGTGGCATGCTTGATTTAGATTAGGAGCACCGCCGAAATGTAGAGCTGTCCAACTCCCCCTATAGACAACAGAACTAGTTGTGCTTCTGCCTGTGCTGTAAAACAATAAAACAAACAGAACGGTGTTGATTCTGAGTGCCCAGAATGATGGATGAATGGTAGAGGTGTTATTGTTTTCCATAATTAAGCGAGTTTAACGAGTTTAATGTTGCTTTAGACCAGTCGTATCCCCATGTTCATGTATTGCCACCAAAGGCAGAAATGTAGGCACACATACGCAGTCACTTCAGTTTGCCACAGTCAAAGAGACTTGATCCAAACAAGTGTCTACAAGCAGGCTCTTCAGATTTATAATCAGTGTAATCTACCCATCTCATTTGCTATACAGTTGAATTCCTATCAAGCTAAATCCTATCAGAATATTCCTGATTAGTGAATTGAATTAAGTATTTTCATTCCAATTGGCCCTTTATTCTGCATACTTCTGTCAGTATAAAACTGCTTACTAAGTATAACCCTGAGCACACTATCCCTATGATAAAACACGGTCATGGCGGCATCATGCTGTGGAATTTTGTTTTATAATCTTTTTAGCAGAGACGATGAAGCTTTTCAGGTTCAATGGAAGAAAATAAAAAAAAAAAACATTAAAAACAGCAACATTAGAATCGAAGCAGAGGCTCAACATCCAATCAGACAACAATCCCAAACATAAAACCCGGGGTACAGCTTGATCGTCGGGTATTAGAAGGGTCCAGTCAAATTCCATTATTTATTTTCTAAATCCGGACCTTAAGTGTCACAAATAAATTACCGTATATAGTTGTATCATGACATATCTTTAAAATTTACACCCAAGGAAAGTTCATCACAAAACCCATCCTAATTATGGTGATGTAATAAAACAAAATTATGACCCTTATAGTTATCCCTACTCTTCTGATCAGTTTACAACATTTCATGGCAGTGTAAAGTTTGCTTTATGCCCTTCCAGCTCTGCTCATTGCATAATGATTTTTAGGTAACTGATGTTAGTGTTAAAGCCAGGAGCAAAGGGCTGGCTGCAGATCATTGTAAAAGAAATGATACTATATCTTGCTGCAAATCAGTACACTCTGGCCTTATCTTGCACAAACTGGGGGAAATGTATTTCCTACAAGCATAAAATTTAAGTCTTTGTGACATTTAAATCATTCATGTATCCAGTGACTCTGTGGGATAAACACCTTAAGGGGCAGTGAGACTTTAAGATCATCTTAAATTGGGCAGGATTAAAGCTTATCCTTTCATATTGTATGCTTTTTTTTCATGAGAAACCTTACCATTATTCTCTGCGTACATCCTGATCACCGGCATCGTCTCAAAGAGAACCTTTGGCTTTGAGTCTACAAGTCTGCAGTTGCGGCGGTCCCAGCCGGCCCCCTCCAGGTAGAGACCATACACATACACCCCCTCTCCAGGCGGGTTGTTGATGTCATCCTTCATCCACCTGGTTACCTCGTTACGCAGCACCATGCGGTCCAAGGCCCAGCCTTTGTTGGCTCGAGTAATCTCCTGAGAGTAAATGTACAAATCTTCAGGTTAAGGTCACAATGTTACCACTACAACACAGCAGTACATAAAAGGGGGCAGAGACACAGCACCCTTTTTTTGTTTTTTATAATCCAAAAAAAGGTTAAAACAACAAGATGATGTCCCTGTGGTTGAAGACATTTCGCTCATTATTTTGGAATAACGTCCGATAACAGGGCTGTATAAAAGTAAAAAAAGTAGGATGTAAAAATAAATAATGTGAAAATCTGCTGTTTTCATCACTTTGTACACAAACTGATGATCTTAGCAAGGAGGTGACATTGCCAGAGCTGCAGTTCAAGCAGACAGTTTTCTTTAAAAGCTAAAAAAGGGAATTCTTGTGGCTGTTACAAAGTCTTCAAATCTACCCACAATAAAAATGAGACCGCTTCATCATCCATACTTTCTGTCTCTAAAGAGCTGGGATTTTTCCTCAGTGCAAAATGGGGGGAAAAAAGCTGACAGACACTGAAACCTGACATAAATACTAAAATGACTCCAAGTTACTCCCACTGCAACCTTAAAGAGCAAAACAAATTGGTTTGCATCAAAAAAAAAAAAACAAGCTAAAGATGGATTTGCTACAAAAAAAAGCTCTACTTCTCAGTTAATTTATATGCAGGTCATTTCAGCAGCTTTTCATTATGGAAATCTATTGTTTTGGTCATTTGAATATCTTTGTGTTCAACACTATCATTATTCAAAACCAAAAATAAAGGTTAAAGTTTCCCATTTTTCGATGGAGTTAAAGAGCTTTAAAAAAAACAGAAATCCTAATTTTTATATTTTTCTCTAAATTTAACTGGATATTTTTAACCTGGTTTATTTTCTTATAGCACCAGTGGCTTTGAAATCTCAAGAGATCAATGATGAAATATCATCTAAAAATCAAGGATAATAAATGTTTTAAAGGGCTCAAACATGCTGAAAAAGAAGTGGGAACAATACATAGGTGTGGGTAGACCAGCATGTTGTTGAATTGAGGCAAGCCTATAGTTTCAAAAAGCCAAAGGAAAGGATTGGTCTGATAGATTAAGGAATAAGATTTCAAAGCAGCTCCTGTTAAACCAATACAATAACTTAGCCTATTAGGTATGATCTGAAGTCACTTCCTGTGGCAAATTGATCTCTTTCCATCAGAGTATAGTTTGTCCCTCTGAGAAGAGCTGAAAACTGAATCAAATTCATCAAGAGTGCGTTTTTCTATATGGATCAGCAGTTAGCAGCTCAGACACCTCTTTAAAAACAATAGGAAAAAAAAATTGCATATACCAAGCACAGAAGTTCATTTTCTTCTTTCTTCACAAAATGAAATCAATTCTATTTTCGTCTCGTGTGGTTAAAATTGCAGATTGCAAATATGTTAACACAGTTAATACAGTGAAAAATTGAAGGAAGCTTGCTTTAAAGCCAGTGTTTCATACGTCTGTACAGTGATCTTTTATGTGTGGCAACATGGAGGACTTCATAAAAGACAACAACTGTGTTCCTTTTATTCAAGCAACTTAATTCTTTTCCCAGATTTGATAGCTTTTTATTTGATCTTAAGATTTATGTTTTTCGTTTCCAATCTGAATCTTGGATTTAGAACTGCTTTAGTGAGGAGAGAGATACTGATGCCTTCTAACATGAGGGCAAGCCTCTAAATGTGGCTCCATTAAAATTAAACATTTAAATTATTTCTCTCCTGTACTCATTTGCCCTACATTAAGATAAATTAGTGTTTATACTGGCCGGTCAGTGATTGTGTGTCCACTTGTGTGTGTTGTTGTGGTTGTGTGCCTGCCTGCCCCTGTGTGCGCCATCTGGTCTCCTCTCTAGCAGAGAGTATTGGGTAGCCAGATTGAGGCCATGTGTACCTGTTTCATTGCTGTCAGGAAGCCCTGCGGGTTGAAAAAGCCCGTCATCCAGAAGCAGTTAGGTCGGCCCTCAAATATCCAACCCTGGAACTGGTGGTTCCGCTCAAGCAGCTCTGTGAACCAGAACCCCAGGGTGCTGGAGGCCCATGATGCCTGCAAGGAAAACAAACAAAAACAAAAACATAGTCTAAATATTCTTTTGATGTATGAAACACTGTCACAGAGGAGAACAGACAAAATGGGGACAATGCAGACTTCAGCCAGGATGCCTATCAAAAATGCTCTAATTTTCCCTTTGATTCGCTAATTGAACAATATTTGGTAAAGCATTTAATTTGTGAGATAGGTGGACATATTCTCTGTAGCAACTGTGTTTTTTTTAAACTCTGATCAAGTCTCAGCATGTTTGGCTCTCATATTTCTTCTTTTAAATTTATTTAAAACATGAATGTTCAGATTTTGTAGAAGGAAAAAAGGGGAACTGGCTTCGTTATGGGTTGCAAGCATAAATCCTATGCAGACTGATAAGGTGCTGCTGTCTTACAAATTGTAGATTGGATCTGAATTCATTTCCTGCCTCCTAATATAAGTCACTGCAACACTCTTGGATTATAATGAAGGAAGTAGGATCAGCATGAATATTTCCCGTTACTTTGGTTTAAACAAAACTAAAAACCAAAATGGAACCCTAAAAAATCAAAGTGAAGGAATCATCTAAATCCATGTGGACAAAACACAGTGAAAAGGAAAAGGTTGTAAAAGTTATTAGATAAATGCTTTGAGTGGGATGAGTAACAGGCTAAGGTACATGAATTTTGTGGAAAGCTGACCTTCCAGCGTGCAGGAATGCGAGCATCAAACATGCAGTCCAGAGCATCACGCAGGTTCTCGCTCATGATGATCGTCCCATCGAAGGCCAGCCTGAGGTCCATTAGAGTGTTTCGGACTAGAGCTATGACCTGTTGCATCTGATAAATCTCCTGGAGGAGGAAGATGTTAATGGGTTGAAAGGGACCCATCTTCTGAAGACGCTCCTGTACCTGATTTAAAATGAACACATTTAAATTACTGTACGTCGTGACCCTTCTGCCCTTTGACGATTCCAAGAATTTACCTCTGTGAAACTATCAGATTAACTTCAATTTAACATTTTAAATAACCTTACAGACATTTTCAAATATTAATATGCAGAGACAGAATAATTTGTTTATTGTAAAAACATGGTTCAGTTACCTATATGCTAGAGACAGGATTCATAGATGATAAACATGCCAAAGAAACCACCTTTAAATGGTTCTGCAAATATTTCATTGAGGGTGCCAAAAAAAAAAAAAAAAAAACCTACAAAGAGGCCACCACAGGAATGGGCAGACTCATGGATTAATGGACAGACAGGTAAATGACAGAATCAGATTGAAAATGGATGCATGAACAGCAAGATGAATAGAAGGATGGAAATGGATGATGGATAAGAATGTCTCACCAGAAAAGGAGATGGGTAGAAGGATTGAAGAATGGAAAGACAAAGGATTATCTTTGCTTTTATTCTGCTTTCAGTTTTCTTTGAATTTATTGTCAGATTCATGTGAAGCACTTTGATGTGTCCTTGCATTGAATTGAGCTATAGAAATAAATGTGCCTTGCCTTGTTAGAGATGAATGAACCATAAAAGAAATAATGGAAGAATAACAGAAAAAACAAAACAAAACTAGGAAAGATGCAAAAATGGAAACACACCACTTTTGAGAATTAAGAAATACATCTTAATTCTCATAATTTAAGATCATTCCAGATGGTCTAAAATCCCTGTTTGCCTTTAATTTCAGTGTAAATAACTTTCCAACTTCTGAATCTTGACCAGAAAGGTCTCTAATCACCTGGCAATTCTACATCTGCCTGTTTCTCTTTTTGGTCTTTTTTATTTTTGCTTTTATCTCATCCATCCTCACTCATCCTCATACCTAAAGAAAACAACAAATTAACTCAAACAGGCTGTTCATCAGCTGATCAAATGTTTAAGAGCACAGCTCAAAAAACCCTGAAACCTCCTAAAACAGAAATTCAATTGTCAAAAACTGACTCTAGCTTCACCATTATCAGCTGGCACCTTGGCATGCCATTAATACTGGAAGCCATCAAGACCATTAAAGTTAGACTTTCTCTTGTCAGTAAATAAGTCTTTCTTCCACCTTTGAATCTCTAGTGTTTGGGCAGTTTTGTGGCATTGAAGGAGATGTGACCTTTGAAGACTTTCCTATGTGGGTGCTCTCTGATGGCTACAGTTAGCACCGGTAATGGCCTTAATGGTTTGTGTCTTGATAGACAGCCATTCCAACACTCCCCCTTAGTGTCACTTGAGATATGTTGGGGTCTAAAGCTTGACTTTTTTTGCTCCATAACCCTGAGGATCTTTGAAGAAATGACTGCCTTACTGCGTTCAACCTCAGCAGTGATGGTATGTTGTGACACGCTTGTTTATGCAGCTTAACAGTCCCACATTGTTCAAAGACGGTGAGCTTTATTGCATATGCAGATTAAGAGATCTTCAAAATGTGTTTACCTGACAGGAAATGAAATGGTATTAATTTTATTTTGCATCGATTTTGGCTTTTAAAAGCTGTCTTAGACTTTTAATCAGCTGATAAACAGCCTATTTGAGTTTATTGTTGTTCTGAATAAATTGCCTCACGACTTTTGCCCACTTTTTTTTTTAAGCTACTCCTTTTTTCTTAAAGGTATAGAGGATGGTCTTTTATTTCCAGGTGGATCCTCTAAATACGTGGACCTTCTAATTTTTAATCATTCTGGTGATATGTTTACATAAGGCTCGTATTCTTTTTCTGTGCATGCGCACTTTCAGGTGTATGTCTGTGGTGTGCAACAGTTTCAGGCAGTCATTGAAGCTCACCGCGGTCCTTGAAAATGGCCGAGGGTCATAAGAAAAAAGTTACTAAGAAGTGTATGAGAAGAAAATAAAGGCCTCAGATGACCCAGATATATCCTGGAATGCTTTGCGCGGAGAGCTCTGGACACCCAACTGAGAGAATCAAAAAGGCAGAACTTAAGTATGCAGCACACTTTTTAGATATGTAATGGGAAGAGAATTTAAAATATTTTCCTTCCCCTTCACAATTATGTATTCCTTTGTGTTGGTCTGTCTTGATACAATGTGTTGAGGTTTTAGTTGTAATCTGACAGATGTAAAATATTCATCTAGGTGTATGAATGTTTCAGTAAGACATTGTATCTAAAGGCTAACTACAGCTAAGATCAAATGTTTCATTTAAAAATATGACAAAAAACTTAATGAGTTAAACAGAAACAAAGATTGGTTTTACAATTTTTGGCAACATATATGAGTCTATTAAAAAATAGCTTTCTCAGGTAGAGATATTGTTCTTTCCACTGCTACATTTCTTCAAACTTTACATTAAAAAAAATTACTTTTAAAGCTTGTCAACACCAGCCTTTCTCTGCATTTTGTTCCCCATTTGTACTTCTTCCCCATGTAAGCAAATTCACAGGGAAGTGAGAGTGTGAGAGATATGGTGTGATGGTAAGTGACAGAAAAGCTTTGCACCTTGCTTCAGAGCCATAATCTCACCTCAACTTTTTTTTTGACAGAGGAGAAGAGGGACTTGTGAAAAAAAACAAGGTTTTAGCCGGATCCAGCTGTATTCACACCACCTATTCCTGTCTGCACCACAATAGACACTCATCCCCGCTCATGTCGTGAAAGGAACAGTGAACACTATGCCTAACCTCAGTCGTGTGCCTCAGGCTATTCGCAGTGAAACACAAACATACTTCAAATGGTACGTAGTCAGGAGAGTTTCTCCAGCATGTCGTCAGCCAGTCTGGACACCGCAGCCTCTCTGGTCTCGCTTCCTCTTGATGAGCTGTGTTTTGGCTGAATATTGAGAATGGCATCCAGCACATCTTTAGCCTGTTTACTCTAAAAGGTTATGTCTGCAATTGGGTGGACACCAAACACATCAGGTGTGTCATAGGCTGGAAGACCCTGTAAAATACAGAAATTAGTTAGAATACATATAAGTTTTCCATCTACTCTGTGAGAAACCCAAATTCCCTACCTTCACACCCTGATCTGTGTCAGTGCAACACTGCATCTGTCTGTACCACCATTAGTTTGAATGTGTATTATTTTCTCCCAAAATAAACATTTATTTGGTGCCTTTAACATATTAAGAACTCACCAAACTTTACAGAAAATTGTCTCTGGTGTGAAATTTATGTATTTAATGTAATTAGAAATGGGTGTGGCCAAACCCCTTAACAGCACCCCCTAAAGTGAGACTGGGATGGTAAGTGGGATTACATTGGTAGATCTCCCCAAATTGAAAAAGAGTCTCTTGGAGGGAAAACCCACAGGAAGTAAGACAAAGATGCCATTTCCTCTTATTTAATCATGTTGTATCTTAGGGAACTTTTCCTAGAGCTTCAGAGATACAAACTTCAATAGACTTTAGGCATTGGGGATCAAAAGTAATTAGAGGGATTTTTCTACATCAAGCATATGGGCGTGCCTAAGCCTCAAGTCAGTCTTTTTGCCATAAAACAAAAGGTGAGCACCAACGCCATGCTTTGACTAAGAGTTATAAAATTTGGCACACAGGTGTGACTCATCATAACTTACAAAAACGTCCTTTGGTGTCATGATCCAAACCCCACAGGACGCAGGCTATTTTGAGTCAAAGCCATATATTATTAACCTCTTGTATCTGAGCAACCTCCTCCTAGAGTTTTAGAATTACATACTTCTACCTGAATGAGCCAAGACTTAATGCATTACTGATCAAAAGTTATCAAAAGATTTTTGCTGCAACAAAACATGTGGGCGTGGCCAAACCAAAATTCCCATTTCTCACCACAGGACAAAAATGAAGCTGCCCCAGGCCATGCTTTTATTGAAGATTAGGACATTTTTTTACACCTGTTTAACCAACAAGAACACACAAAAAGTCTCTTTGAGCAATGGTCCAAACTGAATAGGAACTCAGCCAATTTTGGTTCATCCTATTTTTTTATCCCTGCTTTTATTGTCATTACATTGTCACAAGTAGAGAGCAACAAAATGGGATTTGACATATATTCCTGACAAATTTAAGCCATAGAATGAGTTTTTGCCTCACTGCTATCAAGATAAGATGGAGATTACAATTACAATGGCTGCCAAAAGCTTAGATACACTTATTTTTTTAATTGTAATAACACTGTCACAAGTACAGAGCAAAGAATTGAACTCTCTGCATTTAACTCATCCCCTTGGGGAGCAGTGGGCTGCCATTGTGCGGTGCCAGGGGGCAGTGTGGGGCTAAAGGTGTTTGTTCAGGGACCCAGAGTAGCAGTTTGTTGGAGTTGAACTCAGAACCTCTGAATTCCAAGCGCAATGCCCTAACCACTAGGCCGCAACTCCACACCCGATTGTGCCCTTATCTCTTAGTTAAGAATAGGAATTTTGGAAGCTTGGATTTGGGCCACATTGGCGTTGGCATGGAGGCAGTGTTGCATGGCTCCCTCAGTCACGATAGGCAGAGAGGCGATGAGCTGCGTGGGACTCCCAAGGCCGCCTGGGACTTTAATTTATTTTTGTTTTCCTTTTTGTCTTTATTGGAAATGTCTTCTGCCTAATTCTATCCAAATGTACAAACACTTATGTCTGTGCCCAGCTTTGGGAGCAGTGGTCACTGAGTGTGATATCAGCTACACATGGTGTCACAAGCTGCTCTTCTGTCACCTTCTGATGAGGATACATAGAGTGTAACACATGGATAAGTCACGCTACCACTAGTGCAGAATGCTGGATTGCCCCTGACTAACTTGAAGGAAATGCTTGTGAAGTGATAGGATCTCTTCCTAAGTTATCACAAACAGTCTAATATGTGGAGTTGGCACCCATCCAATCATCAGGTTTGTGGAGATGAGCAGCACAGCTATCCAAGTGCCAGTAGGGAAACAAGTGCTCTGAGAGTATTGAAGAGATGCACTGACTCTCTGATAGGACCAATCAATACCAATTTTCCAGCTGGCCTCATATGATAAATTACTGCCTTTGCTGAGTCAGCTTTTATTCACCAACATGAAATAAACCCCAGGGAAAAACATTTTGTCTGGTTGCATAAGATCTGATTAGCTTAAAATTACAGACATTGAAAAAAGAATGAAATAAATTGTGTACATCTCTAGATTGAATATTCTGAACACAACATTTTTACACATACCTGTTTTCCTTTCTGCTTAATTGAATTTAGATATGCACACAAGAATAAATACTATGCTGAGTACAAATATGCAAATTACCTTTGCATATTTGTTAGAAAAATTTCTCTTGTGTTTGTATTTGAGAGATAACACAGCCAAACGCAGCCTCTGGTTTTCCTGGAAACTTGGTTAAAAATAAAAAGCTTTAGGATTGTTCTGCATCACACAAAAAGAGATTGGGTTTGTAAATAATGTAAAAAAAACAAGGAGAACAATGTATATCTGAGTCTCTATATGTAAGTCATGCTAAAACTTTAGTTATTTGTATGAGAGAAGCAACTTCAGACCTCAGCACCCTTTTAAATTTTCTAATTTAAAGGCTGTAGCTCTTATACTAAGAGAGAGTATAAAATCCTTCACACTGGAGTTTTTTCTTTTTTCAAACACTGTCTGCTTCATCCTCCTCTTACCTGGATGTAACTGAGATAATGTTCCACACTGGAACATTTGGGGATATTGTAGCCCTTGTAGAAATTAAAGGTGGGTTCAAACATTTCATCCCTGAACCAGATCTTGGCATTGGTGTTAAGGAGCTGTTTGTCGTAGTCATCAGTCACACGTCCACCATATTGAATCTCACCGATCACGTATTGAACTGTGTTCCATGAAACACCCTGAGAACAAAGAATATGCATTCCTTTTCAAACAAACAAACAAAACAAAAAAATCTTTTGGAAAAAAATACTTACTTAGTTGGTTTGAGTTAAAAAAATATTTTAATTGAATAGCAGCACTAAGTTCTGTTTAGTAAGTCTAACAGAATCACAAATCTTGACATCATTTGTCCAACATGCTTTGCAAAGGTTCTGCATTTTATTCAGTTTGTGTTTATTGATCCCCACGGTTAGGGATCGGTTGACTGTTAGATGTAGTTAGGGGAGTTTCAAAACTTTAGCTTTTAGTTATGATTATTCATTCTATTGTTGCCATGCAGGTTGGCTTAAAACTCTCTGACAGACCAGTTTAAATTCATGTGAAAATCCTTTTTTGATTCCAGCATTCTATTTGTATCTAATGTTCAAGATGTTTTTCAGAGTGATCCTTTGCAACCCATATAAATCATGGCTTTAGATTATTAGCTTAATTCACCTGCAAGAGCAGGTGAACTTTAACTAATATTCACTGAGATTTACTGTCCCTTATTGCACTGTGTGTGGGGTTGAGAAAAAGAAATATAATGAAACAGAGCAAACTGTTAGCTTAATTACATGTAACAAAGATACTGGAGCCCATTTTCTTTCTTCTTTTTTGCATTTTCTCCCGACACAAATTACAAACTATATAACATATTAAAAGTGGAAAGAGCTTTTGTAGTTATAAATCCTACATTTCTTAAGCAAAATGTGGCATTGGAAAAGAAAGGTGTAGGCTTCTGAAATGTTCTGAGATATTCGGAACAAAATATGTAGCTTATGATAATGTGTGGTCACACTTTAACAGTAGTTTACGATGAACTAAGAAGCTTAAACTTCATAAATGGGAGTCCAAAAATATCCAAAACATTACAGCTATTAATCAGCATTAATTCATAGCATGAAATCCACCCACCTTATCTATGTCCATGTCATCCAGGTGATTCTGGACAAACTGGACAGTGGCATTAAAGTCAGCTTGGTTGAATTCATACGGAATGTTCCATCCTAAAGGACCAAATTTTCTCCTCTCCTGAACTGTACTGTAAAGAAATGCCACAGCATACACCATTGGCTTCCAATGGATCGTGTTAGTGTCATCCAAAAGGTCCTGGTTAATGCCTGTTTAAAGACACATGTGTCAACACATCAACAGCTATAACTTTATGAACAAAATATGTCATTAAGTTGAGTTAATTTGCTAATAAAATGGATTTATTCTTTGCAAGATTTAAGAGCTGAAAACAAGAACACACACTCTCAATTGCCCTTCAGGAGTGAAACTTTATCCTTTCAATATGAGCAAGGAACAGACAGCTCTTTCTAGCATATTAAGTGTTCTACTTTTACCCTTCTACGTTTTGAATAAAAACACAAAGTACAAGTCTCATAAACCTTCCCCATGGCTCATGACACTTGGCCATAAATGCTCTAAATTAAGCAACAAGCATGTGTTTCTTCTGAATTTTTCATCTCCTCATCTGTCGTCCTTCCCCTAGGATATGAAAAGAGTCTAGATCTCTATGCATGCACAGATATTAAATAATACTCTATATTCTGTATACTAATGAATTCATAATACCCTTATCTGCTTTTGATTTTTTCGATTTTGAAAAAAAATGTTTTCCAGCCTTTATTTTCAGGCAAACATAATTGGTCTCCATGTGAGAAGTTTTACTTTAAACAGTTTTTCATCTATATTTGACGGTTAATTTAAATAATGTTTCAATGCAAGATAGACCACTTTGAAGTCTACCTCCATACGTCCTCTTAAGCCCTGCTTTGAGGCCCTGGGGTGGTTCGTTGGTGAACATCATCGACATTTGAAGAAGTGCATTGGGGAAGTGGTTGTGGACCTCTGTGGTGATCCAAAGGCGAAAGCTCTTATTGACATTTTCTGTTTCTGTCACTGTGTCCATCAGTTCATCCATGAAGTCTAGACCCAGATGGCAGTTCTGGAGCAAGACCCATCCACCCTGTAAACAATCGCAAGAACATTGACCAACAAAACCTTGGTGTCATAGGAGTATATTTTCCAAGTCAGTTTCAAGATTGGCAGGAACCATAAAAAACTAGAAATACAGCAGATTTACTGAAACATATAAAAAATCAGCTACTGTACTTCACAGCCCTGACTTACATTAGCCATACTCTGCTGTAGGAGCTTACGGGCATGGACCTCTTGTCCTTGTCCCATAGAGACATATCTGGTCTCAATCTTGTGCTTCTTCCTAAATGCAGTGATTGAGTCAGTAGGATCTGATCCCATTGAAAGGAAGCAGATAAGAGGTGTCCGTGGGTCGGATTCCTCCCACATCTTCTCCAGGTCAAGGATCACCCCTTCAGCATACCTCTCCCCCATTGAATTTTTTATGTATTTACGAGCCTAGGGTGGAGAGCAAAAATCAAATGGTGCAAAGTCAAGGTTTATGTACTGTTAAAAAAGCAAAAATTAAAACATAAGAAGATAACAAACAAACAAAAAACAGAGTAAATAAATTATAAATTGGGAACTGCAGTCATTGCCTGTATTACATTATCTTAAGTTAGTTGTTGGTATTTACAAATATGGTTTTAAATTAAATTATTGGGTATAGTCAGTGTAGCCACACAATTTTCCAGTACGTTTAGCACTTTTTTTCTATCTTAATTTTCCGACTAAGTGATTGCTAATTGATTGATTTTCACTCAATGTTTAATTTAAGACTCTACAAGTTCTCCAAGATTACAGAAGGATAAGATCTTTTTTAACCTGTGCGATGGTTCTGTCGGGACACCAGCAGCGAATAAGGAGCAGCCGCCTAAAACAGTCCAGAGACTGGTCATAGGAGTTGGGAAGCTCCTCCTCCTCCGGGGCTTCTTTATCAAACCAAAGCTTCCAGTGCTTCTCATTATTACTTATCTGGAAGAAATATAGACATAGGGCTATACATCTCACACAGATATATATATATAAGAGCTGCAAATAACAATTATTCTGCAAAGGGATTAATCTGACGGTTATTTTTCCGATTAATCAATTAATAATTGCATAGCCAAAGGTTGCTAAAAGAAAAGGTCCCTCCTGGTGCCTTGTGGGGGTGCCCAGAGCACCCAGAGACCACAAATGCATCAGTGTGTGTGATGAACAGTTGAAACCTCCTTACTAACCGCTTTTTCATCATTCTATCTCTATTCTCCAACTCTGTAGAATCTGTTAGTTCAATCAGTGTAGTCCTGTTTTTCTGACTATGACTGGCTGGATGTGCTCTCTTCATCCTCTGACATGGGAGCTGGCACGGATTCTTCTGCCTGACTGTGTGTTTCCTGGACGGGGCCGCCTTTTACGGTTGCCTTTTGAATCTCTGCTTCTTTCTGTATGTCTGCTTCTGTCTCCTTGAACCACAGTTGGCCTCTGCAGATGGCCGCTCACACTGAGCCTGGTTCTGCTGGAGGTGTCTTCCTGTTAAAATGGAGTTTTTCCTCTCCACTGTCACTACAACCATGCTTAGTGTGAGGGATTGCCTTCGAGTCAATGAGTTGATGCAATCAACTGGTTTTCTTTGATAGAAAACTTTGAATCAATTTGACTGTATGATCTGGTGAACTGTAAAGTGCCTTGAGATGACATGTGTTATAAATTGGCGCAATCAAATTGAATTGAATTAATGGAAACTCAGCAGATGAAAGGTATTTGGGTAAATCTTTCCAAGCTAAAGATTTATGACTAAAATGATTAAGATGTGCATTATGTTTACCTGAGTCAGTATGTCAGAGAACTGGCTGAGTTTGCTGAGCTGCACAAGGTTGAGCCAACTCATGTCCAGAATCCACTTGGCTGGTTTCTTAGGGCAGGCTTTCAGATCCAGAGATGCACCGCCTGTATGATGCAAAAACATACACATACATGTTCACATGAACACAGCCACACATGAGGATCAAGCAAAATGATAAGGTGGATATTTGGCTGAAAGCAATCATTCAAAAAGCAAAAATACATAGAATGTTTACATTGGAAATGATTTTGTATAATAGTCAAGAGAACTGTGTTGAATGGTTTATAGTTGACAGATGGTGAAGCTGCATGCATGTAGCAGAGAGTCTGTTCTGAATCTACTGGTAGCACTATGGACTTTTGTTCTGACAGGAAACAGGGCTACATGTGGGAATAAGGTGCTACAAGTAAAAAACCCATGTTGTGCTGTTAATAGAAATATTATAAAATTGGTTAATGTGACTGCTTATTTCAAGATAAAAAACTATTTACCATGCTGTAAAATATACAAAATATTTAAGATTTTCTTTTACATATTTTTACATTTTTGTTGTACCAATTTTCAACATTTGGCATTTTGAGTATTTTCACCAAGCACAAGATATAAGACCCAGCTGTTTTAAGCTCTTTTTTCAAAGACTTTATGATTTTGTATAGTTTTTTATGTTAAAGTTACAAACTTACAATGTATTTTGGTGCAATGTTATATGATAGATATGCAAAAATATTGGAGAAGTGTTGGTTAAAAGAAAAACTATGCATAATGTTGAAGTAAAAAAAAACAAACAAACAGTGAAAATGGTTTTAATTTTCATTCAGCCGCCCTTTACACTGATGACCTGAATAAATTCCATCATAACTGAATGGATTCAGAACTTAATTTATTACTAAACTTTTCAATTTTTTGTGTCACTTAAGCTCAATATAACTGCATTTGCTTTGTAGGTTTGTTAGAAAACATTAGTGTATTAAACAAAGAGGTCAGGGACAAAGTTAGGGGGAAGTTAAGATTAAAGGTTGTTAGTGAATTCACCTTTAAAAAGATAAGGAAAACAGCACCTGTTTAAAGAGCAGATGGAAATTTAGTGAACAGAAAAGTTATACCTTTAATGAGTGTCTGAAACTCCTCATGTTTGATTTTATTGCTTTGCATTTCGATCTTCAAAGTCAAAAGCAAGGTGAAAAGAAACTTGTGTTCTTCATAAAGACCCCGTGCTGCATAGTGGTACACCTCAAAGGTCATGTACTCTATGATGCTAGCAATCCGCATGCTGGTAATTGGACTTTTGGAGGACCTGTTTAGGTAAAAAAATAAAAGCATAAACGTTAGTTTTTATGTAGTGTCTTTAGTCTTGATTTCCAACTACAGGTGCTGGTCATAAAATTAGAATATCATGAAAAAGTAGATTGATTTCAGTAATTCCATTTAAAAAGTGAAACTTGTATATTATATTCATACATTACATACAAACTCATATATTTCAGATGTTTATTTTGTTTAATTTTGATGATTACAAATGACAACAAATGAAAATCTCAAATTCATCATATCAGAAAATTAGAATATTACTGAAGACCAATAAAAACAAAGGATTTATAGAAATGTTGGCCAACTGAAAAGTATGAACATGAAAAGTATGAGCATGTACAGCACTCAGTATTTAGTTGGGCCTCCTTTGGCCTGTATTACTGCAGCAATGCGGCGTGGCATGGAGTCGATCAGTCTGTGGCACTGCTCAGGTGTTATGATAGCCCAGGTTGCTCTAATAGTGGCTTTTAGCTCTTCTGAATTGTTGGGTCTGGTGTATTGCATCTTCTTCTTCACAATACCCCATAGATTTTCTATGGGGTTAAGGTCAGGAGAGTTTGCTGGCCAATTAAGAACAGGGATACCATGGTCCTTCAACCAGGTACTGGTAGCTTTGGCACTGTGTGCAGGTGCCAAGTCCTGTTGGAAAATGAAATCTGCATCTCCAAAAAGTTGGTCAGCTGCAGGAAGCATGAAGTGCTCTAAAACTTCCTGGTATGTGGCTGCGTTGACCCTGGACCTCAGAAAACACAATGGACCAACACCAGCAGATGACATGGCCCCCCAAACCATCACTGACTGTGGAAACTTTACACTGGACTTCAAGCAACGTGGATGAAGTGCCTCTCTTCTTTTCCTCCAGACTCTGGGACCTTGATTTCCAAAGGAAATGCAAAATTTACTTTCATCAGAGAACATGACTTTGGACCACTCACCAGCAGTCCAGTCCTGTTTCTCTTTAGCCCAGGCAAGACGCTTCTGACGCTGTCTGTGGTTCAAGAGTGGCTTGACACAAGGAATGCGACAGCAGAAACCCATGTCTTTCATACGTCTGTGTGTGGTGGTTCTTGAAGCACTCACTCCAGCTGCAGTCCACTCTTTGTGAATCTCCCCCACATTTTTGAATGGGTTTTGTTTCACAATCCTCTCCAGGGTGCGGTTATCTCTCTTGCTTGTACACTTTTTTCGACCACATCTTTTCCTTCCCTTCGCCTCTCTATTAATGTGCTTGGACACTGAGCTCTGTGAACAGCCAGCCTCTTTAGCGATGACCTTTTGTGTCTTGCCCTCCTTGTGCAAGGTGTCGATGGTCGTCTTTTGGACAACTGTCAAGTCAGCAGTCTTCCCCATGATTGTGTAGCCTATAGAACTAGACTGAAAGACCATTTAAAGGCTTTTGCAGGTGGTTTGAGTTAATTAGCTGATTAGAGTGTGGCACCAGGGGCCATCAATTTTGAACCTTTTCACAATATTCTAATTTTCTGATATGATGAATTTGAGATTTTCATTTGTTGTCATTTGTAATCATCAAAATTAAACAAAATAAACATCTGAAATATATGAGTTTGTATGTAATGTATGAATATAATATACAAGTTTCACTTTTTAAATGGAATTACTGAAATCAATCTACTTTTTCATGATATTCTAATTTTATGACCAGCACCTGTACAGTGTAAAAATATTTAACTCTCAAAGATCAACTTTCTAAAAATCAAATAGAAACTAGAGATCAGAGTTTAGTCTGCACATACTTCTGGACAAACATTTCAGCCTGTGAGGCTTCATCTGAGGAATAAATTACTCAAACTTACAAATCTCTTTGCCAGTGTGGTTGATTGCATTTTAAGATAAGTAATGCTTTGAAAAAGATAAAAAATAACAAATGGTAATTTTACCACAAAATATAAAGAACATGAGACTTGATCAAGTTTGATTTGGAAACAAACAACTTTAAACACTATTGCTGTATTATCTATTTTAACCTAAATAAACATATATATGAATGTATACATGAATATAGTTAAAATACATAGAACACAACATCAAAACATAAAATGTAGTAACAAAGTTTTTTCTAATATAATGATTACATGACAAGTTTTTGTGGATGTTGCCACAAAGCTAGTTTAATAATATTTGAGTTTCTATAAGCTATGTTTATGTTAGGTGAAACTACGTATGTACTGCTTTACAAAATGGTCATGTCATACAATAATATGGTGATGTCATAAGTACTAGTATATCTCACCTTGCAAGAGAAAGGTCAAAAAGTCCCAGGAACTGCCTCAATGAGGTCTGGTACATGACATTTATGTTACTCATTTCAGTGATAAGGAAATACAGGATGCTGCCCCTAGTGGCCACTAAAATAACACAGAAACAAACAAAAGCACAAACTTTTAAAAAGAAGGCAAACAACATAATGATACATTTATTTTTCATTTAGAAGAAACTATTTAATAATATAATATGTTTAATTACATTTAATTTAAGAAAAATCTGAATTTCTTTTTTTACATACATTCGTATTCTATCACGCCTTAGAAAATACCCTATCAAGACACATTTGCTGCAATTACAACAACATTTCTTTTGGTAGCGCTGAGCTAAGGAGACTGAGGTCTATGTTAATTTTTTATAAAATAGTATATTGGAAAGAGAGCCTCTTTGGACCACAATTAACAAATCCTGTCACAGATGTGAAAATGGATGTTGGTCTGCACCTTGATTGAGCCTTTGTACCTCATGAAAATGTTAGTCCTCAAAAACCCCAAGCAATATGCTCTGTTTTTGTAATTTTGTAGTCTGTGAAACATGTCTAGCCAAGAATAGCAAATATGTATTTTAAAACCTAATGACACTAAAGCTTAATTTTTTAAGAGTTTAACATTAGATCGATCACACTTAGGACATCAGAAGGGCATCATTAAAACTTTTCTCCGTTGCTGTCGCCATCTTACTGTCATGCTAGCACAAAAGCAGAAAGGAAACGGGGTTAACACATGGTAAAGTATTGCCTCCCGCACTGTGATTGGTCCTGCCAGATCTGGCCAGAGCCAAATTCAGTCATGGATTCTTAGATTTAAATTCAAATCAAAGCTTGGAATATTTTCCATATCCTTAGACTGCTTTAAATTTTCCCATAACATTACTCATAATTTGGACTCTACTGTGTTTTTTGTTCACTAAAGTCCCCTTCCAAACCTTTGTGGTCTGTAAAAAAAAAAAACAATTGTTTATATACTGAGATTAAATACACAAAAACTTCTACTCTCTTTTATAAGATATATGACTTTTACATGTAGGTATTGGCACTACATTTTATTTGATACATGCAGTGATACAGTAGAGTGAATACAAATGGAAGTTGAAGCTTTCTGGTCCTTGCAAAATAATTGCAACCCTGTTCCATTTTTTTCCATCTACATAATAATCTACTTTGAATTTCATAACTTTGAAAAAAAAGAATCATCACATTCAAGTTTACAAAAATCAACAACAAACAATAATGCTGCTACATAATTGGCCCATCTATTTTGGGTCGGTCTGAAATGATTGGAGCAGAGCAGGACAAGAACAATTATCATGTGTTTGTGAATTGCATGAACATTGCATGCTGGCAAGGTTGTTAAAATTTAGAAAAATGTAGGTTAATTTTATATATATATATATATATATATATATATATATATATATATATATATATATATATATATATATATATATATAATGAAGTTAACATAAGAACTAAATTCTGTCTCAGAGCCTACCTGGTCGGTATTCCTCCCGAGCAGCATTTATCTGAACTTCGGTTTCTGCAGCGATCTGCAGCTTCTGAGTGACCTCCTCAGCTGTTTGCTTTGTGTTCTTAAGGACATCAATCAGGCTGTCATCATCCACTAGGGAACCATAAAAAAATACAAATTTAAAATAGATCACTAGCTGTATTAGATGTATTCAAAGTTAAAATCTCTTTAATTTATAACAATATTGATAATTAAAACATGAATCTGATGAAATAAGTGAAATTATACTTTGCACCTATACAGATACATGCAGAACTGCACTTAAAGCTGATCTGTTAACTGGGCTCAGCCTGTTGTCTCTAACATGAGAAGGGCAGGTGGTGCCTTCATGAACATCCTTAAAACATACAAACACTAGGAGGAGATTATGCAAATTTTATTAATTAGCACCTGCAATGTGATTTATCAACCTCTAACTTTTTGCAGGTGCAGTTTCTGCATCTAAGGTTAGTACTTCTAAAAGACAGCTACAAACTCAAAAATAGAACAGGTATTTGTATTGTCAGAAACGGAAATTATAAAGACACGCTGTCTACTGAGCAAAGCTATTGGGAAAGAAAAGTGTTGCAACACAGTAGATTAATTATTTCTGCATGTCATCGCAGTTAGTGGCTCTCCTAGACTCATTTTTTGGCTGAGTTGTCAAGCAGTGCCAGACTAATTTTACAGGGTGGGGACCATACTGGATTGATACGTTGCCTTGCACCTGTCTGTGCATACTTGTAATCACTGTCATTAGATTAAGTGCAAAAGTAGCTTGCAAGTCAAATGGAAATGATTTATGTAATGAAACATAGTACTGAATAAAGAAACTCTTTTTCCACAGATGATTTGTTATTTCTCTGGATTAGTCAGAGTAAAAATTGTTATTATAATAAATACAAAACAGCTTTTCTCTGCTTTTCACTTCCTTGTGGCTGCTGTTCACACAGCTGTGATGCAGATAAACCCCGGCAGCAGCGACTACTGTTACACATCTTTCTTGTTATTCTGACCATGCATTTGGAGGAACATTATTAAGAAGATATGTAGAATCAAAGTTTTGTCCTCTGTTTTTCTGTTATGCAGATATTGAACAGTTTTGGGGGGATTTTTTGATAACCATTGCTAACAAACTAATACTTTTCCCTTTCATGTTAGTAGGGTGTCCAGAAAGATGATGTGACTAATGTTTCTGAGGGACACATCATTTTAGAAATAAAAAAAAACAGTGCTCAGGACTGGTTGCAACAGTTGGAATGATCCAGATGCCAGAGTTTATTCTACCATACTACTGCCTCCAGACCATTTTATAGATATCATAGGTCATTATTTTTTATTTTTCATATCACTTAATAGGAACAGAGAATGTCCTTTTTTTTCCTTCCCTGTCTGCATCTTTTCATCATGCGATCTGTGCACAGTGTCAAATTGCTACTACCTTTTGGAAATGCAAAATATATCCACTCTTCCTCTAGCAAGTGCAAAACCCTTATTGAAATAGGGCGCGCCACCCCACATCTTTGGAAGCAGTTATAGTAAATCATTGCAACTCACTTGTTAATTGCACAACATTTTTTTTCTTTTTGCACAACCAGCTTATCGCTCTTTATTCAGAGTCTTAGTAAAGGTCTTAAATCTCCCTTCTCTGTTACAGTACCGACAATTATAAACATCTTCCCAGTTTACATCTATAATTCTTTTATAGCATGGATTTTTCTTTGCTCCATTTACTTTAGGATAAAATCTTAAAATATGAGTTTGAAATGCATTTTTACCAGTGTGCTAGTTACAGTAGTCTGTACAAAAGGTTGTCTTCAAGTTCCTTCATTTTTCTCTTGTTACAGGTCACATCTTCCAACAGGTAAGTTCTTTCCTTCTCCATTTGCTAGAGTTATAAAAACACAACACAGAAGAACATGTAGATATAAGTTATAAAACGGTGACTGGGAAACAGGCATAGAGTCATCAAACAGTGTGGGCTTTCTTACAATACTGAATGCTCTATAATTGTGTTTCTGTTATTTTTTGATTATGCACATCTGCTAGCTTTTTATTCTAAAAAATCTATAATATTACAGCAGCAAATTATCAAAGTTTTTCAAAAGCCTGTTTAAAAGCTCCAAATGAGGCTTCAGATCGTACAGCGACAATTGCGCTGTCATTGTTTTACAGGCAGAATTTGCATTTGCTGAATCCTGTCTTTTAACTAGTGATTGATATACAGGAATACAGTCATACAAGTGTCAACTCCTCTCAGATAGAACAGGATGCAATTTTTGGCAATTTCTATTTTTATTTTTTCATCTTTTTTTTTTTTAATTCAATGTAACATGAATGCATAAATTCGTCATTTTATTTGAGTGTTAAATTCTGTTTAAAGTAACAGATCATTAAAAATGTCTCCTGACATTTACTGGTTGATTTTCTTTATTCGAACCCCACTGATTTTTTATTAGTTACCCCAGGTTTAATGTTTATAAATATATATTTCACGTCATGTGCGCCATCCAATGCAGATCATTGGTGCCATCCACATCTAGTGAAAACTAGTGTAATTGGATGAGTCGTATAACGCAAACACTCATTGGTTAGCTAAAGGAAATCATCACAAGCAAGCAGGTGTTCTTCAAACTGTAAACATGAATTGTCTTTGCCATGCTACAATGTTGGATTCAGAAAAACATGCCTAAATGTCTGAAAGGTCGGACACAGGTGAGAGCGTATCGGGAGATGGAGATGGAGACCAACAAGACCTCCCTCATCCTTGGCCCTATCTCAAAGAATTTTTTGAAATAGTGGAAAAATTGTGCTTTCAATTCATATAGTGGCATCTGGCCTTTTTCTTAAAGGTTACTTTATACTTTTATACTTTAAGTAGTTTTTGGAGCACATACTTTTTCACTTTTACTTGAGTAATAAGGTCAAGTTGATACTTCTACTTTTACCAGAGTGTTTTTAAGCTGCAGTATCTATACTTCTACTTAAGTAACAAATGTGTGTACTTTTGACATCACTGGTTTTCACATGTCCTTTGGAGTATTTTAAGGGTACATCAAAGAAAAGCTGGTTCCCAAAAAGTTGTATCAGGACATCATCCACCAGCCCTCAACTATGGGATACAATGGTTTAATGATTACACAAATCATAAAACAGGTTAGAATAGGGGCACAGCTCTCACCAACTCTGTTAAACAGCATAACATTCATTATGCATTCCTTCTGGGAGGAAAATGTGTCAAAATGGATCAATACATTTTTGCAACACGTTACAATAATAATTCAAAGAGGGGATCTGAATCCTTGGTCAGAAATGTCTGTTCAATCTCCATGGCAACCATATAGCCATTATATATTGTTTGTCCCTAGTACTTCCATTATATATTTAGGTTTTAATTTAGAGTGGTTTTACAGTTTTATTGTGTGGATGGAATCTGGTTAGCTGCCAGGCTGTAAGTATGTCCAGCTGGATTCACACATATTGCTATGGTGATAAACAGAACACAGCAGTCTCTCACATACAGCCTGTGCACTTGTTCCTGTAAATAGTGCCTACAGTCATTCCAGCTGCAGACATTTGCAGTTTTTGTTTTGTTCTTCTTTTTTTCCCTGGAGGTCAACTTTAAGTTGTGTCTAAAAAAAGTACATTTATTACCAATTTTTGACTTAGTGAGCTGCTATCAGATATTTCTGACATAGATAGTTTGAGAAATTAGCACAATAGTGTGTTTTAAAAAATGACCCCATAAAGTAGTAACCTACTGATGATTACAATGGAAAAATGTTGCCATGTTCTTTCATTACTAACAAATTAATAGAGAGATAAGATTTTTTCTGGTTTTCTTGGTTTCAAGCCAGTCAGTTATTGAACTATAACAAAATATATACAACCTGCAATTTCTTGTTGTATTTTTTTAAGCATGTTTGTAAAAATAGGAAAAAAACGAATATAGAGTTTCACAATGAAGCTTTCTCTTTCTATTTCCTGTCATGATCGTCATTAATGTTTGTGGATGTATGTCTAAATAAACTTAAAATCAACAAAATAAAGCATGTCCTGAAAGCATATATGACTTCTGAAAGCCATACAAGCTTGAAAGAAAAGCAGATTTTTTTTGCATGCAGGAATAGCAGCCTCAGATTTTATTATGCATGTATCCACATTTGGTAAATACTGGAGATAGCAATCTATTCTTCACATCTTCTATGAATCTTTCATGTCATGATCACCCATTAGACTTATCGGTGAGAAAATTGCTTCTCTGCAGCAGCGCCAGTCTTTTTAGACTAACAATCAATGATCCCTTTGCTCTGGTGCATTTACAGAGCAGTATTATATAGCTCATAGTGAATGGCTCAAGTTCCTGACACTTCAGAGGTGTGTGTTTTCGTTAGTAGATTTTAAACTAATGCATATGGACACCATTTTTAGTGAGTGGATGTTTCTTTACTCTGTAAATAACTATTGTATCATGTTCTGTAAAAAGTGGTTGATACATTAATGTCTCCTGAGAGAGAAAACAAGGCTCACAATAAGAGAGGTGTTAAAAGCCTACAACCATCTAGGAAAATTACTTTAAATCAGAAGCACAGTGCTTCAATAAACTCCCATATAATACTTCTTAAATAAGTAATTAAAAAAATATGTATGGAAGTTAATAGTGGAAATAATTCAGTTGAAGGTATACCTGCTTTTCAGTGAGAATCACTTTACCCAGCAGCTGGTCGTCAAGTCCTTTCATAGTAACAGTGAAGCCAATGATGGAGGTGCGAGCGCTTATTTCAGGAGTGTAGGCTGGGTTAGGGAGCTTGGTGGTCATATTAAGCTTAAAGCCCTTCATCACATCCACTTCCTTGTCCCCTACTTTCACCTGTGAACATATTCACTTTTAGCACAACAACCTTATAATGATTAATATCACACAATATTTACAAAGTAACAGAGTTTGTCTATTCCTAAGAGATTTTTTCATATTAAGTCACTATACAGCCACATATTCCAGGGTATTAAAAATTAGATTTTAGGTGAAAAACCAACATAAATTAGTGAAGCATTGTTAGGTGGAATAAAAGTGCACCATTTTTTTTAAGTATTACAAAGAAAAATGTAAAAGTTGTGGCATGTCTTTGTAATAATCTTAATTTTATCTGATACATAAAAAAAAAGCAGTAAAACATTTTCAGCCCTAGTTACTAAACTATATTCAATCATTTAGCATGTTTCTGCAAAACTATAGAGCATCACATTTTGGTATATTTTAATAAAAAAACAAACAGACAATTAAGTTAATAAAACACATAGTTTTGGTAAAACCGTACATTCCAGAAATGGCTGACTTTGATTCAGAGAAAGCTGAATGCAAATGCTAATCCCACTTAAAAAAGTTTAAAAAAAAAAGATTTTTCTTGGTTTTACCATTTCATATATATGATACGTTGTGTTGGTCTATCAGAAAAATTAAATTCAAATCATATAGATTTTGTAAGTTTTATGTGACAACATGTAACAGTCTTAAAGAGGTTTAAGATATTGCAAATAATGTTTCTTAGGGGTGCACCGATTGCTGGTTTCTGGACAATTACAGAGTTTTTGAAGTGTAACATGCAAATTCAGATTTGCATGTTAGACTTGCTAGAACAATGAACAATACACATGATACAATAAAAGACTTTGCAAATAACTGCTCTCAGTTATAAATGCAAAGTTTATAGCATTGTGGAAAGATTTCAGACCTTCCCAGAAGTAGATAAAATCAGTTTTACAGTACATGTAAGTATCAGCACCCCTCATTTCTTTTAAGTAAGTTTAATCTCTCATAAATCGTTTAAGTAAAAAAAAAAAAAAGTACTCAAGAAAATTAAATAAAACAGGACCTTACTTATCAAAAATCTAATAATAGTGAATTGTGTATTTTATAAATACTTCTTTAAGAGTATTTATAAATGCCCATGTGTATTTGTGTATATCAATATGTGTTCATGCATGGGTGCGTAATTGTTAAACGATCTGATCAGCATTTAATTACTCATGGCAGTACATCATCTAATTATCTCCCAGTTCCCTGAGCTGTCAAGCACAAACACCTTCACTTCCTTCTTGAACCAGGATATTAATAGAAATAAGAACTTTTCACAAATCGGAAAGAACAGAGAGAAAAGACACTATAATCAGCTCCTTTTATAATCTAGGTAACTCATATTTCTGATGAGTATCCTATTTGTCAGTCACCACAGTGCAATAGTATTTAAAAAAATAAGGCTTTTCTATCATTGATGGAACATACACAAGGTAAATAAGATTTCACTTACCGCCAAACTACACATGTGACAACGTTGGCTTCTGTCTCAATGGTACTACACCCCACAGAGTTATTGCAAACATAGATGTTTACATGGTTTACCTCATTTCTACATTTTCAATATTTCCTCTAAGTACAAAGATTTATTTTAAAGCTAAATACAGGCATTTACATGGGAAATTAAAATGATTAATAATCGATAATACTAGAACCTCTAGCTTCAGCTTTAGAGCAAACTTAGTTTTAATATCATATAAGAGCAGGAACAGGAGGAAACTGTATCCTGTGATCATTTATACTCAAATCATTGAATATTTCATTTGACCTATACTTAAAATTTCTGATATATTGGATTATTTTATGGATAATATTCACTTGCCAGCTGCAAATATTTTTCATATCATTTGATGAAATCTAGAACATTTTACAATCTGGTGTAAACATAGCTTTGCACCAGAAATTTTGCTTTAGATTTAGTGCTGGAACAGACACATTTGACAGCCTGTTAATTATAAAGTTCTTCTTTTGTAGGCTTTTGTGTACAGAATCAGATTATCTGTTGGCAGTTAAGATATGTTAAGTAATAACAAAGCATGCATAATAAAAAATCTGTATACACTTTAATAATCAGTAGCTCATTAGCCTTCTTCTATGCTGTAATATTTGTTGGGTTCTTTAGAGATATTACTGACTGTGGGGGTGAATATTCAAAAGAATGTCCGTACACATTCTAAATAATATAACACACTTCTATTGAAGGTAATAGTCCTCATTTTAAACTGAATAGAGGTGAAAAGCACAAACTAGTCGTTCTGTGCAGACATGGAAAACAAAAACCATGTATAATGATTCAAGGACAGCTCATCATCCTCATAAAAACAGTCTATTTCCAGCTAGTATGGTTCAAGCTGAGTAGCAAGAAGCAAATCAATACACATATAAAGAAAAAAAAGGTCTTAAAGTAAAAAAAAAAAAAGTTAAAAAAAAGTACTCTTACCTTATAAGTGGAGCCGGTTTTGATAAAGTTCTTCTCAAGAATGTTGTTCAAAGCAGGATCCAGCTCCTCCCCAATATCTTCAATCAGCAGGGGGCGACCAAGAGACAAACTCTTCTCAAGATGTTTCCTAAAGTACTTATGGTTTAGTGACGCAATCTAAGATTGATAAAAAGAAAGATATATTGGACAATTGATAGTAACACTGTTTTAACATTTCAACAATGTTATCTGCCTTTCAACACTGTATTATTCATTGCACGGACACACAATAGGTGATTCTATAATGTAGGATGAGGTATTATCAGCAGTAATCAAACTGCAGGTCTTAAAATCTCCATCAATATATAAGTAAAAATATTTTATGGTTGTGTCTTGTTTCTTTTAACACATTACTGAAAGAAATATGAATGAAAGATTATAGTTTTTATACCCAATGATTAAAAAAAACATTCATAATGTGCTTTTAGAATGCATTCACCACGCTATTAGATTGCCTCTAATAGGTGTGTGACCCTGTTTGGGCTCATAATATTTGCACATTTGCTTTTCCTGAAGTGATATTCATGCTGGAAATGAAAGAGCACAGAGTAAACACAATAACACAAACAAAAATAATTTAAGAATACTTCTTTTTCTAACCTGCAAATCAGTTATGCAAAATACTGTATTTCAAAATTTCAAAATTAAATAAATATACAGATAAATAGATGTAACATTTTCAAACATCTGTATTTTCTAACACAGCATTATATGAAATGGAATAAAGCTATAGAAACATCCATCCAAACCTGCAACTCATTTCTTGCTTCTTTGTTTTTGATCCAGATTTTTCCCTGTGTCTGTGGGTCAATAAGGAGAGAGAATCTTGCAGCTTTGGTCACAATTATGCCATTTTGAATAGACAGGTCATCATTGGTAAGGCCTTGAAAGAAAGAAAGGTGAGGCTACTTCTCAATGTGTTTTATAAAGATGCCAACTTAATACCACAGAAAACAGTGTGAATAGTGATACTTATTACCTTAATGCTTAGAAAAAACCTTTAGTAACCCGAAGGTTCCATTCACTAACAGTAGGAGCATCAATGAGAATGTCAGCAAGATTTAGACCTCATGCAAATTGAATAGAACGCTGCTTTAATTCTTGCTGCCAGTCGTCCAGGAGGATATTACGAAACTCTTGGTTAAAGGATCCAGAATACGAGAGGAAAGCTGTAGCCAGAAGGACGTCACCTAAAAGATGGACACAAGAGTATTACTATCAAATGTTGTTCTCTTGTATTTTTTTACAGTCAAACCAAAATCTAGACTGAATAGAAAATACTGTCAAATGCTTATTTTAAAATATCCTCTTATATATAGAACCCTACATGTAATAATGATGAAACATTACCCTGTTAACACATTTTTGCATTGGAGAAAACATGTTTTCTCCAAATCAGACAAGGTAACCTACCCACAAGGCGATTGGTTTGAGCTGCAAACTCTTTGCTCTGTTCTGTCCACCTCTCCTTCTCACCAGCAAGGCCACTGATGAGACTGGACGCTGTCTGCATCTTGCGTCTGCAGCGCTCAGCATCCTCCAGCAAAGTCTGGAGATAAATGGGAAAGACAAACAGGTCAGTTTTTCCATGTGTCTGTTTATCTTGGTATGTTCTACACCGCCCTAATCAAGCTCATTATCTATAAGTTATTCTTTGAAGACCACTAAATATTTAGAAAACACCCCAAATATACAGACTGGAAACTTTAAGAGAATTTTCAAACATAAAATAAGGATTCTTCTGTTAGCTCTATCTGTTGTCTGTCTAAATAATGATAAAAAAGAGAGTGTTGCCTGTCTATTTTAGCAGTAAAACAAGCATCTAGTGCATGATGGGTTATTCCTGCAAATGTTAACTGCAGTTCATGATGTACATTTAAAACCTAGTGATTCTTTTATTGAATTTAAATGCCTAAATTAAATGTCAATTATGATAAATAACCACATCTTTATAGAAGCATTTGTTGAACTATTTAACACAATCTTTTTATTTGCTGCTTAACGCCGTTAATGACCCTGTTTACAGAGAATCAGCAATTACACATCAATGGAGATCGAATTAGTAGAACATAAAACAAAACTGCGTCTGAGTGTCTGAGCCATTTTAATCTGCCATAAATCTCACTGCTGGACCTACAGGAGAGAAAACATCCCTCTGCAATACGAGTTGGTTCTTGCAATCCAGTTTTCCTAATCAGGAAGTCTTGATGCACACACTTTTCTGTTTGCATGTAGAGAGTTCTAATGATGTAAATGCGCAAAGCAGGCCATTGGGTAAATCTGACTTAATCATTCTTTATTCAAGTCAAAGCTAATTACACTCTTCAAGCTGCATTCAAAAAGACTATTTTTAAGCAGTATATCATTTTTGGTTTATGTACTTGCAACAAAAACATAGACGCCACACAGCATATTCAAAAAGTAAGTGTCAGGTAGTGTTGTTCTGCGGGCTGCCATGACGCAAATCCTAGTTATGAATGGCCTCAGAAGCCTGTTGTTGTCTTGACAACGCAGGTTTGCTTAATTTTCCTTATGTTTGTGTCTTTACTTTGCAAATAAGATATTAGGCTAAAGTTTAATGCTTCACAAAAGATTAAAGTATCTATGGAACTTGATAAAAAAAAAAAAAAGCTCAGGCAGTTTGAACTATATAATTAATATTAGGTAGTAAATATGTGGAATATGTTTTTCATATCTGAAGAATCTTGGTGTTTGGCCTAATTCAGCTGAAATACAGCTGTACCACACAAGTTCATGTTACCTAAGTGGATTCAGGCTGAACTGTTCAGTGAGACCAGGACTCAATTTGTTTATATGTGATTAAGGCTGTATCAGATCAAAACCAAATTACCCTACTGTAGATTGATCTCCATGTATTTTGTCATCAATTCTGATCTTTTAGCTGTCCTTATTGTGGAAAATTATTCACTCAGCATCATGCTGCCACCACCATGGCTGTCTAGTAACGCAATATACTCAAAAGATGTCAGATGCCTGCAGGTGAGAACGGAAAGTTTTAAACTTATCTGACCAGAGCGCCTCTTTGACATGTTAGCTGTTTATAATTTACAGTTGGTATAAAACTATATAATTGTATTGTGGATTTCTACTAGGGGGCTCTTGCAAAAAGGTCTGATTTTTAGGTGTATATGACTGATAGTTGTCAACATTTTCTAGAAACCAATGCATGTCACACTTTTCAAAATTAAAGAGGAAAGACAAAGGACATGGATTTTTCTCCATGGAATGAGATCATAGTTTTAGTTGTAGTTTGTCACATATAGGCCAATTAAAACAAAAACCATCAATAAGGTTTTATTTTTGCGATATACCAGTAATAAAATCAAGTTGTAGTTTTTTTATGCACTTTCATTTTCAAACATTTTTTTCTTAATGAATGCATCATGTAATTAAGAGGTAATTAATATCTAGACCTGTTTCTCCATCATGGCCTTCTCATACTCATGCTCGCACCACATCCAGCTCCGCCTGCTTGGCATCCAGCTCAGCCTGTGCTTTTGCAAGGTCTGCAGTGGCATTGTCCAAACGGCTTTCCTGCTTGACTAGATTGGCCTATTTCAAACAAGAAAAGAAAGAAAAACTCTGTTGTTCATGTCATCCCTGCATACAAAATCTGAATGGAATTTTTTTTACACACAAAGACGCGAAAGAAATAAAGAAACAGAGGAAGTGAGGAAGCAAGAAATTCATAGAAAAAATAAATACTGCTAGAGGTTTTTATTTTCAAAATGGAGGGATGTTGATATTCAACCTGTTCGCCTGTAACCCCCTTTTCACCCATAGACTGCTCGAGATAGGCACCAGCCCCCTCATGACCCTGATGGTTAAGCGGCAGATGAATGGATGGATGGATAAAAATATGAGAAATATTTTGTTTGTCTTTAAGACTTTAAAGGTTGCCCTGGAGCAGAAGATTTACAGACTCAAAGTTCAACCTGGACATGAGAGGAAAGAAATAAAAGGACGAAACGTGGAAGTCAAAAAAGGAATTGCAAACGTTGAAGGTTTTAGAGAGAAAAAAAGATGGACCTAAAAAAGATGTGGTAATGAGATTTTTAAGGTAATACATGAGCTATTGTTAAATCACTAAAAGAGATTCAGATATAAAGATTTACAGAAAGTCTGCAGGTTGTCTTAATAATCTGAATTGAGGTCTGATTGGTTAGCTTGGCCAGGAAGGAGTCTGCCACTTCTATTCATTATTAATTGACATTGAAAAAGACCATTCATGCTCATCTGTCTCCCTGTCTGCCGTCTTACAGTCTGGCCGGTCAGCTTTAAAGGAAAACTAACCCTCAGCCATAAACCAGAAAATCTATTTGCAAGACCATGTTTCATGATGAAGGACAACATACTTTAATAAGGATGGGAAAACAACATAAGAATGAGATGTAAAGAAGTTCTTATGGAGGTTTTGAACCATGAGATGAATAACAAAACGGATAATAAAGGTTAGTGTGTGTGACAATATAAAAATACATTAGGAAATTAAGACAATGATACAGTCAGAAGAGGTGGAATGGAAGCAAGATGAACAGAGTCAAAGGCGAAGATGAGATGGAGAAACTTAGACAATAATTATGAACAGAGGGTGAGGTAAAAGAGGACATTTTTTTGTAAATAAATTGGCTCCTGAAAGAATTTGAATATAATATAAAATCCCTTTATTGTGCCATAACAGGGAAATGAACACTATCCAAAAGTAGAACAGTGAACTTTAAAGCTCTAAAATTTGTCCTTAAATACTATATTTTTTTTCTTTATCAAGTGCTTACCAGAAAAAAAATACAAAAAAAAAAAGAAAAAAAAAATCGCAAGGACAAAAATCTTTTAATTGATCATAGCTAGGGTTGTGGAAAGTGGCTCGCAGCAGCAAAAGCAAGCAAAGGTTTTCCTCATAGCTAGACTCACATTGAAAAGAAACAGAGAACTTTAAAAAATCTTTCTCATGTACATAAAGTAAAACTCATACACATCAACATCAACACATACACAGACCACCTTTCTATGAAATGCAGCATGTCTCTAGAAAGGCGTACTAAGTATTTTATAGAACAAGTACACTAAAACTCTCAATTTTAGGGCATCCATGCTTAAGAAATATGAAAATATTAAGAATATTTTTAAAAGTTCCATTTTCTTCCATATTTCAACTCGTTTTCTCATCAGTGTGTGAGAGGGGATGTAAATCTCTGCAGGCAGGTATTTCTCTGCATAACAGAATGGTGAGTCTGAAATAGTGGACAAATTGCAAATCTTTTGGAAAGTAAGCTTGTATGAGTGATGCAAACAGCAGCTTTCAAACAGATTGTGCACAAAGAGAAATGGGCTTGTGCATGCTCTTGCACGCATTTAATAGGCATTCCATTTTGGGAGCGGGCACAGGGTTGTTTATGTGCATTTTTTTAGAAGTGTAGAAGGCGGGTCTTTCCAAAAATGTGTGAAAATCCTCCACTATACCTTTAAGTAATAATTTAAATGTCAGTTATTTTAATCTAACAAGAGACTAAAATAAAATAGGTGAAATTGTCATGTTGGGTTAATGGAGCTAAACCCAAGCGCAGAACACCACGGAGACAGGGTTAAAAGTTCAACAGTTTATTTTTAGGAAACACAATCGAAGAGATAGTACTGATACTGGTACAGGTCCGGGTTTGGATTCACAGGGATCTCTGATGTGGTTCAGGCTGAGAGAGGAAGCCAGAGGAGTCCAGAGGCAGAGGGATTAGCAGAGGGCTAGGCAGCAGCAGGGCTAGGCTTCTGACTAGCTGAGACTCAGTTCTTGAGTTGCTCTAAGTTCTCACCTAGAGAACAGGCAGGCAGATTCAGATTGTAGATCTCCTGGTTGGTTACCAAGAGCAGGAAGGCAGGTTTCTGATGATGAGCTCCTCCAGAGCTCCTGAGATGCGGCAGGCAGATTTCAGCAAAGGAGACTCTTCCAGAGTTTCCAGGGTTCAGTCAAGAGCAGGTTGGCAGGCTTCAGACGATGAGCTCCTCCAGAGCTCCTGAGATGTGCCGGGCAGAGTTCGTTAATTGAGACTCCTCCAGAGTCCCAGGGTACAGTCAGAATTCTTCCGTGATTAACAAAAACACTCTGGCGTTGGGGTGTTGTCCACAGCCCAATTAAGTACTGGTCCCCTGATGAGCAGATGAGAGTCAGCTGGTGAAGGCAGCTCCAGGTTCAGGAGATCCAGTACACCCTCTGGTGGAGGAAGGTAGACAGCACCCCAGATCCCAACAGAAGAACAAACAATCCAGAAGGGATCCTCGGCGCCCTCTGGTGGGCAAGCCTCTGGATCCCAACAGAAATATTATGATTGAAGCGCCAATAACTCTAGTGTATTAAGCTGATTATAAAGAATTAGGCCTTCTTAATGTCTTCCTTTATGGCACCAACTTCCTCACAGTGGGTTACCAAGACTTTGGTGCAGCTTGTATTATTCATGCAGATGAGATTTGACAGAGTTTAGTTGGCATCAGCAGCAATAATAGTAAAAGGGCCTGACAATGTTCAGCCACGTTTCCTTTCGTACTGTGCTGCCCATCAAGATATTCAATTGCTATGTTCCATCAGAAATTCTGTCTAGTCTCAATTTCTAAGAAACCTAAACAAAGATAGCTCTTCAGCGCACAGATATCAGGTTTTAAAGCCTCTTTAAAAGTATGTAAAGAATCTATCTATCTATCTATCTATCTATCTATCTATCTATCTATCTATCTATCTATCTATCTATCTATCTATCTATCTATCTATCTATCTATCTATCTAACTATCTATCTATCTATCTATCTATCTATCTATCTATCTATCTATCTATCTATCTATCTATCTATCTAGTAATGTATTTTTGTATGATTTCAATTTCAATTTAGTTTATTTATATAGCGCCAATTCACAACACAAGTCATCTCAAGGCACTTTACAGTTCAACCAGATCATACAGTCAAATTGATTCAAAGTTTTCTATCTAAGGAAGACCAGTTGATTGCATTGACTCATTGACTAAAATACAATCCCTCACAGGTGTTATTGTAAAAATAATTCATATCCTACAGTGTATATGTAAATACAAAAGTATTTGTTGTTGCAGTTATAATTTTTTTGTTCCTGTCCCTTTCGTTGTCCCCGTTACGGACAAAAACTCATACAGTACAAGTACTGTTCCGATTCTCCAGATTTTTGCACGGTTGTAACCTGTGCACTCAAACCCTTAAGTGCGCTTATTCTATTTGCGCACTTCATAGAGGGGCTTATGGGCCCTTAACATTTAAGAGCAATGCCCCTGAGGATTTGAGTTTAAAGTAATGTGAATATGAATAAGTTACAGGAGGAGCAGATGTCAAAAAACAATTGTGTGACAACTATGATGCAAGACAAAATGTCAATCTTAGAAAATAGATTCTTGCTGGGTACAACCAAATTAACATTTCTGACTAAGGCTGACTTTAACATTCAGCTTTATATTTTAGACGGACTGATGCCCATGAAAAATGTTGACAGAGGGATTTGAACCAAGCTGATTTCATTAACACCAAAGAGACCTATTATTATTATTATTATTTGAAGACCATTAAACAGAAAACCAGACAATTCATCTATTAATTCAAAGTAATCTCAGACCTCTTTTTCTAAGTCTTACAATTAATTTCAAAGTAAGCCAAAATTAGAAGATATCAGTTTGTTGTTCTATAGTATAAAATAAGTCATTAAGGAATTCACAGTCTAGAACCATTTCTATATGTGGCAATCTTGCAAGCCTGAATCAGTGGAGCATGTTATTTTTCAAAACCAACCACATACACATAGAATATTAGACACTTCAAGTTCCCATAGTTCCCGACTGCAATAGATTGGAATAGTTTACCCAATACACAAGTTGTCTATCAACTTCACAATTAATCTAAAGGCCAAAATCTATAATCTGAAACAGATTTTGATTTATATTTTATCTGAAAATAAACTTGCTTTCAATTTCTACACCATGAAAAAAAAGTTTTTAATCTTAGATTACCTTTAAGGGTAAAACTTCCTTGTTTGCAAAGAAGAAGTCAACCACAGCTCTGGTCTAGGAGAGAAGACCAGCGACACCACACTCTTTCTTGGCTGCATCAATATTGTAGTCTGGGGCCACAAAATAGGGCATCAGAAGCTCCACCATTTCTTCATCAATGGTTTTTACATCAAATTGCTTTGGGGAAAAAAGATGCATACAAAAAGCAGGTGAGAGAATGGAATGCGGGATGATTTGATTTGAGTATAAAAGCTTGGTCGATTCCTCCATCAAGTGTATGCGCAGATGAATCTTCCAAAGTCAAGTGAGACACAAAGGCTGATTAAAACCACAATTTCATCTCTAAGATCATGTCTTACAATTTCTCTGATCAAATCTGATGCATCACCTTCTTCATAGAATAACTAAAATAGAATAATTAAAGTGCACCTGAAGTCTTTTCAAGAACTTTCCGGATGTCATTAGTTTTAGGGACTCCTGCCAGGAGGGAGTAATGCACTTTTTTTCCTGATCAATCTTCACTCTATTAACCCGGTGCTGGAAGAGTATCAGCACACAGTCCATAATGCGCATGATGAGGTGGGGAGGCCGTGCTAGAGTTCACACAGTGGCAATGTCTGATGGCTTGATTGTCTGTAATTGCAAAAAAATAAAATAAGACCAATGAAGAGCACACATTTAATTTCAAATTAGGCAGATAACAAAGTTTTCTAAAGCTTGCTTGGAAGAATAACTTTGAGAACAGCTTTACCAAAGAAGACATTTATACTCTTTTCAAGATGATCATAGAATTTTGCCACAAACAGTTGTGGAATCCTGCGAGCAGTCATTCAGACTGTGGGACTACATTTCTATATGTCACATTATTTAAAATACAAAACTTTAACAAAACCTATTTATGCCTGCATAGTCACTAACAGTCTAATCAGATGGATCTCAGATTGCTCTTTTTACACTTATTGGACTTTCCAATGTTTTAACCATCAGGCCCTGTAATTCCTTCCTTGCATCTTATTAAACACTCCAAGACAGCAGCAATAAATAATAATTGAGCTTTATTGATCTCACACACATTTACCTCTGCATTTAACCCATCCCCTTGGGGAGCAGTGGGCTGCCACTGTGTGGTGCCAGCAGAGCAGTGTGGGGTTACGCAACCCCCACTCCCCTAATGAGTCAAGTAATTTTTTAGCATATTGAATCCCCTTTTCAATCTATACTAGAGAGTAATACATTATTAGCAGCAGTAACCCTAGTATTGCTGTACTCTGTTTAAAATAACCTACAAAAGGGCACAAACACACATATTGCACTATTTTTTATGTATTTTGCAGAAACAAATTAGATGAAAGTATTTCTTTTCAAGTTGTGCAATAAAAAATGAATAATTATATTTTTTGGTCAGATTTGGCTTTGTTGTGATATGAGTTTTAATGAACCGATAATTCGTTCCCATACTTTTTTCTATTGTTTTATTTCATTTTTTTTTTTTATCAATACTTTCCCAGCATTGTTCTTGAGCTTCAGTTTTTCCACCTTTAGGATTTTTGCCAGCTATGGAAATTAAGGTCTCAGTTAATTTCATTGCTCCATTTTATTATTGACATGCAAAGTATGATGACTTTGGGACTGAAATAAAAAATTTTTATTAACATTTTATATATCATAAGCAGTCCTCTGACATCATGGCATTACAACTACTACAGCTGTAAGAAAAAGGTACTTGGTATACATTGTTTTTGAGCTGTTTACGTGTCAGGGTAGTACTCTGTGCAGAGTAAAAAGCTAGAAAGAATATTATAAGGAGAAAGAATATCAAAAATAGAAAAGAATGTTATAACGAGATTAGAGGAAATGTTGACATGGATTAAAAAAAATAGATCACAGCACTTAGCTTTTATTTTCCGCTCAGTTGAGGGTAGACTCATAAATTATTAAGGGTAAGACATCATTTCAAACATAATTTAGAACATCAAAGTAGGAAACATGTGCAAGGAATCCTGCCAGATGCATTACTGAGAAGAGACATAAAACATAACACTCAAAAGAAACAAAATGTAAATAGTGACAGAGTGACGACCTTCAGCTGTGGGATAAAGAACTACCTTAAGAGACTAATTAAAATCAGCAAACCCAGAAAGCTAGGGGATATCTCAGTGAGAGTTTTGTAGGTGTTTCTGTAAAATGTTTCAGCTGCATTTTTTTTTTTTTTTATATTTTTTAACTTTTTTTTTCTTATTCTTTAGCAAATTTCTGTCGCACCCTAATCTTTTACAAGAAACAGATTCCTTTCCCAAAGTACACTGTTTCAGTGGAATAACTGCAACGTATCAACTAATTATTATATAGTACAAAGATTATTTCATGTCACTATAAACTGTAATGAAAACTCAGCCATTTACAAAAAAACTAAAGATTTACAATAAGTCATAAAAGGGTCCTGAACTTACAGTAATAGCAGCACCCATTATAAGATACACATTCATTGTTCCTTTTAACAATAAGGTCTTGTGAACTGATCCAGGGAATTGTAAAAGTGAGAAAATTCCCTTTCACGCAATAATTTTTGACCAAGCCAAGGTGGTCCATAAAGCACTTTTTAAACTACATTAATATTTATTGTAAGTTTTTCCTCTAATTATATATATATATATATATAAAATATAAAGTCACAGTGTAGCCGTTGCACTGCCCCTCTCAGCACATCAAGTAAAAAGGGTGTTCATATCCCACCCCGAAGCAACACAATGCAGTGCAAGAGAAATATCATACACTTTCTGCCAAACAAATAAGCACAGAAACGTTCTGTGTTCTTCTTAGTATAATGTGAAACCAATGAAATAAATGGTGCTTACCTGCTACCAGGTACTACTATATCTAGATTTAAAAGCACAACAAAATCCTAAATGATAAAAGAAATACTTCATGCTTTTGTATAATGTAGCCGATTTATATTTCCCAATGCGCTTGATGTTTCAAAAGAAAATGATAATAACACATAACAGTGGATCTCCAACCTGCTCCTAAAACACCACTCTACATATTTAAAACCATTAACAGTTTAATGGTGGTTTAGTGGTTTAATCCGCCTCACAAACACAAACTGAGTTAATGGGTTATTTTCAAAAGCAAACTCCAGATTAACATTTCAAGAAAAACATAATTTTTTTTATATTTTTTTCACAACTGTAATCTTTATAAGGTTTGAAGTGACTGGATATCTCCCAAGATTTACAATCTTTTTATCATCATAGCATAAATTAACCATGAATATTTGAGCATAACACCACTGTTAAAGGTCCAAACTAGGGCAATACGTCTATATTCCAACAGGTAGTGCATTAACTATTCCCCTGGTGTGATAAGAACCACCTAGAACTTAGTTTTACTGAAGGCAGGCAGAAAAGATGGTGGCTTTCTGAAGACAAACCTCAACATTGCCTTCTATCACCATCCTAAATAACACAGTTGGCTCCCTTCCCATTAGCAAAAGAAGCTGGGTCTAACCCCCAGCTGGTAAACTGCGTGGCCTCTGTCCCCCGCTGCTCCCTGCCTGGTGACACTATCACTCAGGGTTAGCGTTGATGATGTCACTGCGACAGAAATTGGTAAAGTAAATAATCGAGAGCAAAATGGAAGTCAGTTGCAGGGCGTAGTAAGTGTGCTTTATTGTTTCGCTCTTTTGTCCCTCCAAACCTCTCTCACCAGTGCTGCGCCATGTTTCTGGAATGTAAGCAGAGCTTTATTGGCTTGCTAGATCAGAAGTGACTGCTGTTGACATCGGTACGCTGCGCTCAATGTTATCAGGTCAATTAGCGGGTTGACTCGGGTCTGATGTTCCCACTGTATGCCGAGTGGAGAAGAGCTGTTTGAAGGCGACTTTAACCCGGGGTCACTTGCCGAGTCGTTTGACCTGGGTTGACACAGGTCAGTGAGCCGTTCCCACTGCCACTAAAAGCCAATTGTAGATTTAAACAGGATTTTGTGGGCAGTTGGTAAGGGGTATACTATCAATGGTCATGTTGCCATAGGAATATCATTACTTTTTCATTCAATGTGTGCTTTTTTGTTTACTTCTTACTAAACAAATGAAACTAAACTATTGTTTATGTTGTAAATTTTAAAATTATTACATTTTTCCCAGATAAAACAACATTCAAAGCATTTTCACATTCATTGATATTATTGCTATGCATTTAAGCGAATTTCTAGGTGGTGTTGTTGCCTTTCTCAAAACTTTCAATGCATAGACAGTAAGTATAGCCCAGATTAATATCTACCTAGTTTCCTTTACAATTTATTCTGCACCTTAAAGTAAAAGCACGAAAGGCAGGTCATAATAGCAATCTGTCAGCCACCATACTGCTATTTGAGATGAGCTGTTAAGACAACAAAATTTAAAAAACACATTTTACCCTGTTAAATGTGAGCCATCTTAAAAATCCAACTCATATATAAGTGAAATATTTGACTCTAGCCACCCACTGCAATTTAATAAGTGCAGAGGCTTACTTTCAAGTCGAGGGAGCAGATGACTTGAATTAAATACTGCAGATAAAAAAAGAACAAGGAGGTAGAGATTTACTACAATTCTTCCAGCAGCAAATGTGCATGAAATAATAATTTTAAGATAATAATCTTATCCAAAGCTTTCAACAAAAACTTTAAAAAAAAAAAGTGAACCTTTAAAATTTCAAGTAACAACCAATTTTTTCCCAGACTGGTAGCTCTTGCCTAGATACTTCAATAGCTGGATATAGAATTCTATATATGCAGTTCATCATTGCTGTTGGGCAGGAAACCTAAATTTATAAAATTCAAATAAACTTTTTTATGAATTAATTCCATACTTTATACAAATACATATCTAGTTCAACACATCATATTGGTTAATATAACAGAGAGACAAGCTGACAAAATGTACAACGAAAGAATGTTTTTTTTACAACATACAAGGTTTTCATCCCGAATTGTCAGGGCTCCAGTCTGTGTGTTTGTTTTTGTGTGTGTCTCCCTTCCACCAACAAGAGGCGCCTGGTTCCGGTCCGCCTCCTCACACACCTGCTGATGGTTTCCTCGTTAACAGAGTGCTCTTAAGCTGCTGATTGCCACTACCTCGACGCCAGAGTGTTTGCCAGTTTTGGGTACTCTAGCCTAGGTGAGTTTTTGCTGAGTAAGACTGAGTTCTTGTCTACCTGAGTTTTAACTTTGTTTTTTGTCTTTGCCTCTCGGCAGGAAGTCATCCTGCAAACTGGACCTTTTCGGACCTCCACTCCCAGGAGGGATCAACTGAAGCTCAAACTGAGCTGGGGATTCAAACTGGAGGTTTGGATCCAGTCTCCTTGAGAGGATGTTGAGTTTTACTCTCTGAGCAAGGGATTCATCTTCACTACGACCCGTTCAAGTACAGCAGGAAATCTGAGTGGCAGTCAGTATGTCTGTTCATCTACACCGTCCGAGTTCTGGGTAAACCCTGTTCCGCCCTCCACCGAATCAGTCAAACTCTGAAAAACAACACACAGATTGGAGTCTAAGGTTCTTCAACTTCTCTGCAAACGTGAGTCGACAACCAGATCCTCTTCTTCAAATCCACAAATTAAATTTCCCACTGAGCCTGAACTAATCGTTTGTCTTCCCTTCACCTTCCAGTTCCGGCTGAGCAGAGTTCAGAGGAACACTGCACCATGCTTAATCTCTACAATAAAACCTGTTAAACCTTTCTCCTGGTCTCTCTGAATTGGTTTCTCTGCATGTGGGTCCGAGCTTTAGATAAAATCATGACACAAATAAACACTTCCTGATCTACTATGAATTATGAATTACAAACAGATCAATAAAAATCTTCATTACTCCAAAACAAGTAAAGGACAAAAAGATTCTTCATTCTTTGGCAATTTTGGCTTTATTTCTTCAATTTGGTCACTGCTGCTCAGGGGTCAAAGTAGATTTAAATTTACAGGTTTTTGATATAAAAAAAAAAATGGAGAGAGAAGCTACATAATTGCCTTGTAATGCCATGGCAATCCAGACCTAAACTGAATGAATATGCTAAGTAAAATGTTGAAATATTTAAAGGAAACAGAAAATATTTTAATGACAATACAAGGAAACATTTACATCTAGACAGGAACTATGAGAGAGAAATATTCAAAGATCTAAGTACCTTTTCACCTGGCTCTTTATCCAAAAATAAACAGTACACACTCAATTGCTTTGGATATAATTAAGGGATTCCTTTTGGTAGAAGTTAAAGAATATTTGGTATCACCTCTTGTGTGCTAAAAGAAATATAATCTTGGTAGTAAAGGGATTTTTTTTCCACTTGGCAGTTGTTGATCACCCACATATAGTTTATTAAGTAGCGAGAGCAGGATGAGCCATACTGCTGGGAGCGATCCATCAGAATGGAGCATGAAGCGCAGATTCAGAGCTCCATTTCTGAGCTCCATTTCAAAGATGCATTTCTGCACAAGCCCAGATGGAAGATCAGAGCAGTTTGTCAGAGTTGAGCGCGCAGTACACCAGACCCTGCAGCATGTGCAACACTGACCGGCAGGTGGGCGGCAGGATCAAAGAAGACGCAGCAGTATGGCTGATACTGCTTGGTAGATTTCAGCACAATGATGCATTTTGATCAACGACCCGCTACTTTTTATTGTCTCATTGACTAAAACTCAAACCTATCACCAGTCCTGTTTTAGTCATCAAAGATCCATGTTTAGCTCGCCATTTTTCATTAGCGTCATGAAAAAAAGGAACGACAACGAATTGATTTTGTCATCCTCATCGTTAACAAAAACAACACTGGTATAAAGAACAAATAACAAAACAGAAAATACTTTTATAGATATACACTCACCGGCCACTTTATTAGGTACCCCATGCTAGTAACGGGTTGGACCCCCTTTTGCCTTCAGAACTGCCTCAATTCTTCGTGGCATAGATTCAACAAGGTGCTGGAAGCATTCCTCAGGGAGTTTGGTCCATATTGACATGATGGCATCACACAGTTGCCGCAGATTTGTCGGCTGCACATCCATGATGCGAATCTCCCGTTCCACCACATCCCAAAGATGCTCTATTGGATTGAGATCTGGTGACTGTGGAGGCCATTTGAGTACAGTGAACTCATTGTCATGTTCAAAAAACCAGTCTGAGATGATTCCAGCTTTATGACATGGCGCATTATCCTGCTGAAAGTAGCCATCAGAAGTTGGGTACATTGTGGTCATAAAGGGATGGACATGGTCAGCAACAATACTCAGGTAGGCTGTGGCGTTGCAACAATGCTCAATTGGTACCAAGGGGCCCAAAGAGTGCCAAGGAAATATTCCCCACACCATGACACCACCACCACCAGCCTGAACCGTTGATACAAGGCAGGATGGATCCATGCTTTCATGTTGTAGACGCCAAATTCTGACCATCCGAATGTCGCAGCAGAAATCGACACTCATCAGCCCAGGCAACCTTTTTCCAATCTTCTATTGTCTAATTTCGATGAGCTTGTGCAAATTGTAGCCTCAGTTTCCTGTTCTTAGCTGAAAGGAGTGGCAACCGGTGTGGTCTTCTGCTGCTGTAGCCCATCTGCCTCAAAGTTCGACGTAATGGGCGTTCAGAGATGCTCTTCTGCCCACCTTGGTTGTAACGGGTGGTTATTTGAGTCACTGTTGCCCTTCTATCAGCTCGAACCAGTCTGGCCATTCTCCTCTGACCTCTGGCATCAACAAGGCATTTCCGCCCACAGAACTGCCGCTCACTGGATGTTTTTTCTTTTTCGGACCATTCTCTGTAAACCCTAGAGATGGTTGTGCATGAAAATCCCAGTAGATCAGCAGTTTCTGAAATACTCAGACCAGCCCTTCTGGCACCAACAATCATGCCACGTTCAAAGTCACTCAAATCACCTTTCTTCCCCATACTGATGCTCGGTTTGAACTGCAGGAGATTGTCTTGACCATGTCTACATGCCTAAATGCACTGAGTTGCCGCCATGTGATTGGCTGCTTAGAAATTAAGTGTTAAAGAGCAGTTGTACCTAATAAAGTGGCCGGTGAGTGTATGTGTTACTGTAATACATTCATCTCTTCTGGTTACCAGCTTAAAGTATCCATAGTTTCAAAGGATACAAACAGTATTGCAGACTTGCTTGGTTCATGGCCAAAGTAAATAATCCTTATTATATTAATTTTTATCCTCGCATTGGAGCAACTAACAGGCTAAGAGTAATCTGTCTTAGCATTTAGAACCATTTTGCACCTGGATTTTCTTTAGATACTTAGACAAAATAAACTCTGTCCTATAAAGGATATCAACAGCTCAACCAAAGCTTCTGAATATACATATGTATGCTTAAGAATATTAAATTAACGAGCGTCTAACTTCTTCAAGTGCTGGCCGTGCGGCTTCCAGCTTCGCCTCGGCTATGGCCTTGTCAGCTGAAATGCTGTCCACTATGGCCTGAGCCGTGTCCTTTATTTTCTGTACCTCGACCTTTACCTGTTCTGCCGCTTGAGTTTTTACAGTCACCTCTTTGAGAACCTGAAAGAGAAATTAATCATGCTCATGAGATCTCATGGTGTTTGTTTTAAGCTAGACAGCAGGGAGAAATAAAATTGTTTGCCTTAACTGATCACAGGATATTGTGTACCAATGTGACATTTTTTTGATTTAATGTTTTTTGGTTTTACATTTATTTTAACAGAGTAACATTTGACATAAAACCTGTATTCTCACACTATAAAAGTGTAAATGTGTGTCAAATGTTTACATTTTTCATCAGAGGTTTAAAAATATTAGACATTGGCATGATTTGTCAATTTTAAGCTTGGCTCCTCTTTTTCAGGGTGTTCTGACAAGACATTTGTTATGGTAAAAACAAGAAATGGGTACATATGTTTGAATTTAACACATCCTATCTCTAATCCACTCAGCCTAAAGTATCCATAGTTTCAAAGGATAAAAGTTCCAAGCAAATAAACCCTTTTTTTTTTACTTTCAACATAACCCTGTCTGGATATTAGACTACACACCAAGTAAAAACTAGTAGCAGACACAGAACTGGGTCTTCAATAGTCTGTTACACTTTAAAATTGTTGGGATCATTTCAGAGGCTTAATGGCTTCCACTACAAAACCAGTTTTGATAATTTTTTGGCCTTTTTCCTATTGGAACACCTATTTGTGTTTGAATTCTAACCACAGGAATGTTGATTTAAGGAGCAGTTGAATATTGTAAAGGGCTCCTTCTGCATCATTAGTCTTTTAACTTAGTAATTATCCACAAAACAAACCTTTAGCAAGATATTTTAATGAGCATAACTGACAGCTGGCACAGTTATCTTAGATTTTAGGTCTTACTTTGATTCTGCGTGTCATTTTGGCCAAGTAGCTTTGATCTCTCTCTCTTCTGATCATGACACTTGTGTCTGCATGAATTGCTAATTATAGCCATGATTGAAGATGTAATATTTGAAGCAGTGGCCTCTTTCTCAGTCTGTACTCTTGGTCACTACCTTTTCAGACTATGCTGAACTTAAACTAAATTAACTCTAATGACTGTAGGTTGTTTAAAATCAATTATTTTTCAACTGATTTAAGTAAGATGTTATAAACACAGACAAATTTTAGTTTTTACTTTCTCAGTAATATTAGAACTGGTTTTAGAATGGATGAAGCAGGTTTAAATTAAGAATGCTACTGGAGAAACAATCACACTGGATGGACATTTCAAAAATATTCTTAAAAGTCAGTTCTGTGTAAAAGACCCAACAAACATAAGATAGCTTTGTCATTTCTGAAAGAAAGACTTGTCAAATATTTAGTCAAACTTATGACAGAAGCATGCTGAAAGCTATACAACAGTTTCACCACAAGTTTTTGTTGTCTATCTAGAAAAATAAATCAAATTCAAACTTGCGTTCTGAATTCTAGTTTTAACAATCCATTAAAATCTTATGTTTTATCATCATCCGAATGTGTCTATCAAAGCTAAAATGAACATTAATCCGATCATGAGACCTTCTGATTTTGACTGTTAGGTTGAAGAATGTTTTTTTTTTATATAGGATAAGAGCACAACAAGGCCAATAGATACATTTATTCATTTATGTAGACCAATAATATGGATTTCACTACTGATTTATTAACTAATGAATTCCCATTGACTTTTTTGGAAAGGTTTAGCACAAACATTAAATAAATCTTACATGATGCATATTCATTCATTTAACATAGCTCATTTGGTTAAAATACATAACTGTCAGGTTGATGTATTTTAAAGTCGTAGGGAAATGGCTGTCCCATGACTTTACACGAGCAGCAAAAGTTCAATTTTTCTAACTCCAACAGCTGTTGCTTTAGAAGTGCGTTAAATGCCTCAGATGCTCAAAAGCTCATATGAGGCGCTGCTTCAGCAGCTTGGATGTGTTACACCTGCTGCTCTAGACGTGCTGCAAGACCTTTTGATGTGCCTTGATGCGCGTCAACCATTGCCTTTGCATGTAAACCAACTGCTTCTGCTGCTCCAGCAGAGTGCGGTCTGAACGTAGCATTGCTGCTTTTTTGTCTGTGTTGGCTTTTTTTTGTTGATTTTATGCTCAGCATATTGGAAAAAAAAAATTGTTAAATGTGCTATATAAGTAAAGTGGATTAATTTGATTTATTGATGTATTTTGATTTAATAAAGTACATTTGATCAAAATGATATTAAGTGTATTGATTTCAAATAGATAAAATGTATTTATTTGCATAATTATTAGGTTATCTTTAGCAATTAGAAAAATTACCTTTATTTATGAGATTTATTTATCAGATAAACACACTCCTTGGTATATATTTTGAGCTAGTATACTTTACTAATTCAAAATACCTGACAGTTATGTATTTTTAATAAATAAGCTTTATTGTACGAATTAATTTAGATCATGTAAGGTTTATTTAATAGATTTGTGTTAAAATTCCCAAAAAGAAAATGGGAATTTGTTATGTAATATATTTACATAAATCTCAAGATATGGATGAATTACAATGGAATACCTTGCTACTATGTTAGCTGGCACAAAATTACTCCCTTTGAACCACCATAACAGAAACAAAGAGATACGAAAAACAAGTCTTCTTACCATTTCAGCCTTTTCATTGGCGACCTGTAGCTCTTTCTCTTTCTCTTCCAACTCTTTGGTAAGAGCTCCCACTGATTCTGATGCCTCTTTTAGCTTTTATCCACCCCACACACAAACACTGAAGGCTTGCAGCATGATGCTTGCTGTGGTGTGCCTGCTCAGTATAAATGTGAACAGGACAAAAGATTCTTGCTCTAATCTAATTGTAAAGCTTTAGCTTGACCTGAATGACCTTTTTCTTGATCAAAGGATCAGATGATAAAAATACTTGGACATTACGAAGGCGTTTTATCTTTCAGGTTATGTATCAGATCTGTAATGTCAAGGTTTCACTTCAGCAGCTGCCAATAAATCTGAGAGGTTCTTGAGTTCAGAACTGCTAAAAATTGATTTTTATGTTGCACTCAGGGGTGGAATGACTGTTTGAGCAAGATGATTTACCAAGATATTTACCATCTCAACCAACATTTGTAGTTTTGAATATTAAAAGAATGTAACTACTTTGACTTTGAGCAAGGCTAAATCAGGAACAAATATTAGTTTGAATAAAACTATCCTGGGGGATAGATAATAATTGGATCCTGTTAATCTGCATAAAAGAGTAATGAATTTTGATAAATAACTAGTTATAAACATTTTGCCTTAATTTACAAGTTGTATGTTGCAAATAAATTACTTAAGAATTAATTTGAACTGTTGGGAAAAGGGTTGGTTTCTCCTTTGCCTGCTCCTTCATCCACTAGATGGCAACTAGAGGCTGCACCTGAAGGGGCACACCCTTTTGGCTCTGTTTGCACACCTGTTACTCATCATCTAATCATCCTAGAGCTTAAGAGGAAGCAGACTGCCAGCACCTCGTTGCCTGAGTGTTTGCCAGTTACGGTACTCTGAGTACCCATGGAGATAATCTCTGTAGACAAACTTTGACAGTAATTGACTCTTGTTAGTGATGGTGAGATGAGGCCTCCTGAGGCATTGAACAGTTTGGCCAAATTGCTTCAACAATCCCCACAGTCCATGAGGTTCCATGTGAACATGTCACCACCTACTGGTGGAGTGCATAACTACAGTTTGTAATAAAATCTGATTCATTTTGTAATTGTTTTTCTTTTTTTCCCCCTTTTAAGTTCCTTTGAAATTGCTAATGGTTGGTGTGTATAATTAAATCTTTTGTAAGTGTAACATTTCCTAGAACAATCATTTAAGGTGCACGGTTTTCCTGCCATTTAGTGAAATAAGCTCGAGCAGATATTAAAATTGCCCTAGCAAATTGGGCAATGATGAGCAAAATGAAATGTACCAAATAGATTATTTCTGTTGTCATGCAAAACAATTATCTGCAACACATCTTATGGGAAGTTCAACAGAATTAAGCTAAAGTTTACAATGATTTAATGTAAAGTTCCAGTATTTCTGCTTTATTACCGACAGGTTGGCCAGTGTCTGCACCTCAGATCTCTTCTCTTTATAGATGGACTTGTGCCCTTGAATGAAGGAGAGGTAGGACATGGGGGTTACCTGGGTGGAGCGCCGGTATCTAGGTTGAATTAGAAAAGCATTAGAATCATTTCATGATGCATTAGAGGGTAGCATGATCATCTACACAACTTCCTAATATTGCAGTTCAGCTTTTAATTTTACTATATAGAATCTCTCTCCACACAAATGAAAATCTAGATTGCTATATGGAAACCTGAATTATTTTAAATATGACAAAAAAGTTATGCTTTCTTGAAGCAATTATTTGGGAGAAAGTATTGGAGCTGCTGTCAACAAAGCATTGCAGCAGCGCTGTACATTCTTATAAACACAAAGCTACATGAAGATACTAACCACCTTACATGTTTCCTCTGGTATCACACCTGATCGTTTCAAACCACAGGTGTAGACAAAAAAGACTGTGCATAAGGCAGTGATTATGTCATCAAGAAACGATTTCTCAAATTTTGCTCCGGATTTACACTATATTGCCAAAAGTATTTGCTCACCTGCCTTGACTCACATATGAGCTTAAGTGACATCCCGTTCCTAATCCATAGGGTTCAATATGACGTCGGTCCACCCTTTGCAGCTAGAACAGCTTCAACTCTTCTGGGAAGGCTGTCCACAAGGTTTAGGAGTGTGTTTATGGGAATTTTTGACCATTCTTCCAGAAGCGCATTTGTGAGGTCGCACACTGATGTTGGACGAGAAGGCCTGGCTCTCAGTCTCCGCTCTAATTCATCCCAAAGGTGTTCTATCGGGTTGAGGTCAGGACTCTGTGCAGGCCAGTCAAGTTCATCCACACCAGACTCTGTCATCCATGTCTTTATGGACCTTGCTTTGTGCACTGGTGCACAGTCATGTTGGAAGAGGAAGGGGCCAGCTCCAAACTGTTCCCACAAAGTTGGGAGCATGGAATTGTCCAAAATGTCTTGGTATGCTGAAGCATTCAGAGTTCCTTTCACTGGAACTAAGGGGCCAAGCCCAGCTCCTGAAAAACAACCTCACACCATAATCCCCCCTCCACCAAACTTTACACTTGGCACAATGCAGTCAGACAAGTACCGTTCTCCTGGCAACCGCCAAACCCAGACCCGTCCATCAGATTGCCAGATGGAGAAGCGCGATTCGTCACTCCAGAGAACGCGTCTCCACTGCTCTAGAGTCCAGTGGCGGCGTGCTTTACACCACCGCATCCGACGCTTTGCATTGCACTTGGTGATGTATGGCTTGGATGCAGCTGCTCGACCATGGAAACCCATTCCATGAAGCTCTCTGCGCACTGTTCTTGAGCTAATCTGAAGGCCACATGAAGTTTGGAGGTCTGTAGTGATTGACTCTGCAGAAAGTTGGCGACCTCTTCGCACTATGCGCGTCAGCATCCGCTGACCCCGCTCCGTCAGTTTACGTGGCCTACCACTTCGTGGCTGAGTTGCTGTCGTTCCCAAACACTTCCATTTTCTTATAATACAGCTGACAGTTGACTGTGGAATATTTAGGAGCGAGGAAATTTCACGACTGGATTTGTTGCACAGGTGGCATCCTATCACAGTTCCACGCTGGAATTCACTGAGCTCCTGAGAGCGACCCATTCTTTCACAAATGTTTGTAAAAACAGTCTGCATGCCTAGGTGCTTGAATTTATACACCTGTGGCCATGGAAGTGATTGGAACACCTGATTCCAATAATTTGGATGGGTGAGCAAATACTTTTGGCAATATAGTGTATGAAGATCTTAAAAGTCACACGTGTCTTGTTTGTCAACAAAACCATTTTATCAATAGTTATGGGGATCATAAGCAAATTATGAAATAAAGTCTGCAGGGCTGCCAACTTATCATCAGACCTTGAAGGCAACCCTTGTCAGGGTTAGATGAGGGTTAGCTATAGGTTGTACGGGGAATTTTTTCAACACAGTAAATGTTACTGAATAGAAATAAATGATCTGTAGTTATGTGGAAACATTTCCACACAATATTCATTATTTTCTATATTGTGGTGAGTTTTAGAGAATTGAAAAGAAAGAAGAATGGGCCCAACTAAAATACTGGCATCTTAAATATACTGTAAAGTAAGAATTTCATGGCTGTGTTTATTAATTATTCTATGAAGTTCAAGTAAATAAAAGAATGTGAAATAATAAGTTATTACTGGATTATTGGCACTAATACAGGAACCAGTACAATTGAATCCCGTGCAAACTACACTGTCTATGAATATTTGGTAATAGGCTAAGGATTAAAAAGCTTCATTCATTATGCTTTTTTTTTTTAAAGATAAATGAATAAGATAATTAAAATGAGAACATCCTTGTGGTTCCTCTTCCATCAATCCTTGATAACTGAGTTGTTCTGCACATCCTGTCTGTGTCTTATGTGGTTGGTCTTTTCTTGGGTGGCTGATCTTTTAAAAAATAAAATGCAATGGTTCTTTTTCTTTTTTTTTGTGGACCTCCTATGGGTTTGAGAGGCTTACCTGAAAGCTTTAAGAATTTAGAGATTTGTGTTGGTTTAATTTAATTCCTGAAATTGTTCTACTAGACTGAGAAATACTTATTTAACTTGTAAGTAAAACATGGACTAAAACTGAGAGTAAATCAGGTGGCTAAACTAGAGCAAACAATGATTAAACCTCACTAAAAAAACAGCACTAGATGTAGAGAAAACAAACTAAATTGATATATTTCCTATACTCAGTCTCCATATTGATAATGTAAGCAAGCTGCTGTATATTTTATTCATATTTACTCAAGAACTACATTGCTTAAAATCTTTATTAATTTACAAATTGAAATATCTTATTCCAGATAAGAAATGATCAAATCCAAATGACATTCCTCGTAATAGCTGCTCAGAGATCCTGATCTTTTTTCATATCTGGTAAAGCTGCTGTCAGCACAGTGAATAGTGGTTTTCATGTACATAATCCAAATTGCAGGCACCAGGATAATAAAATCAAACACATTTTGCCAGCAGGTTTCAACATTTTAACTTAATTTAAGTGTTAATAAACTGTTTCAGTGGAGAGACAAAAGCAATCTGTATCAGCAGTGCTGTTTCTGTCTCCCTGCCTGCTCCCAGAGCGGCTTCTCTGATTGGTTGACCTGGTGAGTCGAGCAGCAAAAGTTCTATTTTTCCAACTCCAGCAGCTGCTCTTTTGAACTGCATCAGATACCTTAGAAGTTCATGAGGCACTGCTTCAGCTGCTTCGATGCGTCAAAATGCGCCTTGATGTGCGTCAACCATTTACTTTGCATGTAATGCATGTGCCTCTGCTGCTTCAGCAGCGCACGGTGCGAACGTAGCATTATCCTTGAGATATGTAAATTCTGCAGCACCTTAGATGTCGTTCTAGATTTTTCTGACCTTCTGAATTGGAGGTGTGGTAACATAACTGTAGAATCTTGCCTCTTTTTATCAAAATAAAATCTATTAAACCTTCTAAATCATTAAAGTGTGACAAAAAGTAGAACCAAATAAAGTATCAATTTATAGTGTTTTATTAGGTTACAGGCTTCTATTTTGTTCAACTACTGTGCCTTTGGAAGTAATCAGAACACTTTTCTGCAACACCATCATGGACGGAGCCCATGCACTGGACTACCTCCTGTTTGATCTGGGCTGAGCACTCAATATCATATGCAGACAGGAAGTGCTCTGAAACTGAATGGCACAGAAAAAAATATTGAAGAAAAATTATATTTTAAAAGAGTGAATCAGATTAAGGCATAAAAAAGGAATAACCCAAATTAATGTCTACACATAAATACGCCCAGAGAATATTTTGGACATTACAACTTTATATTTTCTCCAGCAGGAACACAATTATAGCGGCTAGATAGAGTATCAATTATTTACCTTTTCGATCTTTAGTGCTGCAACACAGTATATTTGTAAGTAAGCCGAAAAACAAAAGAGAGAATTCAAAATACCCAAATTAATTTTTTTTTTTTTTTTCATTATTAGTTGTACATAGTTCCTCCCAGTTTTTCCATCAAGCCCTCAATTTTTCTGTTTTTACTGCATTTTCAGTCCTGTGTTTAATGATGTTTTTCACTGATATGCCTTTCAATTTATTTAGATTTTTAGATGGCTGTGAAGGCAGACAGGCAACCACTGACTGCTTTTGCTATTCAGTGCTTTTCTAAACCATTTTTGAGTTGATTTCATCCCCAAACAAAAGCTACAACTTACTGCCACTCTTCCCTTCAACTTTAGGATTTTTAACAGATTTAATCAATGTAAACAGCTAAGCGACAACATAACCAGTTTTCAACAACAAAACATTGATACTATGTTTTCTTACGCTACGTTTAGACCACACAAGATAGAAGCAGCAAAAAAGCCCCTGCTACTTCATTTTTGATGCTTGTAAAAATTAAGGTCCGACGTGCCTCGAGAGCATCCTTGATGCTGCTGAAGGGTGTCCAGTAAAATGTGTACAGATCCATATGATGCTTCTGCTGCTGCTCCTGTGTTCAATGGCAGAGAGCGGCTTTGCTATATTTGCTGTTATAAGTGGGTAAAAAGTAGTTTTAATATCTTTTCAAGTTAGAAAGTCCACCTCAAAACTTTATCTGTGCAGTCAGAAGATTAGGATCCTGACTTAAAATATTATTTCGCAGTCAGATCAGTGCTAAACTTCCATACACTGGCGGTGCGCTTTCACTGGAAATCCCTTTTAACAGCCCTGTCGCCTCTTGGGGGTTTTCCGCTATTGTTCCTGGCGACTGGAAGGAGATGTTAGTTGTTTTCATGTAGGAAAACCAAACGGCAGTCACCGGAATAATAAGGCAGGTGTGCACTACCTTTTGATGCTTCTTGATGTGGTTCAAACATTTACTTTGCATGTAAACATGCTGCTTCTGCTGCTTCAATAGCGTGCAGGCTGAACGTAGCTTTAGGGGTGAAAGGAAGCTGCAAAGGAAAAAAGCTTTACTAAAAGTCTGCTTGAGAACCCTTTGAGGAGGAGTCTAAATATAAATAGCTTTGGTATGGGTCTCACCGGGTCCATATAACAATGAATAAATAAGTGAGCACTCACACAGTTGGTTTAGGTAAGCATTGCATTTCAAGTTTTAACAGCTGGAAATGGTAGCAAATAACCACATGGTTAAAATTATGGAAGCTTTTTTGCTGTTAGACAATTTTAAGTGTTTTGATAGATAGGTTACAGCTAATTATTTCAAAATATCCTTGTTCATTTAGAATTTTAGTAACCACAAAATTAACAACTTATTCAAAGTAAGAAAAACAGTAAAAAACTATAAACATCTAAATAGGCTAATGCTACTAAAGAATTTGTCAAAATTCCACTCTAACAAAAAAGTGCCAACTGGAGACACCTGCAACAAGTGCATTTTTGGCCAGTGACTAAACCAGTCCACGGTGCAGCCGGATATCAGTGCTGGAAACTTCAACGCTGCGGAACTTCTCCCCAACAGGAGAAAAGCACAGAACTACATGGAGATTGTGTCGGACCCGTAACATGAAGCAAGGGCGTAGGTTTGATTTCAACTTTGGTAGGGACACTATTCTTCAGTTTCATTGGTCCTTTGCAAAAATATGCATGCTCTTTTTTATGCTTAATGTGAGCTTCAGGGCTCATTTTGTTTAAAGAGAACAGCAGCATTTCTTGCTACATTAATACAAATCTTATAAGCACTACATGCACTAGATGCTGTTTATCAATATTTAAAGCATCACTGGCTCTGATGAATGTGGAATTAGGACTTTTTCCACTTTGAAAAGGATTGCATTTAAATTTACCTGCGACTAAGACAGTGTCTGTTTAACCACATATAGTCTATAATATGTGGATTTATCCTGTGTTTTCTTTTGAAGATAGAGAATTGTGCAGAGGTAAAACCCACTCTTATTTTTTTTTCTAATATGCTCTCTCTGGATCATGCAAAATAATACATTCAAGGGACAGCAAATAAATGTATTGTATTTACATGTGCACTGGAACTAGACGAGGAACTGACACTGAGCATTTAAAATATTAATATTAGAAGTTGTACATCTGGGCTGTGGTTACTCTGTGTAGCTAATTCCATGTATTTTATCTATGGCTGAAACAATCATATTAACAAATTATTTAAATAATCGTGAACTAATTTAGTAATTGATTAATCGTAAACTGGAGTATAGGGCCACTAAAATATGCCTTTAGCCGACAGAGCGACCCACTTAGAGCAGGAATTATAACCAAGATTGTAAAAAAATATGTAAACATTTTGCATTTTAGAAGTAAAAAAAAAAAAAGTTTTTGTCTGTCAATATTCTCCATCCAGAACTCCTCCAAAGGAGACGTTTAAACGTTTCTGTTTCACCTGGTTTCATTTCTTAAAAGATCTTCTTTAAGGAGCCTTTGGCTATCTAATTAAAAGATAAAATAAAAGAAATCATAACGTTGTTAACTTACATTTCTCAAGTTCCACAAATCAAAAAACTCTCTCCTGCTTCTTTACAGAACTCCAATCAGAAGCTTTCGCCTGTTTTAGCGTAGATAATAAGTTTTTTAATTTGGACTAGTTTCGTAGCCCAATATTAATTTATTTTAGCGTCTTTTTTTTTTTGCGCTCCAAGCACCCGCGCGCGCGCACATACAGACTAGAAAACACGCAATCAGAAAGAGAGAAGGCGGAACTTAAGGCAGAATAATCAGAGAGTTAAACCGCGCAGCACAGTTGATGCGCTGCTATGTGAAAGGGACAGAAAAGAGCAGCAGCTGCAGCTACCAGGCAGAGAAGCTGCGAGAGGAAAAGAAGCAGCTGCTGTATAGTAAATTATAAACATGTTGTTCACATCCAATTATTGGTAGTTACAAATGGGTCCGTCCAAAATTTTGGTAGGGACATGTCCCTATGGTCCCTATGCAAACCTACGCCCATGACATGAAGTACTCATACAGGTTTTCGTTTGTTGGTGGTCTTTTTGGAAACTCTTGTCGCATAACAGGTATGAGACCACTGAGGATCTCATCTATCTCATCACGGGGAAACAAATTGGACACCTAAGGACAGAAATTACACCTGTTTTACAAAAATTGTATTAACACAAGTTCTTAACATAGTTGAATGTCACTTCCAGTGACTTAAAAGTGATGGGTTTAGTTTTTGTATTTTGTTTTTTATTAAAGCTGTAATTTACTAAAAGATGAATTTGATCTTAAACTCTGAATTTTGAACTTTGATAAAACATTTTCAATCAAAGAAAAGCAGTGTTCAAATGTATTTTTTTGAGTCTCAAATATATATATTTTGCATTCAAATACTTGAAAAGTTTTTTTTTCATTGAAGTGAAAAAAATTTTAATAGAATATATTTTTTTTGATTGAAGAAACCTTTTTTTGATTAAATAATAAAGAAACAAATCTACCTTTATAATATTCTAGCAGAGAAAAGAATGAATTATGCCTAAAAATAGAGATGCATTTATATTGTCAAAGTAACTTATTTTTCCAAACACCTGGAAAAGCTACAAAAAACCCCCAACATATTTGTATTTCAAATTTTTCCAGTCAAGACAAATGTCATGTTACAGATGGACTGGTGAGCATCTTGTGAAAACAAAGCAATGCTGCTGTAAGCAGGGGCCTTTGTCTAACTGACCTTCTTGATCACTCACAAAAAAAAAAAAAAAAACGTATCTTTCCATTTTGTTCCTTATCTCTCCAGAATAATGCAGCACAACCTGTTCTCTTCAAAACACAAACCTGATATTAATAGCAAACAGTGAGCTGGTCAGTTAAATCATATTGTGCTAAAATTGGAAAAGAGAATGGATAACTGTGTGAACACAGAGAGGAAGACTGAGCAGCTTAAATGTAAAAAAAAAAAAAAATCAAGATTAAGATGAACGATCTGAAAACAACAAGAAATGTAATTTGAAAGTATTCAAAACTATTAGAAAAAGGATGAGAAGTGGGAAAAAAACTGAATTTCTTGTTTGTGTTTCCTACCTCTCCAGATGACAAGACATTGTTCATGTACTCTAAGAAGGATTCATCCTTGATTTCATTGTGAGTGAAGATGAAGCTGACACCTTTTCCCTGCAGACCCGCTGTTTTGTACAACATTTTCAGGTCCTCCATTAAGTTAGTGGTGTTATATGAGCTGCAAAAAATAAAACAGATAATCTCAGAAAAAGAAATCAGTTTTCTAAATGCTTAAAAAAGGTTTGTTGACAGTCCAGATTAGAGTTGTGTGCATGTATCTTGTCTGAACTAAAGCACGTAAAGTAATCCACGTTGGATGACTATTTGCTCAACTCCGATCTGGTGTTCTGTCAGTTCAGCATACCGTGTCAGGCCGGCATACCCTTAGTAATATGCAATACATAGAGTTTCCTCTGTCTCCGCACTCCTTACATCCAAGCACGCTGTTTTAATTTGCTATTTAGTCAGGTTTTTTGTCGTAGTTTTTGCATAAAACAACAAAAAAAAAACATTCACTGTTCATTACACACATTAGGTTTAAAAACAAACATTGCATGTCGGTTAGATGAGGATCTTATTAAAGAATGATCTGCATTTTTTCACAAAGAATTAAATATTTATAGGGAGAGGATTCTACAACCCAGTTGATTGGATATGAGATTTATTTGTTTTTAGTATTTTAATGAATGACATGCAGATCATTTTATTTTTATTCATTTATTTTTAGAGCATAGGAAAAACTACTGAAATTATTTTCAGATTACATATACATAGATAAATAAATTTTGTGTGGGTAAAGGAATGAATTTAGGGTTAGGATTCACTCGGTGATAACAACCTACTGAGGCGACTGGCACAATCTGAAGCCATTCTATGGGACTGATAACCATAGAGGAAACTCTATGTAATACGTATTACTAAGGGTATGCTGGCCTGATGCGGTATGCTGAGCTGACAGAACACCGGACCGGAGCGGAGCAAATAATCATCACACGTGGATTACTTTCTTGTGATTGGCATATACAAGGGAGCTCTATGATTGGTTTCAAACCATCCACTGTATAAAAAAATGCATTTTTGTATCGAGGCACATCAGGAGAGTCTCAAAAATCAGCACACAAATGCAGAAAGTTAAAAGACCACTGGTACATTGTAATTTTATTTATAATTGTTTATTGACCAGAAATACTTTGGCGAATCATGTGCTGTGCATGTGTGAATCTTGTATGCTTGCTTGAATCGTGCTGTGTGTGTGTGTGTGTGTGGATCTTGTACTGTGTGTGTTGTTGTTGTTTTTTTTGTGCTTGCGTGAATCCTGCTCTATGTGTGTGGAGCTTTTACTATGCATGTATGAATCACATATGTGTATTTGTAAAAATTGAGACCGATTGAGCTCCATATAAAAAAAAATTGCAACCCTGTGCTAATCAAACAGTCTCCCTCTGTGTTTTGGAATCTGACAGCAGACCACTTTTAACCAGGAGATTGAGAATTTACTCGGAAAGACAAGGTGACATTTACCTCTTTCTATTGAACCCTATAGCGGAGAACCAAACAATGTTTGATCAGCTAACTGTCATATTTCAGCTAACTGTCATATTTCTTTTGTTGCCTCACATCAGCCTTTATTTTAATTTGCTTTTGTGGTCAAAGGGGGAGTTCAGACAGCACTATAATGGTGCTTTTGGTCACATGACTCATTAAGTGATGGATCCAACCCTCTCAAGTTACATGGGTGATTTTTTGAGAAGAGCAGCCTGTACAGAGCATCGATATGCACCAAGTGCTGGATATCAGTCTTGAAAAAACACAAAATATATCTCAAATTAAGCCAATTATTTGGGTCAAAAGGTGCAAAGTGTTGCTTTAAATAAACTACAAATGAAGTTTCACTACTCACACTTTCTTTATGCCAAAACAAAATTTGTGACAAGTGACGCCTCTCTCTACCCTCACTCCAGCTGACCCCTGCTCTGACCTTCCCCTTTGCCCTCCCCTCCATACTCATCGCCTTGTATGCGCATGTTTGCAAAGGATAAATACACAGCAAAACAGCATTACCTTCTGGAGGAACACCTCTATTGACAAAAACCTAACTCTATAATACTGTAAGCAAGAAAACTTAATTTTGGCAAATGATTGTCTTTAGGTGAATGTTTAAATCAGCTGGACACTCCACCATTTTGCTGCTAAGGTACACGCCTCTGGTGATGTTATTTTATGGGCAGGGGGGAGGTGAGCCCTGAGTGGCAGCTATTTACATGGAAGTAAATGCACATGCAGTCAACACAAGTTGTAAATAGGAGACTGGAGAACACAGAGAGAGGGTGTGTGAAGCCACAGCATATGTAATCTAAAAAGATACTTTTAGCTCTTCACTATTTTTAGTTTAAATTGATGAATTGTTGTATTACTGCTCTCTTAAGATTTTACCTCTGTAATTAAATAAAGACTTTCCATTTATATTAAACTGTAAGTGTTAAAAAATTTACCGGCCATCTGTTTATATGAGCTGTGAGACTGAGAGTCAGGTCAGCCCTTTAAAAGAACTGGGCCACCTCTGGCTATCATCGGGATATTGTCTTTTTTTACTTTGTGAGAGCTAAATCAGTTTATGATCCATGAAAATGTCCAGTGTGAAATAGATGCACTCATCGGGTCAGACTGCAGGCGCCTTTCCCCGAACTGTCTAAGATATGCAGTGTTTTTTATATTTTTGGGAGATACACCGGCTCTCTAGTGTCCGGTCCACTGCACATCAAATAACTCAAGGACTGTTTTTTTCTTTTTGTTATCCAAACTTTTCCAGGTGATGCCTTCAGCTGTAAAGGAGGTATAAAAAGTTAACACATCTTTGTCAAGGTAAAGCAGTCTGACTAAAAAATCCTTGCAAGAATTAATCAGTCACTATGAAAATGTTTCACCAATCTCCTTTGTTAACTGAACTTATTCAGCTACATATTTAATAATTTTGTTTTGCATAAAATAAAAAATAAGCCTTGTTAAGATTCTTGTTTTTTAAACAAGAACCTTTTTTTTATCTTATAAACAAATCAATTATACAAATTTGCAAGATTTGCTGAGTTTAATTGATTTATTAAAGTATTGGTTTATTGAATTTTCAGTCTGTCCCTTTACACATCAATCCTCTGTAAACAAAAACAGTTTCTTCATTGTCTGTCTTTTTACGTAAAGAAAAGAACAAACAACCAAATCAGCAATTACACTTTAGTACAAGTGTGTGATGAATTTTAGGGACCCCTGCATTTTAAAAGGAAAATACAGCTCCTACTTAAATGAATTGCTACATTTTTGACAAGCAACTGAATTAAGGTTTTCCAACATAATTTTGTTTAACACAATAATGGTTTAACTTGAAAACCTAAAACCTGGATCAACTAAACTCAAATACTTGTAAAGATCAAAATCAATTATTTTAAATGGAAGCTACATTCTTTTATCAGTGTTGGGTATATTTTGTATGTTGATAATAAAAAAAAATATTTGAATCTTTTATGTGCAACTGGTACATATACGTATGTTTCCTCTATTCACTGCACTGAGTAGAGGAAACATTTATGCACTAATCACAGCAAGCAGTGATTAGAGAGGGGGTGACGATTTTTTATGATTGAATTTTAAAGAGGAAAAGGCAAATACATGCATGCGAGCCAACAGGATTAGGTTTTAACTGTTAACTTTCTGAAACAGTGATCAAGAAGAGAATTTGTTATTATTAAAACTCACTGGTAGAGAAAATAAGACTTAGAGCACACACATCTACATACTCTCTTTCTTTTTAAACCAGCATCAAGTAAACCCTGCAAGGACAAAAATAATGAAAATAACATTTCCAGGTTATGTGTTATAACAATTTTACCATTTAAATAAAAAGTCTTATAATAAATCTTTCAATTTAAAAACATTTATGATATTTAATATACAAATAAAGGGTTGAATGTGTACAGGTGCTGGTCATAAAATTAGAATATCATGAAAAAGTTGATTGATTTCAGTAATTCCATTTAAAAAGTGAAACTTGTATATTATATTCATACATTACATACAAACTCATATATTTCAGATGTTTATTTTGTTTAATTTTGATGATTACAAATGACAACAAATGAAAATCTCAAATTCATCATATCAGAAAATTTGAATATTGTGAAAAGGTTCAAAATTGATGGCCCCTGGTGCCACACTCTAATCAGCTAATTAACTCAAACCACCTGCAAAAGCCTTTAAATGGTCTTTCAGTCTAGTTCTATAGGCTACACAATCATGGGGAAGACTGCTGACTTGACAGTTGTCCAAAAGACGACCATCGACACCTTGCACAAGGAGGGCAAGACACAAAAGGTCATCGCTAAAGAGGCTGGCTGTTCACAGAGCTCAGTGTCCAAGCACATTAATAGAGAGGCGAAGGGAAGGAAAAGATGTGGTCGAAAAAAGTGTACAAGCAAGAGAGATAACCGCACCCTGGAGAGGATTGTGAAACAAAACCCATTCAAAAATGTGGGGGAGATTCACAAAGAGTGGACTGCAGCTGGAGTGAGTGCTTCAAGAACCACCACACACAGACGTATGAAAGACATGGGTTTCTGCTGTCGCATTCCTTGTGTCAAGCCACTCTTGAACCACAGACAGCGTCAGAAGCGTCTTGCCTGGGCTAAAGAGAAACAGGACTGGACTGCTGGTGAGTGGTCCAAAGTCATGTTCTCTGATGAAAGTAAATTTTGCATTTCCTTTGGAAATCAAGGTCCCAGAGTCTGGAGGAAAAGAAGAGAGGCACTTCATCCACGTTGCTTGAAGTCCAGTGTAAAGTTTCCACAGTCAGTGATGGTTTGGGGTGCCATGTCATCTGCTGGTGTTGGTCCATTGTGTTTTCTGAGGTCCAGGGTCAACGCAGCCACATACCAGGAAGTTTTAGAGCACTTCATGCTTCCTGCAGCTGACCAACTTTTTGGAGATGCAGATTTCATTTTCCAACAGGACTTGGCACCTGCACACAGTGCCAAAGCTACCAGTACCTGGTTGAAGGACCATGGTATCCCTGTTCTTAATTGGCCAGCAAACTCTCCTGACCTTAACCCCATAGAAAATCTATGGGGTATTGTGAAGAAGAAGATGCAATACACCAGACCCAACAATTCAGAAGAGCTAAAAGCCACTATTAGAGCAACCTGGGCTATCATAACACCTGAGCAGTGCCACAGACTGATCGACTCCATGCCACGCCACATTGCTGCAGTAATACAGGCCAAAGGAGGCCCAACTAAATACTGAGTGCTGTACATGCTCATACTTTTCATGTTCATACTTTTCAGTTGGCCAACATTTCTATAAATCCTTTGTTTTTATTGGTCTTCAGTAATATTCTAATTTTCTGATATGATGAATTTGAGATTTTCATTTGTTGTCATTTGTAATCATCAAAATTAAACAAAATAAACATCTGAAATATATGAGTTTGTATGTAATGTATGAATATAATATACAAGTTTCACTTTTTAAATGGAATTACTGAAATCAATAAACTTTTTCATGATATTCTAATTTTATGACCAGCACCTGTATGAGTCAGTTGTGTGAGGGATAACTGAGTAAGTATAGAAAAGACAAATGAAGGAAACATGCAGCTGACGTGCTTGTCTCCCTTGGAGATGCTTTGGCGAGCAAAGAGGAGAAATGAAAAAAGCAGGCTCATTCATATTAATAGCAACCACCAAAGTGAGTTAGAGACTTGGCCAATGGGATATATGATGACCATAAGTGCTCACAGAGAACAAGAGGGAGGCCTTTGACAGCCTTGTACAGTAACAAGGAGCGGGTGTGCTCCTTGTTACTGTACAGGGTGTGATTCTAAAACAAATAAACAAAAAAAAAAAAGAAAGAGGCAAAAAACAAAACTAGTTAGTAAATGAACATGGAAGGTAAATGAGCTCCAAAAACAGCTGGAGAAACATGGACGCTGAAACAATCTGTAATAAATAACATGGTTTAGGCATGGGCGTAGGTTTGCATAGGGACCATAGGGACATGTCCCTACCAAAATTTTGGACGGACCTATTTGTCCCTACCAATAATCGGAAGTGAACAACATGTTTATAATTTACTATACAGCAGCCGCTTCTTTTCCTCTCGCAGCTTCTCTGCCTGGTAGCTGCAGCTGCCTGCTCTTTCCTGTCCCTTTCACATAGCAGCGCATCAACTGTGCTGCGCGGTTTAACTCTGATTATTCTGCCTTAAGTTCCGCCTTCTCTCTTTCTGATTGCGTGTTTTCTAGTCTGTATGTGTGCGGGTGCGGGTGCTTGGAGCGCGAAAAAAAAGACACTAAAATAAATTAATATTGGGCCAAGAAACTAGTCAAATTAAAAAACTTAATATTATCTACGCTAAAACAGGCAAAAGCTTCTGATTGGAGTTCTGGAAAGAAGCAGGAGAGAGTTTTTTGATTTGAGGAACTTGAGAAATGTAAGTTAACAACATTAGGATTTCTTTTAATTTATCTTTTAATCTGATAGCCAAAGGCTCCTCAAAGAAGATCTTTTATGAAATGAAACCAGGTGAAACAGAAACGTTTAAACGTTTCCTTTGGAGGAATTCTTGATCCAGAATATTGACAGACAAAAATGTTTTACTTCCTAAATGCAAAATGTTTACATATTTTTTTACAATCTTGGTATAATTCCTGCTCTAAGTGGGTCACTCTGTCGGCTAAAGGCACATTTAAGTGGCCCTATACTCTAGTTAACGATTAATCAATTACTAAATTAGTGCACGATTATTTAAATAATTTGTTAATATGATTAATTGTTTCAGCCATAGATAAAATACATGATATTAGCTATACAGAGTAACTACAGCCCAGATGTACAACTTCTAATATTAATATTTTAAATGCTCAGTGTCAGTTCCTCTTCTAGTTCCAGTGCACATGTAAATACAATACATTTATTTTCCGTCCCTTGAATGTATTATTTTGCATGATCCAGAAAGAGCATATTAGAAAAAAAAATAAAGAGTGGGTTTTACCTCAGTTTACCTCTGCACAATTCTATATCTTCAGAAGAAAACACAGGATAAATCCACATATTACAGACATATTTAGACTATATTTGGTTAAACAGACACTGTCTTAGTCGCAGGTAAATTTAAATGCAATCCTTTTCAAAGTGGAAAAAGTCCTAATTCCACATTCATCAGAGCAAGTTATGCTTTAAATATTGATAAACAGCATCTAGTGCATGTAGTGCTTATAAGATTTGTATTAATGTAGCAAGAAATGCTGCTGTTCTCTTTAAACAAAATGAGCCCTGAAGCTCACATTAAGCATAAAAAAAGAGCATGCATATTTTTGCAAAGGACCAATGAAACTGAAGAATAGTGTCCCTACCAAAGTTGAAATCAAACCTACGTCCTTGGGTTTAGGTAATTTTTAACCCTGATTCTAACAACCCCTAATTCACTCTGTTACTTTAGAGAAAAAGGTAATTGCTCTTTCTGGACATAGATCTTTGAAATGAATATCAAAATTATAATAAATAGTGTGGGCATTACAGAGTCAGAGTTATCTGGAAGGTTTGGTATCCAGCTACGAATGAGGCCAACCTGGTCAGGCTCTGTTTGCCAGAGCCTCCAACACCCACAAATAAGGCATTACCTCCTGGTGTCCGAATTATTCTTGAGACCTGAAAAAGTGCATGTTAACAATGAAAAGAATGATTACATAAACAACTACAGTCATATTTCAAACTTTAAAATATTATTGTAATTCCTTCCAGTAACTTATAAACAGTCAAATACATTCTACAGATTAGTTACACCAAGGCTGATGTTTTTAAGCCTTTCGATAAATTGTTACCATTCTCAGTCTAGATCACACAAAAATATGCAATTTGATTTCTTGATAAGTATCACACAAATGTAAAAAAGTGGCTTATGCCACTTGTCAAGTGGCATGTCATTTGGAAAGTGGCATATGCCATTTGAATTGTGGCTTATGCCATTTGAAAAGTGGCTTATGCCAATTGAAAAGTGGCTTATGTCAGTTGAAAAGTGGTTTGTACCAGCTGAAAAGTGGGCTATGCCATTTGAAAAGTGGCTTATGTCAGGTGATGAGTGGTAGATGCTAATTGAAAAGTGGGATATGCCAGTTGAAATGTGGCATATGCCACTTGAAAAGTGGGATATGTCAGTTGAAAAGTGGCAGTTGCCAGTTGAAAAGTGGGATATGCCAATTGAAAAGTGGCTAATGTCAGTTGAAAAGTGGCTTTTGCCAGTTGAAAAGTGGGATATGCCAATTGAAAAGTTGCTTATGTCAGTTGAAAAGTGGGATATGCCAGTTGAAATGTGGCATATGCCAACTGAAAACTGGGATATGCCAGTTGAAATGTGGCACATGCCAATTGAAAAGTGGCTTATGTCAGTTGAAAAGTGGCTTATGCCAGTTGAAAAGTGGGATATGCCATTTGAATTGTGACATGGCAATTGAAAAGTGGCTTATGTCAGTTGACAAGTGGCTTATGCCAGTTGAAATGTGGCTTATGCCATTTGAAAAGTAGCTTGTCAGTATAAACGTGGGATATGACATTTGAAAAGTGGGATATGCCCATTGAAAAGTGGCTTACGGTATGTCAGTTAAAAAGTGGCAGATGCCAGTTGAAAAGAGGGATATGCCAGTTGAAATGTGGCTTATGCCAACTGAAAAGTGGCTTATGTCAATTGAAAAGTGGCTTATGCCAGTTGAAAAGTGGCTTATGTCAGTTGAAAAGTAGGATATGCCATTTGAAAAGTGGGATATCCCAATTGAAAAGTGGCTTATGCCAGTTGAAATGAATCCCTTTACTTAAGGACCATTTAATCAGGCAAACCATTAAGATGTAAGTTTGAATTGTCTCCTCCATAACTGCTTTGTCATGATCAACAAAACAAAAACATTTCGCATTTATTTGTTCATTACCCATATATTTGTTCAAAATATATGGGTATAAATACGTCTAACGTAAAATATAAACAAAGTTACATCAAACAGTAGATCAGAGCCTTACACAGCATTTACTTTTAAATTGGCATCTGGGAAAATAAACCTGACTTTGGACAGGAAGTGTAGTGCATGTTAGAACTGAAGTTCAAGAGACATAAAAAGTAAACACTGTCAGGTTTACATGTTAGTTCAATTACAGTTCACTAGGGCAGTGTAATTTACTGTATATTTTTATATTTTTCAATGAATTTTGATTAACTATAACCAGCTATATAGAAATTGACATTCAAATCTTAATTTAGGCTTTTGAATTAATATGTGCTGAAAAACTTGGAGGACACCAGCTCCCTCAAAGTGAAAGTGTAAAAATATGTGAACATGACCATCCCATTACTAAATAGTGTCTCCAAGAACTGTGTTCTTCTTTATTTTCAATTTAGGCTGGAATTTTATAATGACAAATAATTACATGATCTACATCTTTTATGTAGACTATTGTCACCACATGAAAAAAAGGATTTAAAATACCTTGGTCAGATGAATCATTGCATCTTGAAAGAAGACCATGTCCATGCCGGCCCCTCTTATGCTCTCATTGTAAAGATAGAGGAACATGTTTAGACGCTCTTTTAAATTCTCAAATGATTCAATAGCCTCATAGTACTTGAGTTCTATGAGTACGTCAATCAAAATCTTTATGTTCTATCTCTTGTGAAAAAAGTAGTTACACAAAACATGTTTAAATTTCAAACAGAAAATCAAAAATTAGAAAAAAGGCTTCCATTTTCTGCTTCATGGGTACCTGTAGCTTCTGGGGCATCTCTTATGAAGTCAACAAAATACCATTCCACATCATCAGACATTGTGAATCTATCAGTTATCACACGTTTGCACTCATGCTTCCACAGTGCCAGCAATACCTGGGAAGTTATTGTTTTCAATGAAAACAAAAGGGTTTGCAAAGGTTACTTAAACAAACTAAAAACAATGAAACAGGAGAATGAGAGGGATTTTCAAAAAAAAAAAAAAAATTATTAAATCAATTTGAATGCAAGTGCCACAACAAATTGTTTTGCTGACTGAATGTGATAAGATTTGCCTAAGCTCTTAGCTTGGCTGGGAGCCACAGCATGAATGTAGGACAGTCTCAGCTAAAGTAGAACTTTGACTATATTCAATTATTCAGTAAGGCCACAAAGTAATGCAGAGTGGGCCACCTCAGCAAGAACCGAATTTTAAAAACAGAAATTTTCTTCCCTGTTTGATTCATCTCCACTAGCTGATGCTCAAATCTCTCACCAATATTGTAATGTTCCATATAAAAATTGACTATTTATTAATAATGCTGCACTGTAACTGAAAGGGATTTAAATATGTATTCTTTAGAAAGACTAATGAATGAATAAGTTCTAGATGTGTAATGAATATAAGCTATATTTTAACACCTTAAGACAATTAATAAAGTTATTGAAAAAAAAATAGCTAAGAGGACACAATATTAGACTTCTCTTACCTGATAAGAGTTGACTACCTCAGCAGTAGTTGTAAGCATCCCTTGCCATACCCTAGACAGGTCTCTAAGGTTGAATATGTAGTGAAACTTTGCAGGGGTCGGAAGCATCTTGAGCTTTGTCTTCTGCCAGACATGACGGGTTAGGGAGACCAAGCTGTATGGTGCTCTGAACCTCAGAGCTGAAACCACGCTGACTGCAGAAGTAGCCCTCTCCAATCACACCTCTGCAACAATGTTATTGATTATATGACTTTTTCTTTTTTTTAATCAAAGGTACTAGATGCAGAACATGACAGAAAATAACTTATTCTTCAGTTAATCACTATTTAAAAAGTCTGAATTGTGCCCCTTTTAAAATGGATTTGAAGTTAACCAATTTCTTTATTTTAGAATTAGTAATCTATATTTTCTTCATGAGACTTCAATGATATTTTCTGAAATATGGAAATATTTTAAAAACCTTAAAGAAAAAGAAAAATAAACATCAGGTGATAAACAGAAAACTAATTGATATAAAAATATAATATAAATTTATCTGAATTAATTATAATGCTTTTGAAATATTTTGTTATTCATAAAGGATATTATAAGAGTGAAATGGTCTTGCAATTCACAAGCAAAAATATTAGTGGTGGGCAGATTAATTCTTTAAATCTAGATTAATCTCACTGCAATCGTGGAATTAATCTAGAATAATCTAGATTAAAAATGCTAATTAATATTCTGCCAAAGGTATTCATGATATGTGAATATACCTCCAGAATTTTGTAGAAAAGGTTGACTTTTTTATGTTTGCAAAATCACACATAATTTCCTTTTCTTACTTAAAGGGGTCATATAATTAGTATATAGGGTATTTGGTGCTGGTCCTTAAGGTCTCTGAATAGGGTGTGTAACATTGGTTGGGCTGAAAATTGCATATTTGCTGTTCTATGTGCTCTAATGCAAGTCTGGTTAAAAGCTCTAGAATGAAACGACAGGTTTCCTTCCTTTTATGGTATGCTCATTAATATTTAGATGAGCTGTGCGCTGATTGGTTGGTTTATAACGAGCGAAGCTGCTGAGCAAAGATGCATCATAGCAACGAGCACTCACTCACTGAAACATCAAAATTGTTGATATGGTAGGGTGACCAGACATCCTCTTTCATACCTAAAAAAATGTCCAGTTGGGATTTGAAAATCATCCAGGATTTTCGTCGACTGCAGTGCAGCAGAACCGAGCCGTTAGCTCCGGGGCTGGTTGGTGCTGGGGATGAAGCGACCAAACCCGGACCAGCTCCAGAGCTCACGGCTCAGTTCGAATGCCCGGTCCGGTCCTGTCCAGTCAGCGCCCCAGCAATAGGGAACCTGCCTGCTTTGTAATTCTTGTAGAAATAAACCCAACTGTAGGCTAAACAGCCAAACTGATGTCTTACATCTACCTCTATTCATGTTCTAGGGCCAGTGAACCAGTGGGCAGGTCTGTATGTCAATTTCGGGGCGTGACAAAAGTACAGGCCAGAACCAAATGAGACAACATCCCCCGATTTGACATAAATTTGGTGCTTCGTTTGAATTCGCCCGTTTTATGGTGGAAGTTTAGAATTGTGAGATTTGCAGAGAAAGGAGGTGTCGATGGGGTATGAGCTTCTCTGTACCTCCATTTCACCCTCTGCACTACTGTTATTCATCTATGACAATGTAAACTCAGTTTTGCATTCTATGACCCCTTTAAGATTTTCAGTTATACATTTTTTTTTGCTCACTTCTTAGTGTATTTTTGCTGCAAAAAATAGTGTCCCATTTCTAATTATAGATGTCCCACTTTAACAATATAGTGTCTCCAAAAATCTGCACACACGTCGCCTCGATCAACTTCTCTTATTTCACGGCTTTCACCGCGGCGTGCTGCTCATGTATTCTCCTCATGACAGTTCTCCTCACAGGTAATTTTATGGGCTGGTAGCTTGTGATTTTTTTGTTCTAAGCTCTTAATACAAAAGAACTAAGAGTCTGGCATTAGCATGTTAACACAGATAACGGCCCACCACTAATAAATAAATTTTTCTTGATCATTAAATAAAAAAGTAAAAAAACACTAATTAAAAAAGATAGGATACCCTACTGCCTATTAAATAGAGTTAGGCTGTAAAAAAAATACTTTAGTTTAAAACTTTTAACAACCATCTACCATTCCCCAAAATTGATTTACAAAAGGTTTGCCCCACTGTTAATATACAGCTCTGGTATGTTTGAGGGGTAGAGTCTGTTTTGCTACCATACATCACTGAAAAGAATGAACACTGGACTTGACACTGCCAACAACTTTCCTTCTCTAGATTTTTAGATAGCACTTGGTGGTTTAACTGGTATTTTTGGTTCATTACTGGTTTAAGTTCTGCTTGAGGTTAAACATTTTTTTTATTAAACGTTTTTTTATATGTTCCCTTAAATGGTTTCTTAAAATTGTTAGAATTGGTGAGGGATTCTCTCTATGACGGCAAGCTAGACTGGTTGGCCTGTTAATATGGGGGTTTCCTATTCATCATCAACAGCATTCATTGGGAAGCGGCTTGGGTCTCGGGGCGCGGTGCGCCCTGTCTATTTTAACGGGCTTGGGAAAGTTGCCCTGTCCCAGCAGCACCGGGATGAGCTTTGAAACAAACTCAGCAGGATGGCCGCCCTCTTCCCATTCCTTAACGCCAACAATCCAGATATTTTGTCTGCGCGAGCTCCCTTCCAAGTCATTCACCTTTGTTTTCAGAAGAAGGTTAGCCGCCGTTAGCTCGCAGCAAGTTGCCTCCAGCGCCGAAACACGGGCATCTGTAGAGGATAGAGCCGCGTCCATGTCATCTAGACGTTGCTGGACCTCGCCGTGCTCTGTCTGCAGGGCTGTTAAACGAGCCTCAATAGAGTCCAGGCGACCTTCCAGCGATTTCTTGAGAGAATCCACGAGGGTGTAAACTTTAGAAAATTCATCTTTATGGCTATTGACGGCGGCTAAGATAGCCTCGTTGCTAACAGCAGAGCATGCCTGAGTTGTCAACTTCTGAGCTTCGTCTTTCCTTGGCATAATGTGAAATACCAAAACTGTTATATCCTGATGAAACAGATGCCTACTAGTCCCCCAGCAAGAAAACTTATAACTTAGATGACTTAGGTGCAGTAATTTGATTTTAAATGAAGGCGGTGACACGGAGTTGAACAAAACACGTCTACTCCATTACAGCGCACTAGCGCCCCCCCTCGCCATTTGATATCTTTGAGATAAGACACAGATCAGTGATGCTATACCCACCAAATATCTTATCTATGGAGGCATTGGAGGGAAGTGTGCAGTTAAAGACAGAGAACTGCCTTTTGAGCCTTTGAGGAATGTCATTGCGCCCTCCTCCTGGATGAATCATAGCAGCCAGGAACTGAATGTCAACAATACTGGTGAACTCTCCTGGCTTCTCTAGGTTGAAGAAGCCATTCTGCTCCATCAGCTGTCTGACGATCTCATTAGTCACCTAGCATAAAAAGCGAAAACCATATAATTAGGATGAAAAAAACTTTATTACCAGGCAAATGATAATAATCAATGGGGGGAAATAAAGTATTTTTCAGGGCTGATCTCTAACCTGATCTCCCCATTCGTTGATGACAGGCATGTTAATATCATCTATAAAAATTGACATTTTCTTCCCAGCATGAGGGCCGTAAGTCGTCCCCATCCTCTTATCCACAAAGCTCTCCACGGTTCTCTAAAGAAATAAGCCAAGTTTAACAGTGCATGCTATTAAAGACAAAGTGAGTGGTTATTCCTTGTAACAGTTTTCAAAACAAAAAAAATCTGACAAATAAAAAATGCAGAGGTATATTTCCATGAAAGTAAGTAAGGCACATTTTTCTTTACCTGGAACATGAGAGGTGTAGTTGCAGAGGAGAAGTTGAGGCTTTTGCTAATGTGGCTTTCAGGGTCATATTTAGACATGTAGCCTTTGATCATGACAGTCTTGGCTGTTCCTTGCTCTCCAATCAGCAAAACAGCCTTGGAAGATATTTGGTTCAGAATTAGTTTCAAGTATATTCTTCAGTGAGATGAAGCAAGACAACAAACATGGACAACATCCATTTTCAGTTGAGAGGCCTTTACCACTGCCTGTCTTGGTGCCACACCTCAAGCCTAATGCCAATGTTTGGGAGAATATACCTCTTTGAACAGATTGTTTTCAGTAATGAACTTAATCATGCCCGAGCAGTTTTAGGGTCTACAAATACACATGAATTAAAACAAGTTATCAACCAATTACTTGATAAGATCTTCTTTTGGAATTAATTAGTTTTAGTATGTTAACACATTTAGGTTTTTATGCATCCAATCTAGTGGTTAAATGTTAAGATGTTTGTGCCTATATGTGTAAACATATTGATCACATATTACAGTTCTTAGTGGCTTACAATGATTTGCTGCACTGTAGTTTTGTCTGAAATTTTTAAAAAGAAATGTTAAAAAAGTATTTTATTATGAATGTCATATTTGTCAGGGATTTGATTTGAAAAGATTTTAATTTGGTTAAAATATGAGAGCAGTTTTTACTTTTTTCTTTCTTACAAAATTATTAAATTATACCTCCATTCAAACAGCTATTACAAAGGCTTGATTATGCAAATGTGCCCAAATCTTATAATTAGTTTGTAATATTTCGGCATGTTAGTGATAAATATGGCATCACATTTATTTCAAAACGCCCGTGAGTAACATTAAACATACTCGCATGTATGTTGAACTACTTCTGTATATGGTTTACCTACCTCCGGACAACAAAAGAGAAGGAAGAAGAGAACAATTCTCTGAGTGTCGCTGCCTCCTGTGGAGAGCGTTTCTTCAACCAGGCCTGGTGAGAGTAAACACATTGCTGTCATTGTTTTCCAATGCGGAAGATTCCAGTTTGTTTAATAATGTCTGAATGCACACACACCTTAGATTAGCATGTGCTAACCTGTTTATAAAACTGCCGTCCAATTGTATGATTTTTTTTTTTAAATCATGCAATAATATTTATGAATGAATATCATACAGTGAAAAAAAATATGGCTATACAAGAATATTTAGAGTCTAGCTTAAATAAATTACATTAGGATCACAATATCTCAGTAAAATAATACAAGAACACTTTCTGCATTTACCAGTCAGTCTTTTAGGTTTTTAATAGCAGTACTAAGCTGGACCCCCTTTGCCTTCAGAACTGCCTTCATTCTCTTTGAAATAGATTTAACCAAATATAAATCATTTAAGTTTTTTGTTCATATTAACCAAATAGCATCATTATTCAGGTAGGCTGTGCCACTTAAGGAATGCTCAATTTCTATAGAGGGTCTCAATCTTTGTCATTAAAGTAACCCCCATTTCGTTACATCACCACCATTAGCTTAAATCATTAACACACCATATTAATTATTAGCCTCGTTTCTTGCTCTTGGTTGACAAGAGCGGCACGTACATCAACTGTAACTGAAATCTTATGACACCAACAACTTTTGGTTATCAAAAGCCTCTAAATATCTTTTTTAAGGATAAGTGTATGCATTGTATATATGGCCTTGGCCTCGATCAGCATCCTGATCGAGGCCTGATGCCAAAATGCTTTGTGTTGCATCCATGGGACTCGCTATTTGTATTCACTAACAATAAATCAGAACCTAATAAAGTGAATAGTACAGTTATTGATGTTTTAGGAAAATGGATAATTTACCTCCAGTATTGGGCTCCAGCTTAGAACAGATGAACTCATGAACACCATGCCATTACGTGACACGGTTGCCGGAGAGGCATTGTCAATGTTGTGCGGCTCAAAAACCACCTTGCAGTTGGGTGCCATTGGTATACGGTCTCCATTTGCCAATGTCAGAGTTTTGTTGTCGTCCAATACTGAGTTCAAGTTTTCAATCCAAATGGCATCAACAGGTCCATCCAGGACAATCCAAATATGCTCTCCTGAAAGAGGAATTTATGTTTGTGAGAATAAAATTACAGGAATTTCATGTTTGTAAATGATGGATCATTTAAACATAAATGTATATTAGTTGGCCCCCAAAACCTGGGCCACTGCATGCAGAGTTCATCCCTGCACCTTAACTCTATTTCTGTTAGGTATTTACTTTTTGAACAATTTTAAATGGTCTTACTGTAAAACTGTAAATAATATCCAAATGTAAAAGCAATTATTTTGCACGACAAACTTTTCGGACCTCCTTTTGCTTTCAAGGTTTTCCTCCAAAGTGTAGAAAAGATGCCATCAGTCCAGTCATTTGTCGCCACATCCAATCTACCAAACATCTGAGGCGCAGTGATAGCTTTGGGGTTCATCCGCATCTCTTTGTGAGGTTCACCACACTCTGCACAAAGAACATGTTGACTCATTTCTGCAGCACTTACTGTTTCCTTTGAGCTAAACTTTCCCCTTACAGGACACATGGGTTTTGATACAACTTATGCAATAAGACACATCAATACGGCAATTAGAGACTTCCCTGTTGAAGGTGCAATATTTGATAATTAATTCCTCCTGCCTTGAACCCCTTGAACGTAGCACATGTTTTAACAGAACCATTCGATCACTTCTTCAAAAGCCATATTTACAGTGTTCTTGGATCACCACAAACAAGGAATGTTTAATAGGAATGTTCTGGGAAAAAGAGCATCAAAAAAAAAAAAAAAAACAGTCAATGAACTTATCAGTTCATCACTATGGTTGGTCTAATAAAAACGCACCAGTCAAAGCTTTCATCAGTGTATGTATACATGTGGTTTTTCCTGCTCCACTTGGCCCAAGGACCATTATACCATGTCGAACCATCTGAGTCTCAAACAGCTGAACAATCTTTAGCTTCCAGTGAGGATGGCTGATCAGTCCAGCACCTTCAACCTGCATGAATGTTGAAATAAAAGTTACCATTGGATTCAATTAAAGTCAAATGTCCTTTTCAACTGTATTTCAAATGCACTTAAACTGCAATACCTATCGAGAAGTTTACTATATTCCAGGTACAAAGCTAGAAACTGTAATCCATATAATACATACATAAAAATAATTCTCCTCTCTGCACTCATTTAAAAGTCCAAACATGTTGCTTGTTGCTCCTACCTGTTTGTCAATGGCAGCTTCTAGTTCTGGGTAGCCTACTTTTTCAAGTTTGATGCTAGGGAAAAGGTCTTCAATCAGGCTCAGGAATAATTGCTCATCTTCATCAATCTATAGAAAATGAAAGTCAATCTATCAATCAATCAATACGACAGTCAGTATTAATTAAACACTTTATATACTTAGGTGAGCAAAATGCTGTTCAGGACAATAAAAAAGGAAAGTGCATTGACCAAAAACATATAAAGACAAAAAACCCATATAGACATACAAAAACTATAAAACCTTTTTCTTAAGATTTTTAAGGTTTGTGAGTGTTTTCATGTTATTGCAATGTGCTTGAATGTTTTTTGAAAAGTGATTTTTTTATATTTTCTTTATATTTTTTACATGAAAAATAGCCTAAAACTTATTTAATCTTTACAGTGTTTTCAGACTGACCAGTTTTGATAGATTCATGTCTCTCAGAACCCTCATGACGATGGTGGACTCTGTATCATCAGGGTTAGCCCGCTTGGCCGCTCCCAGGGTGCGTAGAACTGACAGGATGTTGCGTAGGCCAAAGTCGTACTGAACCTGGGAAACAAAACAAAAACAAAAGAAAAAGCAATAAAAACAGCTATGTGATAGAATAATCATGAATACGATCTTAATGTTATAGGAATGTCTTACTTCCATACAGAACATACGTAATATACAAAACCTTTTGGCATGGCTTTTACATCTCTTTACCTGTTTGGAGAGCTGCTCCTCACACAGCTTGTATAATGTGAAGAACTTGCCAGCTAACTTGATGTTGTCTTTAAAACCACAACTGGCCAGTTTCACTCTAATAATGATCTGACGGTCAGGGACCATCATGGCTACAGATCGGAAGTTGATCTTCAGGTTTTCTGGAAGCTCCTGGCGACCTGCATAACCTGGGTTCTAATTATTCAGAAAAAATAAAGTATAAACAAAAAAATAAAGAAAGAAAGAAAAAAAGTAATGCAACTTCCAGAGACATGAAATAATAATAAAATGTACAGTTGCAAGTTAGCACCATGCCAAAATGCAAGCCCTTGTTTAACTCTGAATGGACAAAAGAGCATAAATATTAGGCTTTTTTTTATCATGTATGCCACCTGTTAAAAGTTTTTTAATATTTAAGTCCACACATTTGTGGCATTCTGCACTTTAAAGATTCATCTCAGTGCACTTTTTGAACACCATAATGTAATGAATATATACAAATACTATTAACTGGGGCTGCAACTTGTTGTTATTTAGTAAATCAATTAATCTGTGGATTTTTTTTTCAATTAACTGATTAATAATTTTTACAAAAATTAAACCAGAAGAAACTAAAACTTATCCCCTTGAGGAGTTCTGGATAGAGCATACTGACAGACAAAAAAGTTATTTTTATCTTAAATGCAAAATTGTATACATTTTTTACACAATCTTGGTATAATTACTGCAATAAGTGGATTGCTTAGTCAGCTGAAGGCACACTTTAGAGCCTCTATAGTCCAGCTAATGATTAATCGATTCCTAAATTAGTTGACATCATTTCAACAATCGATTAATCACATTTAATACGATTGTTTCAGCCCTATTTGGAACCAATACTTTTTTTAGTTTTTATTTATATTTTCTATTCAGCTACACAAGCATCCTCTATAAGCCCTTCAAAATTGTACTATAAATGACAGTATACCAGATTCTTATGTACACCTTAGTAATTTATTGATATGCTGCATGATGTCCTCCTTTTTGGTCCTATAGAAATGGCCACCCTAGATCACAAACCTTAAAATGACTCATGCATATTCAAAGACAGCATGCAAACTAAGTGTGTGCAGAAAGAACCCAGGCCAGGATTTAAATTCAGGACTTTCTTGCTGCAAGATTACAGTGCTATAAATTGCAAGATCTTGCTGCTCATTAATAAAGTCAAAGAGTAAAGTCTTACATAACAGCAACATAATCTCACAGTAAAAATGTATTTTCTATTCTCCAGCTTTTTCCACCTTCCTTACTATGCTCATCACTGTGCAGTTTGTCACTGTTCCCCTTATTTCAAACATTTGAATGAATCACTAATCAAATTTGAGTAGGTCGTAATTTTTCATGCTTTTTGCATGTAAAAAGACACTTACCTGCTAAACAGGAACAGTGTACTGTTCATCCAATTATATTAGGCTTTATGTCTTATTGATAAGAGGTTGAAAATCACAAGCCCCTAAACACAAAAATTTATATTTTGTTTTATTAAGCATAAAGTTCAAAGAGCTTCTGTCATTTTTTTACTTTTGATAAGAGTTGTTTGCAGAACCACCTACTGTAACTTAAAACAATGACTTAAAAAAAAATAAAGGCTGGACAGCTGTATTTTCCTCATGGTGAGGTTGTGCGACTGCAATAAATCAAGGTATTTGAAGATTTTTGCACGTATTTACTCAAACTCCCAATAAATGTAGAGGGCTATATCTATTCATACAGCATACAGAATATCTTGATCATAGAGTTAAAGTTATAAATTATAAAGTTAAAAGTGGAAGATAATTTTCATTCCCAGGGAACACATCTTAAAGCCTAAATATACTATATTTGATTTTTACATCTATGCATGCAGAGAAGTACAAACACACATATATGTAGAAGGAAGAAACGATCTCTGACCCTCTGAAACAAGTAAGGACTATACCGCCTTGATACAAAGGTGATGCAGAAGTAAAATAAATGCCAAAAAGTACTTTATGGGGAGCATATTTATAAAGAAAGACCACTTTAAACTTTAAGCAGTCAAACTTTAAAGGTTACAGAAGCTAAAATATATTAAAGGCAACGATTTTCATACAATCCTTTGATTTGTTATTTATTATATGATCTCAAAAACCTCACAAAGCTAAAATGTATGTTTCACATTCAGCTATAAAGCTTAGGAATTAAAAATAATTAAAATATTTTTGCCCCTTTTATTTTTTAAATGTTTTCCATAAATCAGATACATAACATCACACTGACAAACTTTAATTCTACATTGGCTGGAGTAAAGGAGAGGCATTAACTGATGCACCTTTTACACTTCCTTAAGGGTGGACTCCATTTCTGCTGTTTTAATTATTTTAACTTATCTGTGTAAAACGTTTCTATTTGTTTTAATTTTTAATGTTTCTCTTTTGTATTCGTTTAGCACTTAGTTGAAGTTGATCATACCACCTTCAGCCTTATAACTGTAGGTGGTACGTTATTATAACATAGGTTCATAATTAATATAGAAGGAAATATGAAACCTAAATCTCCTCTTACAACTCAATAAGTAATTTCTTAAGGAGAGTAAAATGCACAATTATTTTCTGATAATTCTAACTTTCAGAAGTCATAGAAGCCTTTTACAGGATCATTATTTGTCTTCATGCCTTTCTATCTGGTGTTTCTCTAATCTCACACAGACACATTACTCACCTTAGGTAAGGTAGCATGGAAGAAAAGATCTGCACGGACTACAAAACAGAGCATGGTCAATACTTAACGGGACATTGATCAAGTCAGACATAGATCCAAAAGGATGAACAAGTAAGGTTACCAGACAAGAGCAATAAATTTGCTGCTCGATGTTGTCAGCTCCTTTGCAGGAAGGTCATGTTAAGCTCCGTTTAAATCCATCACTGCATTATTAAATCAGATATGATAACTTACAATACCTAACCATGGTGAGGAAAATGCCAAATTCAGGATCCATGTCGATACTGTCTCCATCGGTGAAAGTAAACTTTTTGCTACGATCCTTTTTGCATGTAAGAACTATTGAAATCTGCTGGGCTTCCACCGACAGGACTGGAAGGTCAATGCGGTTAAATTCATCAAAATATCCCCAGGAGCTAGACTGTGCCAGACCTAGAAATAGTACAGAGTTTAGCCATTCCATGATCATTTGTGATTTTAATAAAAGAAATAAAAAGAGAATTTTTGGGTCTCCTTTTTAGGCAAAGACAATCCAATATTCAAATTGGTGACATTTACCTTTGAATATTCTTCCCAGGCCTCTGAAATTCATCTGGTCAGAACAATTGAAAACCACAACGTATTTGCCCAGACATCGATCCATGTCCTTTATGGTCTCAGTCTTACCTGATGACAAAATGTAAATAACTTACTTAAAAAAATAATAATAATGCAACCAGAGGCCCTAACAAAAGACATATATATTCATGGCCCCTTAAAAACCAAAAACTCTAATGAATGTTATTATTTTGAATCTTTGAGCCAAACAAAGTTAAGCATTTACACAGAGGGGAAGAAATTATACATGGTTTCTACCATGGTTTCCATATAATCTGAAAATTGTGTTGTGTATGCAATAAAACCACCAGCTGCTGCAGCTGCCACATTGTCTCACATCTACGAACTGAATTACTTTCCTTAAATGCCCTCCTTATGGGTCTCTAGAACTTTTTCAACAATATATGAAAATGGAAAACAATGGATTTTCTTTTGTTTGTTTGGTTTTATATGGCGTGCAGGACGTCAAACAAACATCCATTATGTTTCTAATGCTGCACAAATTTGTATAATAAATAAATTTGAAAAAGTCATTTTGACATTCCTGTCAACAAAGATTTGGGTCATAGCCTGCAACACAGCAAGGCGTGGTGCCAAGCAGGTAGCGGTTGGAAACTAAGCAGCATGTGTCTCAGACCATGGATCGCAAAGGAAAAAAAAGGATGATAGCTTATGAGAACATAGGATTAAAAAAAGAATGGACCGAATCATTTGCTTTCATCACCAATGCGGAAGGATTGCTTTCATGTCTGCTTCGTAAACAGAAGTTGTCAATTTAGAAAGGCATTTCCAGGCTACATGCTACATTTACAGCCGGCCACCAAGTTGGGAGTAAGAGAAAAGGTCTGATTGCAGTACTTCTGGATAAATTACAGCAGTGCAAAGGTAGATTGAAGAAGTGGATTGCATCTCTAAACTCCACTGCTGCTGCTAGTGTTGTCGCAAGCATGGAAAACCGTTCACAGATCAAACAGGTAGCACTCTTATGCAAGTATGTGAACTTTCTTTCATTTTTTTCCCAAATTTTCAAAATTAAAACAATAAAAAAAATCAGATTTCTTTATTTTGTTTCTGTAATTTCATCAATGCAGCAAAACCTAATACATTATTATTGTAATGGATTTTAAACTTAAAGTTAGGAATATTGTACAGCAGAGTAGTCACATGATGTGAGATCTGCTCTAGGATAAGCATTTAATCCATACATTCATCCATTTTCTGACATCCCAATCCCAAGTGGGATCGCGAGGGGTGCTGGTGCCTATCTAGAGCTGTCTACGGGCGAGAGGTGGGGTACACCCTGGACAGGTTGCCAGTCCATCACAGGGTAACACAGAGACAAACAGGACAAATCACCTTTCACACACACAATCCCACCCAAGGAGACATTTAGATGAACCTAACGGTCATGTTTGTGGACTGTGGGCGGAAGCCGGGGTACCCGGAGAAAACCCACGCATGGGAGAACATGGGAGAACTCAGGGAGAACATGCAAACTCCATGCAGAAAGACCCCGGGCCGGGAATCAAACCCACGCCCTACTTACTGCAAGGCAGCAGTGCTACCCACTGTGCCACTAAGCAGCATTTATCCATGAATTCTTACTATACATTTAACTCCATGTTGATTACTGGCTAATACACTTAGAGCCTATGTTACCATACAAGGTTTATATAAAACTTTTTCATTTTTGCGACTCCAGACAGATTTGTTTTTTTGGTCCAATATGACTCTTTGAACAGTTTGGGTTGCCGGCCCCTTGCCTTACACCCTTTCTAAATGGACGGCAAAAAGCATTGTTACTCATCAGTTTTTCTAAGCATTGGAAGAAATGCTTAACTAAACAACAACAACAAAATCTTTGACTTACCTGTGCCTGCAGGACCAGCAGGAGCTCCACCCATGTTCATATCAAGGGCCTAAGCTACGATGATGTAACACCTAAGCAAGCAAAGGTAAAAACAGGCATGCAGCATTTTATTTTGCTGGGATAAAATCTTTTGGCAATTTTTTTTTTAAACCCCTCAAATGTTTATCCTTATCTGACAGGGAATACAATTATTGTCTAAGAACAATTGTACTGTACTACAAACAAGATCTACAATCATCTGTAATAAAGTGCATTAAGCCATTAATTTATAAACTAGTCTCAATCATATTTTCCAAACTACTAACCAATTGTATCTGAAACCCAAAAGGAGCTGAGTAGAGAATTTGAGAAAATATGTTTGAAACAGGGAGGGTCCTGAATAAAAAAACATTAGAGAGGAACTCTAAATTAGGGGAATGATAAGATACTGGCCTAGGCAGTGAATGAAAAAAGAAGAAAGAGAAAAGAATCAAAGCTGCTTCCACTGCCTTCAGCCATAGGGTCATTGTGTTACTTCTATAGAGCCACTGTCATATCTCTGCTTGTACTTCCCTCTCTGCTGCTGTCCTTTCACATCTTTGTCTCATTGACTTGTTTCCTGTCTCTTACTGTGTCTCTTCTCATTTTTCTATGATTGTCTTTCTATCCCACTGCGCTTTTGGTGATTAGTCAAGCACTGGTTGTTGGTTCATTCTTGCCTCCCCTTTTCAGTCTAAAACATTTCTTTTGCATGTCAGCCACCTTGTCTTCCAGTGAAAGGGGTTAATGATCACTGAAGAAGAATGCTTATTCAATCTGTATCTAATTTTTAGATGGTTGAACGGTAAACATACTCTCAATACATGGTTTTAAATATTACATTACTCTTATAGAAGATATTGGAAGGAAAAGTCATTCCTCAAGGCTAGATAAAGAAGTGCCTTCTTCTCTTCATGTTACCTGTAAGGAATTTTGTACAATCTGGTCCCGGGAGCTATGGTGCCCCTTTTTGTATCTCAGGTCAGGTTAATTTTTCATTGAAAAGCCTAATAAATATTTTTCCTCTAGACTTATTTTTTCCCTCATATAATTGCTTTCCAAGTTATTCTGTTCTCATTAAACCTTCTGTCCTGCCCCCTTGAGGAGACTTCGTTATTTGTGTTTTGTATATATTGATCTGTTTGAACTACCGTAGCTGTTAGTTCCACACTGTTTCATCTGAGCAGTCTCTTTGGTGTTAAGCCTCCTATCTTCTTGTTTTCACCCATAAAGATATCTGTTTGTAAGTATTGGGTAATGTGTAATGTCAGAGTCTCAATTTATATTTTTTAGTGAGTTCAATTCAGTTGTTTGCATAATGTAAACAAGCGCTAATTACGTTAGCATATGTATGGTGTTTTCAATGTAAATTAGCATTGTGCTAACCGTTAACTTACCTCTTATTGCTTTTAGCTCATTTAAGCTATGTTTTCTGATTATTGATGTGTAAAGCATATTGTAATGGGTGTCAGGAATCCAGTTTTTGTGGGTTGTTTCTGTGTTTGCTTTTTTCCTCCACCAGGTGGTGCCCCGTCCTCATTGGGCCTCCCTGCACACCTGCAGCTCGTTGCCTCATTACCTATGGAGTGTTCTTAAGCTGCTGTCTGCCACTACCACGAGGCCAGAGTGTTTGCCAGTTTTGGGTACTCTAGCCAAGCTGAGTTTTGCTAAGTCAAACTGAGTTCTTTTCAACCTGAGTTTTAAGATTGTTTTGTCTTTGCCTCTCGGCAGGAAGTCATCCTGCAAACTGGATTTTTCAGACCTTCTCTCCCTGGAAGGATCAACTGAGCTACAAACTGAGCTGGGGTTTAAACAGGAGGTTTGGATCCACTTTCCCCAAGAGATCGTTCGAGCTTTGCACTGAGAAAGGGATTCATCTCCACTACGACCCGTTCAAGTACCGCAGGAAATCTGAGTGGCAGTCAGTTTCTCCGTTCACCTACCAACAACAGCATTCTGGGTAAACCCTGTTCCGCCCTCAACCGAATCAGACAAACACTGAAACTACAGCATACAGACTGGAGTCAAGGATTCAACAACTTCTATGGAAACGTCAGTCAGCAACCAAATCCTCTTCTCCAAGTTCACGAGTCAAATTTCCCACTGAGCCTGAACTAACCGCTGCGTCTCCCCCTCACTTTTCAGTTCCGGTTGAGCAGTGTGCAGAGCAACACTTCTCTCCGTATTATCTCTTCAATAAAACCTGTTAAACCTTTTCCCTGGTCTCCCTGTTTGGTCTTCCGCATTTGGGTCTGAACTTTAGTAAAATCATGACAATGGGCATTCCTATGTCTGTGTCACAGTTTTACAGTTTAACCAGTGAAAGAAGCATTGCAACAGGCTTTCTGGTGACATATTGGTGACGCTGTTAGCTATCTGTAAAGCAAATTCTAACATTGGTGAAAGGCAGAATACCTTCAACATTAAAAATGTGATATCTTCTACTGTCTGACAGTTCATATTTTTTTCCTATTTTTACTGAACACTTTAATTTGTACTTTCCAGCATCTTAGTTCTGTTTGCATTGATAACCTTGTATTTGTTAATATGTTTTTGTGTTTTCACTGATGTACTTTTTTTTAGTCAAAGGAGTAATGACAAGCCTTTCTGTGCAGCCCAGGAACTCATTCTGGTAAATAAAGTTTATGTCAGTGATGCTTATAGACATCAGGTCTGACCTCTCAATGAAGTAGAAACAACACTGCTTCAGCCGGTCAAAATCAGTGGGGCTCTTGATATGTGACCGGCACTGAAATGCTAATGTGACCTAAAACTGAGAATGGATGTATTAGAGAAAATAGGGGGAAAGAGGAGGTAAAAAGATTTTAGGAGAGAATTTAAAGGAAATAGGTGAGAGGTAAGTGAGAGTCAACCATTGGAGAGAATTATTTATTTATACTTATTTGACTCTGGTTAGGCCCACTGAGATCAAAGATCTATTTTCTACTGTAAGGGAGATAGAGAGCAGAAAGTGGGAAAAACAACAGTCATTCTTCCCTAATTGATGAGCTGGACTGCAGTGATTTTAACATAGCTTTTGCCTAAGGTACAAAAGCTTGAAGCCAAAGTTCAGTTTAATATCAGACTCTTGATCTATAGTTGATTTCATGCATAAATGCCAAACATTATTAGAGTAGAAAATTAGACTATGGGATGACAAAAAACTGATCATGAAGTTAAGAGGAAACAAAGGTAAAATACAAAAAATAAAGAAATAAAATTATGTATGATTCACACCAAGATAAGCTACAAAAAGACTCTTGTATTGTAAACTAGCTGTAATTTACCACATTTGTAGCAGAGCATGTGAGTGGAGCGTGGTGCGAGTGGTGGAGCAGAGTGGAAGAAATGTGATTGAGTACAGAGCGGTTTTCAATTCAAAGGCCAGAGCGAGAATTTCGCTCCGCACCAGTTCGCTTCTATGCGCTCACAACTTCAATTAAAAACGTTGCATTATTAAATTTGTAAAATAACATTTATTTGATTTAAGTGCAATTTTTTCATCATGTTTTATTGCACGACTGCCAGCAGCGCTGAATTTGACGAGGAAGAGGATATGCCTGCGCTGTCGCAGATGGAAGAGGATGCGGTTACAGCCAATGCAGAAAACACGATAAACACCTACTTCACTACCTCGAGTTGTACATTTGAGAGGACCTATCCATCTCCTTCAGCTGGTGGTAAAAGATGCCGAGATTGTATATTGTGTGATAAGAAGTGGGATAATATATCATAGAACATACACTAACTAAACTTAACAATACAGAGTGCTTTACATAAAGTGAGTTGTTGTGGTAAGAGCCTGTTTTTGAAAATGGATTGCATACATGCATTATACGCTATCATCTCATTTGCAATGGGAGGAAAAGTGACCCTTTTTAATGTAGTCTAGTAAAATCAATTAATAAATAATTGGAAAAGTGGGGCAACATGAATGGAGAAAGGTGTTACGTTCACAGCTGGGAAACAGTGCAATAATTTAACAGCCAGTTAAGACAATACACATGTATCCTTCACATCATTTAAGTCGTAGGGAAGTGGTTCCAATGGTTGAAGTTCCGAATTCTCCCCAGTGGTGCCCGACTTTACAAAAGTGAATGTGATTGGTCGTTTATCAAGCAAGTTTGGTTGTGGTTGGTTTGTCAGAAGCATCTTGCTAACCAGTTAGCAACTTAGTGCTAGTAGGTTCCCAATGGGAAATTATATTGGGACCAAGTAGCACTAAATTGATTACTTAGAAATTACACTGTCAAGGAAAGCTATGGACAGAGGAAACATGCAAGAGGAGGAGAGTTTCTTTGTCGGACATCGTGGATGAGTCTCCTCCGTCATACATTTTTTGTTTAGAGGAGGACAGTGGGGACGAGGTTGTTGTGGAATGCCAGGAGGATGCCAGGGGGGCAGAAGCTTTGTTTGGTGTCGAAGGCTTACAGTCGTACATGTTTGAGCCCTTGCCTCACAATGCTGCCAGTTCTGCTAGCTCTACGCCTGCCGAAGACAAAGACGTCCATCCCTGTGAACATTGAGATGTAACTCAATGGTAAAGTAAATGCTTCTTATTTCAACCGTTGTGTCTGTGTCTGCGACATATGAATCAAGGTGCTATGATTGATTGACAGATTTGCCGAATTTAGGTGTACAAGCTGACGTATAACTAACTGGCCTGCATAAAATAATGAGAAGAAAAAAGGTTTTAAGACAGGATTTTTTTTTTTTTTATGGAAACTATTTGGACAATATCGTCTGATACAGATTACATTTATATACATGTTTAAGCCAGAATGATTTGACATTTAAATATGGCTTCTCTACAACTTTAAATCCAACGTTGTGTGTCCCAGGGCCCTGGCATAGTTAGATGAACGAAAAATGTCAGAAAATGCATTCTCCTAAAAATTTGAGCGAGCGTGGAGTGATTTTGCAATAGCGGCAGGAAAATTAAGGTGAGCGTCGAGCGGAGTTTGATCGGAGCGTACTGGTGCAACCTTGAGTGGCGAATGAGCGAATATCCTCCTGAGCGGTGAGTGGGAACTGCGCAGCGCTCTGCTCTGTTCAAATGCTCTGATCTGCAGTGATCCGAATGCAGTCCTTTCTGCATCATTTAAGCAGAAAAAAAATGTTGACAATCTCTTGTAAATTGTGTCCATAAGCAGTTTAGTAGAACAGAAAAGCCTGTAGAAAAGACTGTAGTTGATTTTAACATGAAATATAATTGGTGAGGCTGTGGTGAGAATTTTCTCACCTGTTCTATCTGTTTGAGCCAAACTTACATGCAGGTTTCTATCTTTTCAGTTGTTTCTTTGTTGTTGGCTGCTGCCTTGTAATCTGCAGGGGATTTCAACAACTCTAAGTCAAGCGCGTCACATTGCTTCAAAGTAACCTGAAGGCAAAACAAAGTAGGATTATTTTCACTTTTTCTTACAGTTTTTTGTTTCTGGTTTACATTTCGGCTTCATGTCCATGTTTTTTTTTTTGTTGTGTAAAGAATTTTTTTTTTATTACATCTGCAGAAACATGACCGCTCCAACTTCTTAAAGCAGTTATTAGGTTTTCATATAGCTTTTATCCAACTTTAGTCTTTATGCTTTACTTTGAATATTACATTATCTTTGTTTTTTCCAAGTTGTTCATAGGTTCACAAGCAGATGATTGTTAACCAGGTTAATTGTTGATTATTGGTGTTTGTCACTGTCCACAGAGGTGCTTTGGTTTGGAGATTTTGTTTCTGTTTTCTTACCTTCATTTTCAGGGTGTGCCAGGCAGGTGTGGCTCCCAGCTGGTACTCATCAGCCTCAATCAAGGAAGCAGTATTTAGAGGAGTGGATTCACTGAGGCAGACGACAGATGGTTACCTATACCAGTGGTAACTGGGTCCCTCTTCAAGACTTCCAAGTTAGTTGAACTTGTTCTGATAACCTTACAGACCAGTCGTGTCTCTGATTTCCTTTTAGTTTTCCTCCTGCTGAAGGTTGGCTCCTGTTCCTCCCTCAACGGCGCTTTCCACTCCTCCCCAAGAGCTTCCTTTCAAGATCCGCTAAAGCCGAGCTCACCTGCCTGTCCACCCTCCAACGCCAAAAGAACCTGGTAACTCCAAGGTCTTCACCCCCTCTCTGTGGACACTGTTGCTCTCCCTCTCAGCCTGTTTCCAAGCCCTGAGAAGTAAGTCTGCCCTCATTGTTCATCTCAACATCAGCTGGAACTCTTACTGATCACCTGACCTGTTTTGCAGTGAGACACCGCATTGGATTTCCTGTTTTCTCTGCTTCCAGTCTGAACAATAAAAACCCTTCAAATAAACTCAGTTCTCCTGTCGTACGTACTGCTGCTGCGCCAGAGTCTTGATCCGAAATCATGTCAGTCACGTACCATTTCTTGTAGGCTCTCCCGTGCACCCCTCAAAACAGAGACAAATCTTTCAAGTTAAGATATAATCTCCTGTTTTACACCCTGGGACTGGCCAATTCACCCCAACCGTGGTTTGTTTCCCTTAGTGTGGGGATGAAGACTTCCGAGAGCAACTTCTCCACACTTTTAAAAAGCCCTCCTTCTGTGGCGTCCAACATATTGAAGCCCCCCTCCTGCAAATTTGGAAAGGTGTCAATTTATTATGGAAACAAAACATCATAGTATACTATTAAATAACATACTTTGATTTTTGTCAAAATCTACCAGAGACTGAAAGGAAAACAGTCTATCCCAGCAACATGTGTGCTGCTGTTTTAAAATGAAAACTATACAAATATTATGTACATAGGGTTTAAACAAAGATGAAATGAAGGGGTTCATGGTCCAAGAGCATTACAAAGAAATGTAGAGAGAATCTCCCTCTCTTTTGCACCACTTTATTGTGAAGTCCCTCAAGATTCTGTCATGGCACCTTTATGATTGCACTCTGTATTCTCTGCGTCAAGTCTTCTGGAAGTATGAAGACTCCCAAACTTATATACATATAAGGGAGACTGGTAATAGACCCCTGGCATCTTTACTGCAATGTGTTAATGCCTCCAATGACATCAAGGCTTTGTTGGCTCAAAATGTCTTGAATCTTAATGAGCCAAATGGAAATTCTGTTGTTTGGACCTAAAGACCCCCTGAATAATTTGGGGCCACTTATGAAATATGTTCATCCTTCAGCAAACAGCCATGGTACTGTAATCAATATGGAGTTTAAGCAACACAAGTAAATGTCAGTTTCTAACATCTTTGTCTCTTATAAAATGGGAAGCTATATTTAATCGTTGAAAAACATTTTTTTTATTTCTCATATTTATTTCAGCTTGCCTGGTCTACTGGTATGTTCATTTAGAGGCATAAAAGGCCTTGTACTGCAGTTAGTCCAGAACTGTGTGGAATGTCTTTTAACAGGAATACAAAGCAGGAGGTCAGTTTTTCTAAAAATAGGTGCATTTTTTCTCTAAGTGAGCAGATAAGCCGACATTTTGCCAATGGAATAGGACAATTTACATTTTAAAAAAAACAACAGTTGCTGTTTCCTCGTTCGAGTGCATAATATCTAATTATCTTATTTTAATGGTACAAATACTTATTCCATTTGAAGTTCGTCTTATTTACTTGCTCAAATTAAGGGTGAATACACTTATTTTAAGAAAAATTTACTCATTTCTACATCATCTTTGCAGAGTATATTTCACCTTCTCTTGCATCTTTGCAGTGACTTACTGTTAACTTTAGAATTGATTTTAAGGTTTTATTGTTTGTTTTTAAAGATTTAAATGGCCTGTTCCCAGAATATACGGCAGACCTCCATATTTATTCTGCTGCACATGCTCTAAGGTCTGAGAATTAGGGGGCTTTCTCGGGAGAGGACTTTCTCTGTGGTTGGCCCAAGACTCTGGAATGGTCTGATTTAGGTCTCATCTCAAGACCCACTTATATTCACTGGCTTTTAAGACTCAACAAGGTGTGTTGTACTGTATATAATTCCATTTGATTATTTTATTTTTTATTTGTGCAGCACTTTTGGACATTTCATGTTATTTAAAGCTCGATTGTGCATGTTAAAAGGTAATTATACACGCCCTTTGATTGTCTCAAGTGTAAAATGAGCTTCCCTTTATAAACCGCAGTTGTTTCTACAAGCTACATTGGTCAATTTGTAAGAGAGTGATTCAGGTTGAATTCTATAGGTGTGCATGTGGGTGTGATGTAATGCATGCTCTCTTTAACCTAGTTGCTTTGTTGAGTCTTGGTAACAGCAAGAACAGGGTTCATGATTTGTAAGTATAAACAATTTTGTGTAGTGTGACAAAAACTGCCAAAATGGTGAGAAGATTTAACTTAGCATGTAACTTAGACAGGTTAACGTCTGTTGTTATAAAATCTGAAACCTTTCTACCAAAGCCAATTTTTCTTAAATGTAAAACAATACTTGGCAATAAAGCTTTTCTGATTCTACCTTAAAGAATAGAAGCTGAATCCATTGAAAAAAGGTTCTCATTAAGTAGCTGAATATGTTTTAAGGCACTAAAAACGTATCTGATACTGTAAGTCTACATAAATGTTTATCATTACGCAAAACAAAGCAGATGTTGAGGATATGAGCATCAAACAAAAATTGAGGTTATATGAGAATCTAAGGCAGATGAGGAAGGTGAATGCAGGGATACTAATTGGCAGGGAAGTACAGCAGACAAATGGAGAGAGGCTAAAAGGATTAAGAATAAGAAAAAAATGTAAAAACCACAAAGGAAATGACGTTTTGAAAAGAAGAAACAGATGATTCCTTGATATCATATTTTGTTCTGCTTAGTATAGCTAACTTGCTAAATGTTGTGATCCTGGCTTTTTATCCCTCCTCTCGCCCTAAATTATGCATGCAATTTTTAACCATGTGGTTAAATTGACCCCAGGGATATTAAAGTCCAGAAAATTATTTACAAAATAGTGTTGACCATGTTTTTGTTACAGGCACATTGCTTATTTGTTACATAAAAAATATACAAATAACCCCTCAAAAATCAGTGAGTTGAACTGTCCCCTAGCGGCACCATCAAAAAAACTTTCAGGTTTAGAGCACATTCATGACTCTCACAGAATGACCACGTTGACATATTTTGGTGACTCCCCCTTTTCTCTCATAACACATTTATAACCATATTTTCATTTACAAATTTTTATTAAAAAAAATTCTTGTATATTTGTGGCTAGTTACTGTAAGATCTCCCCCACCCCTCCTCTTTCGGTACCCAGGATTGGGACCGCCTGTGGCAGAGTTATAGAGTTTTTTTGTTTTTGTTTTTTGTTTCTTTGTCATCATGTGTATGACATGAGACAAAATATGGAATGTCTTCAGAGACATGATGGCTGGAGATATTGCTCTTCCAGTCTCAGCCTTCCAAAGGTTCGCTGTGGCTTCACCTTTTGAATTGTACACTCCTGCCAAAGTTAGCAAGCTTATATGGGCTTCCAAGTCAATGACATCAACATCTTTCCAACTGTCCCCATTGATTATGCTTCCACTCAAAATTTGTCATCCCAAGCACAATATTTTGATAGATGGCGTTACGAAGAGCTTGAATGATGACTTGATGTAATCAACATGGCTCACCGCATATCTGGTAGGTCCTACCTGTAGAACCATTTTAATTATATTACTGGCACTATGTCCACCCTGCTGTTTCAGTAGGGAAACAGCCCATATTATCTTTCCATTTTTGGAAAAGATCGTGTCTGCAGGTGGTTGAGGGACAAGAGGAAGGTCAACATTCTCATTAGATTAGAATCCCTTAAAATCAGGGTCCTCCTCAACACAGTCCTCTGTCCCAGAGACAATCTCCTCTGAGTCCCTTTCACTGTCAAATAGCTGTTCCAAAACTTCTTTGACAGTAAGTTTTTCCAAACGTTTTCAAATAGAGTGTGAAGATGACAGTACACTCAAAGCACAGTGAGGAATTATTCAGATAGAGAACTACTATGCAAGCTATTATATTTACTCCTCTCTGATTTTGCATGAACTGCTAAAGTCCTTGCTGGAATTGCCCGCCCTCCACAGAGCAGGAATATTCAGTTCTACTTTGGCAGGTGTGAGTTCAGAAGGTCACACAGTAACACATACACACCTTCATGCCCATGGTGCAGATATATCAAGGTTCTCATGGGAATAGAATGAAATGTATCAACTAAAGTGGATCTGCCCTTGTAGGTTTGGTCATGTTAGCTCACACCACATGCTAAAACAGCTTGGGGTCAAACTGACCCCTGAGGATAAAAATTGTGTGCAGTGTGTGTTCAGCACATAAAAAAAAAAATAATAATTCTGTACAACAATTTTGTTATCAGTTGTCCCCATCAAATTAGGAAAAGTCAAGAAATATGAATAAAAAAAATCTAACTGATATATTTTGAATGATAAACATTGAATGGGGTCGAATGGACCCCAAGGAGGATATGAGGGTTAACTAAAGGCAAAAACTCTGTCCAATTTGTGTATACATGAAACTGATCCACATTACTGTATCTTTCTTTGTTTGGCTATGTTCAGTAGCACACATGACCTGTTTCAAACAGAAGTGATTAGCTTTGCTGCAGGCAGCATGTGGGCAGTTACAATCAATGACCAAAACAAGCTGTGATATCACAAGGCTATTGATGAACCATCCTGTAGCCCAGCTTATCTTTGGATGAAGCAAGGATTCGTGGAAACCGTTTATCCCTCGAAATTAATTTCCGCTAAGACTTATTTTTAGCTGGTCTTATTTAAAAAAAGCAAAGATGAACATTCTTTTTAAGATATTTTTGCAGGATATTTTCAAGTGCCATTTGGAAATACACCATGAATTAAAAAATTATTTTGTTTTTTATAAAATCATTTGTTTCCAGAACTGGACATTAATACATATCATTAACATACCAGACGGCTTCATTTCAGGACTAACTTACAAAGGAAAAATATTTTTTTACTTTTGCTGTTTTCTTTTTTTGTTTGTTTTTTACATGTCACGGCTAAATTTGTATTTTAGTTTCAAAATATAATTTACTGTTATAAAATAAAGGTCTATGCTTTTAGAAAAACACTGACTCACACTGTGAATGTTCGCAGAGGTTATTGCTCTCAAAGTTTTTGCTCTGGTGAAGAAGACGCAAATGCCGGTCAATGCCACATCCTTTCCATCAGTTACAAACACTTTCTTTGTGTGACTGTGCCGGTGGGAATCAAGCTGGGTGGGTAGAGCGGCTGCAGCTGCAGAAATAAGGAGTTAGTCATCATCAGCCTTTATATTTCTGCTGGACTGTTTTCAATGTTTTCACCAGTGTCAAAAATAATTGCATAAAATACAGTTTGTCTGCTTTGATCCATTGAGTATTCTTTTTTTTTCTGTTACCTCCTTTTGTAGGTTCAGTTTCCTGATAATACAGCATGAGGTGTTGGAGACCGTTTTCCAAAAAAAATTGCTCCATATGATCAAGCTGTTTCAAATGCAAAAAAAAAAATAAAGTAAGAAACAAAACTAAAATCATCTTAGTGAGACTTTACAGACTTTGAGCAAGATGTTACAACACATACAAATAAAATGATAACATGTAGAATAATAGCTGTAAGCAAATAAACTAACAAATTTGTAATTTAATAATGATCTAACATTGAATGTGTTATGTTCTATTAAAATGTAATGTTCACTTGACCGAACATCATTGCTTAATATTTTAAATTTTATATTAAACAAATTACCCAACAAAAATGATGGCCTACATTTTCTTTGACAACTGACTTCTGGTTTATAATAAAAATAAATATACTGTAGTAGCAAAAACCCCTAAAACATGCATAATAAAAACATTTGACATCAGTGAAAATTTAAAAGGCTATTGTTGTTTTTTGCAAAGCTAAGCAAGACATTTCAATTATAGTTTAATGGAATTACCTGATTTCCTTCCAGAATGGCATCTTGGACTTCTGATTCCTCCAGTCCCAGGCATAAGGCCACAATGCCGAGGATGTAGTCATGTCTTCCATCCAGTTGGTCACGTTTTGCTTCAAGCTCCTCTCTTAACTTTTCCTGCACAAAATTTACAGAGAAACTTAATTATGTAGATGATCTGGTTGGATCTCTGATGTAAAAAACATAAACCTATTTATTGTCGAGAAGATGTTGACTTAATTTAATCATCTAAGCCTAAGTAAAAACATTATGGAATAAGCAAAAATAAATACCTTTAATTTCACATTCTTATGACATGATAATAAGGCATATATTCACAAATGAAGAAGACTAAATGACATGTAAATTCACTTCATCTTCGGGTACTTTAAATAAAATAGGTCTTTTTTTAGATGATCAATTTTGTTTTAAATGTTTTGCCAAATGTTAAGGTAAGAAACCAGGGAATAAGTCTGTACAATAAAATTCCTAAAAATCTGGTTTTGCATGCGGCTTTTGAATTTATTTTTTTGCTTCCTTTTGTTGCTTACATTTTAAACGCAGTGGATAGAGGGGCAAACACTTCCTTAAAATAGTTTTTGATCAGTCACCATTGTTGGAGCTGCTGATCTTTAACTCAAATTTGAATTCAAAATAATATGCCTGTGTGAAGAATTAACAAAAACAAAACAAAACTGAGAGCTCTTCTGAAATTTTGCACAGAATATATATGTAAAAACTAATAAATTTTTCACTAAATGTTCTATTTGTTATTGCATTGAAGAAACTTATTGTGTCAGTAAGAGCAGATGAAAATCATGGACCTTTAATATCATGTAAGTTTATTCTAGCATAACTGACAATAAGCAAACAACAGTCTGGGTAAGGAATCAGGCTTGATTCCTAATCAATAAAAATAATAAGGAATTAATACCAATCAATTTAGCCCAATTAATTAAAGATGGAATGAGATAAAGGGCCATTAAAGACAGAGCAAGGTTTTGGAAGGTTTGATTTATAGAAACAAAGGTCTTGTTTTTTCACTTAAACTAAGAAAAATAACTGAATAAATAAATATAAAAATGCAAAATTAGTTTAGAAAAGTTTTCAACAGAAAAGTAAAAAAAAAAAAAAATTGAGTGGAATTAAGTATAGGTGTCAATTCAGTTGAAAGTGGCCAATAGGAATGCAGGCCCACCCATCACACATTTTTCACATCGCAAGAAAAACCCAGAAGCGAGAGCAAAGACTCAGGTTTTGAGAGAGAAACGAAAAACCCTTTGAGAGAGAAATCGATTTTGTTGTTTAAAAAAAAACAACATTTCAGGGTAAGAATATTTCTTTGAGAGGGCACTCTTTTCCTTTGGAAATTATTTTCTAAATATGAATTTTATTTTTCTTTAATTTCAAATAACATAAAATTTGTATTCTCCAATATATGTATTTTACTTTGAAAATTTGTTTTTTAACTTAACAAAATTCAAGAATAACTCAATATTTTGTAGTGTTTTTTTCTTGATAGCTAACCTTCGTAGACAAAATAAACACACTGCCTTGTGTGTGCTACTGAGAGTGAGTGGTAACCTGCAAAGTGATGAGAGCTTAACACACAAACCATGACTGACAAATTAGCGGGACAAAAAAAAAACATACTTGCTTAATTGAGTCAATAAAACAGTTTGGTTGTATTTTGATTGTTTTTGTGTTAACACATATATATATATATATATATATATATATATATATATATATATATATATATATATATATATATATATATATATATATATATATATATATGTTCCTTTTAGATTTCAAAGAAAGAGAGCATTGGATTTGGTTAGATAATGATCAGAAAGCGATCACCTGATCTTTCATTTCCTGACCCTTTTTAAATTCTTTAATACTTTTATTTCATGTCCATTTTGTCTTTAAAATGTATTTTTAAAAGCGTCTTTCTTTAACAAAACATGTAATATAAGGATAAATATTGTGATTTGTAAAAAATGGATATTGATCAAATATTCTTCTCCTTCCTTGCGCTGTGTTATTGGTTTCCCTGATAAGGAGATTTTGCCCTTCAGAAATAGAGAATTTTGCAAGACTTAAGACATAAAAAAGATATACTACATATTCAACATTCATTAGCTGCAGTAGTATTGATACTATTTTCAACCTTTCCCGCGTCTCATTAAATTGTATTGTCTGAAATACCATGAAAATGTCATACAAACAAAAAAGTCTGAGTTATTTGAACAGCTAGCACTGATTAAAAAGGAAAAGCAAGGGGGAAAAAATGCTTTGCTTGATGGTAAAAGTCTAGGAATACTAGACTGGTGCCCTCATTTACTCATTTTAGTTCATTTCATTTTTGAATGACACTAAACTGAAACTGTAAAGTGCCTTGAGATCACATGTTGTGATTTGGCACTATATAAATAAACTGAATTTAATTTAATTAAAAATTACTTTGTAATCACTAGTAAATTATCTAAACAGTATATAGTAAAAGTTGCTTGGGACCTTCCTATAAAAGGTCCTAAACAGCAACATTACAAGATACAAATGCATAATACATATGCAACGTGTTGTATAGGCCTAATCTCAACAAGTAGGCGGAGTCTCTTTGAAAAGCAGTATGCCAAGAGAAAAAAACTGTGTCCTCAATGATATTCATACTCATATTTATTTTTGATACACAGCCAATGAGAATCAGCAGAGGCATAAAAAATCCCTCAGAGACAAAGTCACCATCAAAGAGGAGGTTTGCCAAGGCTGAAACGTCTTAGGATGAAATGTCAGCTTTGAAATTAAAAACTAGACTAGAGGGACAAAACAATAGATTTCATGTATGATGATTATTTATGTGAAAAGTAAGCTAGCTTTAGGAGTAACATTGTAGCAAAAGACAATTTTTGGCTGTTTTATTTCCAATTACATCATACTGTACACAGACATGAATACTACAGAAATAGATGAGAGCAGAAGGTAGAATAACATCAGCTGACAAATGAGTCGTTCGCATTTGTTCTCTTACCCGAATGACCTTGGAAACAATTTGTCTCCAGAGCTTCTTTCTAAACATCTGCGACATGACAGCTCCTTGCCTCAGCGCCTCACCTCTCCTACGTCTTCTCTATAAGCACCTATCACTTTCTCATCTGCATTTGCACTCTCACCTCAAGGGCTAAGGGCTATCAATTGTCAGTGCTGACTATCCGACCAGCTGAGCTCAAGCTATAAATGCTGTACGTTAATAGCCACTCAAATCCAAAGTTTGAGTTTAGTGCCAGATGAGACCACGACAGATATTGTTCCCTGTATAAAAAAAAAAAAAAACATAATATACACCTGCATATATGATGTAAAAATGGAATAAACAAGTGTTCTTATTCTTGTTCCCTGTCTTTTTTCAGTTCAGGTTTAATTTAGGTAATTGTAAAAACCTTTTTGTTTTGTTTTTTACTAGAAATACCAGTAAGGCTTTTAAAAAACATGCTTTTTATGTTTGGCTACTTTTTGAACAGATTAATCAAGCCTGATTAATTTGCAAGCTTCTTAGTGATTTTGATTTTAAGAATCTATTATTCTATTATCTATCTATTATACCTGAAAGTATATTTATTAGGATTTAATGTACAAACAGTAGTGCATCATTATAAAGGCAATGAAAATAATACATACATTTCAATATTTATTTATTATTTTTTTTTTTTTACAAATGTTCTGCATATCATCAAGTTATGCAGACTGCTGTTAAGGAACTTGTTTTAACTGGGATATATCTAACAGCTGGAAGACAGTGTCTCTAATGAATTAAGGAAATCTTCCTTTGGTGCTCATTAGAAAGCTAAACACTATACTAAATGGTTGAACTGGGAATGCTTATCTTTTTCCATTAGGTGCCATGACACAAGATTTAGGTTGAGTTAAACAGATAAACCAAAAACAATGAAAAGTGCATTTGTATGACTAAAGATGAATTGATTAGCATTAGCTGTAGGCAGTAAATCTAGGTGGCAGATGAAGACAGAGCACTTAACTCACATATAATTTCTTTCTCAGTATAACTCATACATATTTCTGCACCAGGAAATGTTTCTTTATTTCTTTTCTCTTCTTTCCAGCATGAACATCAAAGCAAGGCAAGGCAGGTTTATTTACACTATATAGCACATTTTGGTCGCACAACAACTTAAAGTGCTGAACATGAGAAGAAAAATAAAAGTACTGAAATTGAAATATCATAAATGTAACACAATGAATAATTGAAATAAGATACTTATATCAGGAAACATCAAATGATCAATTAAAAAAATTAAAGTTGGACTGAAAACTAAAGTACTAATTTTAAGATAGCACAGTCTTAGCGTTTCAGCACTTCCACAGTTTTTGGGAGTTTATTCTAAATTACTGAAGCATAAAACTTAAAGCTGCTTCTCACTGTTCAGTTCTGACTCTGGTTATGCAGAGTAAATTTGATCATTTACCTGAGCAATCTGGGCCATTGAAACACTAGCAAAAAGTTTGTAATGTATTTTGGTGTTGAGCCATCCGATGATTTAAGGACTAATAACAGTATTTAAAGTTTATTAAAGTTAAGATATGGGAGTGTAAGCCCTTTCTTAGTTTTAGTGATTAATTAAATGAAGTAGCATGGATTTGTTTTTAAGGTCCTGCTCTCCTGAAGATGTTCTCTAGGTTATAGGAGGCAGACTTTGTTGCCGTCTTTGTGTGCCTCTGAAGGTTTAGACTTGAGTCCATCACTACAGCAAGATTTCAAACCTGATTGGTGGTTATATATATATATATATATATATATATATATATATATATATATATATATATATATATATATATATATATATATATATATATATATATATATATATATATATATATATATACAGTAAATAGATGAGATCAGAAGGTAGAATATCATCAGCTCGTTCATGTTTTCAAACAGAGCATCAACCATTTTTAACAAGCACTATTCTACGATGACCTAGGGCTTAGTAGGGCACCAACCTGACTTTTAAATCAAGCTGTGCTCTGATTGGATTGTTATAAGAATAACCTGAGATCCAACAAAAAAACTTGCCAATAGTAGTTTACATACAATCCCTACAATTTCACTGAGTTGGGCTCTAGTTTGAACGAGAGACTGAATCATAATAATTGTCATGTTGGCTTTCAGGGATCTAACCCACACGCAGAACACTCAGAGGCAGGGAAAAAGTTCACAAGTTTATTGAAGACAATTCACAATAAAGAACTATGATTTCTGGGAATAACTGGGTCCGGGTCTGGTCACGACTGGTTTTCCCTGCAGAGAGGGACAGATTGGTTAGCAGTCTTTCAGTGAACTTGCAGGTTGGGTATTTGCAGGTCTATACCTGATCAGAGATGAGCAGAGCGGTAAAAGGGGGGAACCGGGAGGGTCCACAGGCTGAAGGCAGGCAGAAGGCTAGGCAAAGGCAGGGCAGAGCAGATAATCTTACTGAGCAGGTTCAGAGCTTCTCTCTCAGCTCTTGCTGAGAGCGGGCAGGCAGGTTTCAGACTGAGTTGAATTTCCCGGGGGGTCTACTGAGAACAGACAGCTTGGTCTCACGTTTGAGAAACCCTTCCAGGTCTTCAGGTTTCCAGGCAGGTTCTTCCTGAGAAGCAGTTGGGTTTTTTCTTTAGAATGAGGAAGTGCTTTCCCTATCTTGCGAGGAAAAGGCTAGTTCAGAGCACATTCCTGTCAGTGCTTGATTATGGGGATACACTGTATATTCACTCCAGTTTATTCTTACTTAAAAAACTGGATGTACTGTACCACTCTGCCTTACGTTTTATCACAGGTGCATCAGCTAGGACTCACCACTGCACTCTCTATGAAACTGTACAGTGGTCTTCTCTTTACATGAGGAGAAAAATTCATGTACTGACTTTTATTGCCAAAGCCCTTATGGGTAAACTACCTTTATACATTTGTAATTTACTTTCCATTCGAGATAGTACTTACAGGACTAGGTCATCAGAAAAAATACTTTTACATACTCCATTTACAAGAACTGAACTAGGAAAAACAGCATTTTCATCATTTGCACCTAAAGCATGGAATGAACTTCAAGCCACTTTAAATCTTGAAGTACTTCCATCCATAAATTCTTTTAAAGACCTGTTAAAATCATCATTCACTGACAGATGCAACTGTTTTTGATTGGATGCCTTGTTTTCTATTTACTTTTTGGTTGTATGTGTATGCCCAATCTTGTTGTGTTGTGTTTACTTTTGCCTAGATGATATGTAGCTGTGGTTGTCTTGTCTCCTGTGGTTTTATGTTAATGTAACTTTTTAAGCCGCCTTCTTGGCCAGGACTCCCTGGAAGAAGAGTTACTTTAACTCAATGGGACTTTCCTGGTTAAATAAAGGTTAAATAAAAAATAAAAAAAGAGGACAAAAAGCAGATTAGGTTCAGGCTTCCAGGGAGTCAGAGATACAGACAGGCAGGTTGGCTCAGGTTCGCTAACCATAACTGGCAAACACTCTGGCGTTGGATTGTAGCTCTGCCCCTCCTTAAATGACGGTCTCCTGATGAGCTCATGAGCCGCAGGTGTGGTGGTCAGCTTCAGCTCCAGGAGACCTAGAACGCCCTCTGCTGGAGAAAGGTGGACAGACCTCCAGATCCCAACAATAATCACCAGGTCCTAATGGTGCAAGCCCCAGAGTCATGAAGGCCTGTGCATGGGATAAAACTAACCATCAGTTTATCCATTTGGCCTATTCATGATATAAATTCCTCCTATTTCAATGTATACTAGCACTAATACAAATTCTACATGCAGTTATTTCATAACAAATATTGGGAAATATATGTGACCAATTAGATCCATAGAGGGCAAACATTATTAGATGTTAATTTAAAATACCATGTGGTACACACGTATGCACAAATTCTCATATATATATAATTTTTGTGTGCTTAACATTACCACAGAAAAAAAGATAACACTTTAGATTGTATTTTAATTCAATTACACTTTTGTCTCCTATCCGATGCTTAATACTAGTTAATCATAAGCTGAGACATCGGCGTCGCCAGACCCCATTTACTGGGGCACGTGCCCCAGTATAAATGAGCTGTGCCCCAGTATAAATCTCATGAATATTTGCAACAGTGATACATTTTTTTAATGCATCAATTTAGATAATTCCAATGGAAGGAGACGTATATTTCTACTCAAATGCGCAGCAAGTGTGTTGGTAACTCCAAATTGAGGATGTAATAGCGCCCCCACGTCAGCGCATGTCACTGCATGAACTGCAGGAAAATTAACACGCTGCTCTCAACTGAGTTGGATGGGACACTGTGCGGCCGCGACGCATTTTTAGTTCTGGTAACGTTTCTTACCCGTCAATTTTATTATTTTCCCAGTGAAACCACATGATTATAGGCTACTAACTGAAAATTACTGCATTGGTTTGTAGATGGATATCAGGAAATTCCTCACATGAAGCAGAGACAGGGAAGCAGTAGAACAAAATGAGAGAGAGGGAGGTAAGGTCCCGTAATGAATTAGTGATTTAAGCTAAGCAGTTACATTAGGAACGTTATAAGCAATATGATAGATATTTACATAATTGTAAATTTACGTTTTTTAATGTTTGCTGTAGAGAATGAGAATGCAGGTGCTGGAGTAGGAAAGGGAGGAGGAGGCGAGACTGACAGGCAAGAGACAGAGGAGAGACAGGACCATGAAGGTGATGAGGGAGCAACAACCAGCGTCCACAAACAAGAAGGGGACATTAGTGACTTAGGGGGAAAGCATGGTGGTCCTAAACAAGTGAAGTTGTCCCACTATCCCCAGGACAAATTTGGAGTAAAAAAACGTTCATTTAATTCAAAATGGTTTGAGCTTTTCCTGGTTAAAAAAGAAAGACTTGTCATCAAGGATATACAGTGTGTTTTTAACTTGCTTGATAACATCATGTTCCCAACACTAACGCAGGTCATCCAGATCTCCCTCACAATCCCAGTCTACAGATGGAGTTGTGAAAGATCATTCAGTGTGTTGAGAAAGATCCACACTTGGCTGAGGTGCACAATGGGAAAAGACAGGCTCCATCATCC